GAGAAAAAACTCTTCTTGATTTTAAGAGGATTATGTGTCATATATGGGATGTCTATCTGTTACATTTTGAATGAAACAGATATTCAAGTTCTTTTTTAAATCTATAAAATATTAGCAGTGGATATAAATTTCAAAAAGCGGCATTTTAAAAACAGAAAAGGCGATAGTCAACCCAATCTTTAGCATGCGTTGAATAAACAATCGAAGAAGTAGGTTCTCGAATAAAGCTGTAAATAAGCGTCAACAAATGTAATAAATAACTATCGGATTTCAAACTGAGAATTTTATTTATACTCAAATCTATTTCGATTTGTTACGATAAGGGGCCGTTCACTTATGAAGTCCAGGGGGGGGGGGGGGGGGTCAGCAAGAAAAGAACAATAGAAATTCCTGGAAATTCATTTTCTCTTTTAAAAAATGACCGTTAAATTTGGACGTCATAAGTGAACGACCCCTAAAAGGAATTTCCGTACGTCATGTAATGTTTTCGAGAGAAATCTTTACAATAATTCGCATTATACTATAAAGATTTAAAAATTATTCTAATTTCTTAAATTATATGATCAACAAATATTTTTTGAGGAATTCATGTGTTAGTCATGCTGTAAATATTAAGCATTTATTTACATCTTAAAATTATCACGTGCTGAAGAAATTTTCATAATTATAAATCCATTTCCTTTACAATTTCTCACAGCACATTAAGTTGCACGTTTAAATGCATTTACTCGAATAATTCAAAAGCTACGTGCAGCACAAAGTGAAAGCAATATAAAAGCAATCACCTTGTGCTGTTAAAGTTCTCCCCTTTAGTCTCTTTGACAGCTATCATGTTTATGAGTCGATATCAAAAGAGACTAAGAAAGGAATAGTTATGAATGATTTACTTCCTTTCTGCTTATTAAGTATTAAAAAATATGTTTTAATTTAACATCATAAATTTTTCAGCGTCGAAGGATACAAAAAATGCAAATTTTGTCTCCCTCCGTCAGAATTTTTGTGTAATTTTTCTATCGTCACAAATAAATATTGTTGCTACATCAATTTATTATTCCTCACGGCTTCTGATAAATTATTTATGAGCTTATAAATGTGCGAAAATTTAAATTTTTTCTTAGTAGATTTCCTTTTTCTTATTTATCTGCATAGCAACTTGTCAAGCGAGTGAAGAAATTAATTCCGATGAGCAGAACTTTTGTTATTTTTACTTAACTCAAATTCTTCAATGTCAAAAAATTTCTTTCTTTGTCTTTAACCTTTGTGATGTAATTTAGATAGAGGATTTATAAAATTATCAATTTATTTGCAACTGGTTGATAAATCTGACAATTTGTGCTGATCATCCTGAGCATTTGAATCTGAAAATCATTAACTTTCAGAAAACATCAAGAGATTAATGTTTGATGTTGAAAATATATGAAAAAATTGATCAGAATGTTCAAACAGCAGCTACGATTCTATCCTTTGAAATAAATCTTATTTGAGCAGACACGGAAAAAATACAATATTTGAACTTGATATATACCAACTTACAATAGTCGTGTTTGTTCCACCTCCAAAAAGTCATGCTTGATGAGACATTACAACTCGAATACGTACATTGATTATGGAAAATCTCTAACTTTAGCGAAATAAAAGGAAGATCAAAAAGGTCGAAAAGAAGATAATTTTCGTTGAAGCTTATTGAAATTCTTCTTCGAACTCCTTTATGTCTCATATATCCTCCTTTTTCCACTTTATTCGCTTCTATAAAAGATTAACATTCATGTACGTATGAAGCATAATCTCTACATAATGGCATGAATAATTTGTTAATTACTTTGACTTTCTCTTTGTTCATTGAAGAAAATTTTAATTAAAACTTCTTCTGTTTCTACCTCAATTTTTCATTTTTTCGGTGGAAAAACTTCAAGACGAGGAAATCTGATTAAGCGTTAAATAGCAAACATGTAAGGAAGAGAAATAACTTTACTCCCATTTTTCTAAAAGTGCATATCAATTTATAAGAATAATGTTGAAAAAGAATTCAAGTGAGGAAAATACTAAACACGCTTGTAAGCAGGAAAGAAAGTACATAAAAGTACTTGTAAAGTAGTTTCTGTAAACACATTATTACATTAAAGACGGAAAGACGAAGAGGAATATAAAGTTTAACTTTGAATGAGATTTCCAGGGAATAAGATTTTTATAAAGTGACTTAATGAATCATTTTTATAATATTGATGATTTTTGATCTACTTGAAAAAGCTTTGTTTCAAAAAGTTGAGTTCTAAAAAAGTTCATTTTAAATCATACAATGCCTTATTGTATCTATTCATTTATATTAGCAAATCTTTGTATCGCTTAATACAAAAAACCTATAAATTTAATCATGACCTAGAAATCTAATCATGAAGCAACACTTTCTTCACCACAAAACAAATTCGATAATTTTAACAGGAAATTCCACTTTTGACATAACACATTACGTCGTAATTAAAAGGTAATGATGCAATTTATTAATATTGATTAACATAAGTTGAACGAAGCAGGTAAAATATCTAATATCAAATTAAAGGTAAAAACATTAAGGTATCGATGATCTTAATGGACGAATTAATTGATATATTAGTATCTAAATACTCCATTTCATCGTAACATCATCTCTGGATATCAAATGATATCGAAAATAATGAGGTGATTTTAGATAAAATCCTCAGAAATTGGTTGTAAGCTGAAAGTCTAGACATTGAAAATTGAATATGATTTTTTAAAAGAAAACAAACACGCGCATTAAAAGTTACGAGGATAAAAGTTTTGACAGCTTTTGAAATTTTTTACACATTTAAAATGAATCTGAATTGCAAATAATTTTAATCCCTGGATTGCAAACTATAAAGTGCAATAAAGTTGGTGTACAAAAGTTTTCAAGGCACAATTTTCTTTAACATTACTTATACATTGCATCTAAATGAAGTGCATTCAAGAAGTGCATTTCCTTCTCGTGTTTCTAGTCGTCCATAAAGTTCTTGTATGAAGAAAGTTTTCGAGTTAGGAAGTAAACAATAAGCGTGATTAAATCTTATCTTATGATATGAATGATGCTTAAAAGATATACAAAAAGTTGAGTATAATGGGAATGTTAATAATTGAAGTGCATTTTGTAGATAAATTCCAATAACTATTCAAAAAGTTGTCCTTCAATAAAATTGACTTAAATGCTTGATTCAAAAATAATTAAGCTTTCAATGGTGCTGTTGCTACTTCACTATAGAATCTTGCTAGAATTCTTGAAGGAAAGTCAATTTTAAAGCTCCGAATCGAATGTGAAGATCCAATAATTCCTCAATAGCCAAATGTAAAAGCAATTCCATATATGTCATCTCAAGTTCATCAATCTCCAATGAAACAGAATAAAAATCAAATTTTCCCTTAGCTTTTCCAAAAGCTTACAGTCTCAAAGCAATTTTCTTGCTTAATGAATAAACATAAATCTCATCGAGTGTGAAACTTACATTAGAACATTCATCGTTATTCATCCACAGTCTGTAATTTTCATTCTCGTGGTTTATCACAACAATCTATTAATTTGCTCCTCTTTGCTGTTCACACCCACAATACACGAATTTTACATTCAAATGATGATGATATGAAGTGAACGAGAGTCTCACAGTGGAATTTGTATCTTTTCGTATTTGCTTTTCACCCACGCTGTTTCCGTTCATTGATGAATTTTCCGAGTGAAAAATTTTTATTGGAGTAATAAAAAATTTTAATTGAGAATTTCGAGATTTTGTAAAGAATTTATGAGCAGACAGGAAGAATAGTTTGAAAATAACAAAGTGAATGAGGTGCGGAAGTGCATTTTACGAGATCAATTAAATTTATTGAATGAAAATCGATTATTTTAATATGAATTAAGTTTTCATTTTTTTATAGAGACTTAATAAGTTGGAAAATTGAGTTAATTTTATTGATTTAAGAAAAATTAATTATTTTACGCGGTCATCTTATATTAAAGTGTCAGAAAAGAATTGAATCTGATTAACCGAGTTCTTATGGAGTCGTTCATTAAGTGATGATTTGTGGTCTATTCCCTACGAGTTACAAAATGAACTTAATTATTTTATCCAACTTAAATCTGTTGAAAATAATGAGATTTACTAACTTCACATCCTTTTCCTGCAAAGATCTTTGCCTTTTCCTGTTTACATTACATTACTGGAGGTTGAAAAGAAGGTATTTATTAGTAGAGGTTAAAAAAAATTCATTTCCATTTAATTTTCCAAAAAAAAACTATGTTCAGGACGAAAAGTTTGTTCTTTTATTTATTTTGAGTTAACATTCTTTTTACATTTTGAACCCTTCTTGATGAATTTTCAGGAGCATCAAAACTTTTTCATCTCATTATTTAAAATTTACTTTTTTTCTCACACAAATTATTGTATATGATGATGACAACGAACAGTTTTGTGTGGGGTTTAAAACGTAATAATAAAAAGTATCGTCATGCAAATTTTATTACTCAGCTTAGAGCATGAACATTGTTTTAAGTAATTACCTTTCTTCATTTTCAAAAATAATAATACTGAATGAAAGCTCCAAGTTGTTTGGATTCTTTTAAAAACAGTTTCTTTCCACCATTCATAAACAAAAAACATTTGCTAGTGTTACAAAAGTATAAACATTTCTGCTTATTATTAGCTTTGTTTTGACTTCAAGCAGTTTTAAGATGAAAATTGTTCGTTCTAGTGGATTGCGGTTTTATTTGAAATGAAAGCTTTTCGGAGCTTTTTAAGCTTTTTTATTGAAATTTCATGAATCGTTGATTTTCAACAGAGTTCGTTGTTCTTAGGTTAAATAGGGCTAGTTTATTACTCAAGGTTCCAAATCTTAAAATTTGTAAAAGTTATAAGCGATTTGTTGACAAAGATTCAGTAAGATTTATGATCTTTAAAGTCTAGAATAAATAATAAATAAACTTTAGTTTGACTTAAAATTATTTATTGCAATTTTGATAGCGCTTATCTAGTAAATATCATAAGTTATCTCATCATTCCGACCTTAATTTCAACTAATATAAATTAAATCTATTTTTCTTTTGACTGATTTTTTAAATTGAATTCTTCTAGTCAATAAATTCTATTTAGGAGCTCTTTTAATATTTGGTATTGTTAAAGCCAGAAATCCTCCAGAAAACAGCAACACAGCAGGTAAAATCCACGTGTATGTACAATAATTCTTGATCAAAAGTCCCAAAAAATTAGATCCACCAACACTTCCGATTCTACCAATCATCATCGATATTGAGACTGCCATAGCTCTAGAATATATCAAAATATTAAGTTGTGAACTAAAATACATTAAATCAGATGGTTACCTCAAGGAAGTAGGGAACAATTCGACAGTTGACGCATTGATGACACTTAAATTTACAATTGACAATAGCATCATAAAGTATATAGCAATTGATAAATAAGGAATTGATGTAAACATCAACAATAGACTTGCAACACCTCCGATGATATTAATTGTGGATATAATCAAGACTTTTCCAACTCGTTTAATCAGCAACGATAATGTGAATAAGGACAAAATGTAGAAGATCAATAATATAGTAACATTTGTGAATGTCCCTAACTCTAGTTTAGATACACAAAAAACATGTTCTTCTTCATTAATTGATGTATTGCTGATTCTGTCAAAACTATTAACAATGTGACAAAGTGTTGGATTTGCAGGCTTTGATGCTTCACTTTCCATCCACAATGATACTCGATTTAAGGTTTCTGGAAGGAATGTCCAAAATCCGTTGGCTGACAAGCAAACACCAAATTGTAAATAGCATGCAGTCAAAGTGTTTTTCAAGTGTGGATGCTTAAATAATGGAACTGTCTGTGACCACATGAACCTGAAGAATCCTTTGTTCTTGGCTGAATTTTCGTTACAAAACTCTTGTTCCTTAATGAGACTTTTGACTTCATATTCATCAATTGGCTTTCCTGTATTGCATTTAAAGATTCTTTGAAGTATTTTCAGTGTTCCATCCTCATCACCTTGTGCATAAGTAAACTTTGGAGATTCAGGAATAAAAACAATCATTCCGATGACAGACAAAACACTTGGAACTCCGCTCATTAATAAAAAGATTCGCCACGATCTATAATTCATATCCAAGAGTGGGATATAGAAGTTCCAAGACTCGTGACTCAAAAAAAGAATTCCATACAGCGGATAGAGTAATGTAAATATGGCATAAATCACAGAGGCTGAAATGCATACAGATAAGATTAGAATTTGCTCAAATATTTGGCATATAATATTATTTAATATAATAATATTATTTTTATAATAACATGTTTGTTTTGAAGCTTTAGGGGACTGAATAAATATTTAATTTTTTTATAACAAGAACCGCCAAGTTTGCACTGATTATAATAATAATAATGTCTCATGTCATATCACGTTTATTCCGCAAATATTTACATATAAAGTCTCACGGTAATATTGACTTTATAATTATGATCAAACATTTGTAAAGCTACTGAATTATTCGCAAAATTTTGATCAGAATATATGCTCAGATAAAAGGCTAGGTCACAGGTCTATCACATGATATTTTACTTACCAACGAGCAAAATAAGATCACGTAACTTAAGCGAGTAAAATTCACACAAATACGCATAAACAATTGTTTGAGTAGCACAGACACTGCAAAAAAAATTCATACAAATTATTCCTTAAAATTAAGCACAAAACAAAATTATTGCAAACCAAAATCCATTTAAAAATCTCGATACTGCCAAGAACCAAAATGAAGTTGAAAAACTTGAGATAATTGTGAATAAAAAAGAATAAATCATGGCAGGAATGAGAACCTTCTTCCTTCCTCTAGTGTCGGCCATAAAGCCCCAGAAGTGAGATGACACAATTATCCCAATGTACCCTACTGCACCCAAAAATCCCTTGTGGGAATTATCCAAGTTCAATTCACATTGTGCAATGGATAAAATCATGTTAATACTATTTACTTCTAAGAATCCACTGACGAGGATCAATGCGAACAAAATTATCATGAAATAATTAAATTTTCCAAACTTTGCTTTCTCAATTGCATCGTCAATTGAATAACTTATTTCTTTTGCCATTATTTAGACACTTAAAAATCAACCTTTTCTTGAAGTTTCACTTACTTGAATGAATGATGCTTCGGAAGATGCGCGAATTTATAAGATCTTGAAGGAGCTAAGACAAGGATTGTAAATCAAAAGTTTAAGAAAAAGAAAAGCTTGTGTAAAATGTGTTTAACTATCCAAATTTACTCGTGTCTGTGCAGATGTGAAACTTTTTATCGCATATTTAAATACCTTATCATAGACAAAACTTTAGGTTGAAATAAAGGTTAAAGGTGCTTTTTCAACGTTGATAAGATTTTTTTCGTTGATTTCTTGAGTTTAGAAACCATGCCAGCTCGTCATCAAGATCTCTATCAAGTAAAAATGCATCTTGATTTATTAAATCTAGTTCTCCAACTCAATGCTGTTCCAAACTTCTTAACATCATTTTAAGTCCCTATGATTATCCTCTCCTAGTATGATATCCCGTAATAAATTACGAGCAGCATTAAAATTTTCTATTTGGATAGTTTGGGTTTATATGGAGATTACAATAAACAAACAAATCGCCATTTTGGATTTCGCCATTTTCATTTTTTTTATGAAAGTGGTCATGACTTAGAGCGGAATGACGGAAGGACAAATGAAGGCATATATATTTTTAATGGGCTTTCGAGGGCATCCATAATTCGATTTATTTTTAAAAATTAATTATAATCAACTTCAAATTAACAAAATATTGTGCCATTAATCACGTAAGTGCATGTGAACTCTACATTTCTAAACAATATCGCCACAATTAAATCTGAATACCAAGAAGATGAAAGCTGTAAATCAAAAGCTAAAGAAAACAATTTTTTTTTTGAATAATATGAAAGCCCCAAAAAAAGTCATATCAGTACAGGTGTGCTGATCTTTTATTTTTATGGATAATATTTTCTTAAGATAAAGTTGAACTGGGGGTTACTCATTATACATTCTTATCTCAGCAAATAGTCTGAACTTCTTCTGAAAAGCATGAGTGAATTTCATAATTTTAAACATTATTGGATATGTAAAAAGTACAATTGAATTAGAATTAAAAGTCTATAAATAACAAGTTTCTAATATTTTAGAACTAACATAAATGAAACATCAAAAAGTAAGTGAATAAAAATACATACTGTATTTTACTTTATTATTCATCAAATCAATCGGATAAATTCAATTGATAGTCATTGTTTATACAATATTTTTTTTTATTTTTGCTTTCTCGTAATTTTTTGCTTAAAGTTGCTTGCAAACAAATGATACAAAAAGTGATTTTACATAGAGATATGACTTTATTATGACTAGAGAAAATAGATAAATTTATGAGAGTAAAAAAATGCGAGTGATAAACTAGCAACTAAGTTTAAATTCTCGGAATTCAAAAAAAAAGTTTAAAATTAATTCTGCTGCACTAGATCCCTAAGAAACAATATTTGCGATGAGAAAAAGGCGTTTCACTATTAAGAAAAAAAAAAGGTTTGTTGTCACTAACGTCAGAATTTGATTCTATTCTATGAGAATATAAAACGTCACAAAGCTTGCATCTGATTTAAATGTCTAGGACATGTTTACATGTCAAGATAAAATTATATAGTTGAAACCTGATTAAATCGTTTATATAGTTTCTGTTCTACCATTGATTTCTTTTTTTGTAATCTATGGATAATCCACTAATGATGTGATTATTTTAGTATAGTAAATGAAAGCTATTTTAGGCGATCTGAAATGAGAATTTTTTTTTGTAAACAGATATAAAATAATATTATCTAATCACTGTATGAAAAGCAATGTTAATAAAGTCACAAGATTAACATTCAAAAAAAGCAGAAACAAGAAGTAAAATCTATGAAAACCTAACATGGAGAGGATTAAAAATTACCGATTCAATATCAGAATTGTCTTCGCTGGCAGTATGACTTGTTGGATCACCCATTGCGACTCGAGCGTAATCGTCAGTGTCGATAGACTTGCAGAAGTGAATTGCATACTTTAGTTTTTCCATAAGCACTGCCTATATTTGAGAAAGATTCATGAATCAATTACATTCTTAATCCTGAATTCTAATAAAATTACCTTGCACGAATAACGTGGCATTTTTAGTAAAAAGAAGCATGTATAACTTTCTGGCAGGAAATGATCAGCTGGGTTATATTTATCAAGAACCTGTAAGACAAAATCTCTTCCTCTAAAGTCAGCTATGTTTCTTGGAAGTCTGTGAAGAAAAAAAAAACATTTTTTAACAAATTCAAAAAATCTTTATCTTAGCTGTAAACATACCTCGTTCTTCCCCAGACAAATCGCAAGAACAACGACCGTTCTTGATTGGTAAATTCTTCCATAACTTCCCAGAACCTATATGAAGGACCAAATGAATTAATAAAATATTTTATAAAAGCTTTATCTACACGAACCATTGAACAAGTGGCGATGTTGAGTCCACACCCTTATAAGTCGCAACTGTCTTTAATAATCCTAAAGGAATATCTGGAGATCCACACACCATCTCTTGTAGCTCAGTTGCAGAGAACAATGACAATAAAGGTACGGGAATGACCTGTTAAGATATAGAATTCATAAGTTTTCATTATTTATGATGAATTTCTACAAAAGCAATTATCATACCTTCGACATTCCATCTCTAACTGCTTTGATTTGCTCATCGAATTCGTGTAATCGATAGTTAAGTGCTAACTTGACATATTCATGTCTGTTTTCGGATGTAATGTGTGTATACTTTGTTGATAAGAATATTTCATGTCCTTTTGCAGAAGGTGTTGAAAATGGAAGCTCCATTGTTTGGAATATTTTTGGATCATCATCCATGTCTCTTATACATAGCAATCCAGTAACGTAATCTCTATCGACTTCTGTAAGATCTGATGGTCTTAACGTTTCTCCAGAAAGTTGTCTCCAGACAGGCTCAGCGAGACAATTCAAGCTTAAAGGTGATCCTGTTCGTATGGCTATTCCTATTAAAACTCCAAGGAATCTGAACATGTTCATGTGTAAAATAGAATTTAAAGTTGGGTCGAGTAAGAAGCAATCTCGATTTGCACCTGCTTCACCTCTTCCATTCGGTGTTTGAATAAGCAATGGGACACTTCCATTTTGTAGTTCATCACACATTTCCGCAATACTTTCAGAAAATCCACCTCCACCTGTGTTGAATAATTTTAATTATTTTAAAGAATCTTTTATGGATCTTAATACTTACAGTCATCAACGGATTCTCCCACAAATTTGACCTTCCAAACACGATGAGGAAGAAATAGAGATTCTTGTGTAAGCAATGGCAGCTTTTGGACCATCTGACCAAACACACTTTTCATTCCATCAATGCCAGCAAAGCCATTTCCTGTTCTTGACCTTGATCTTTTGACTTGAATACGATTAAGCTCAATTGTAGGTCCATGAGGTTTGTCTCGAACCATAGTACATTGTATTACTTTGCGTAGACTTGCTTCTTTTATGGTATAAACAAGGATGTCTCTTAATGCTCCCAGAGAGAAATCTCCTTCATTTGGTATCATTGCTAAGCATGGACAAATTAATTCAGAGAAATGATGGAGTAGAACTAAACGGTTCTGAAGAACTTCAGGTTCTATATCACGAACTAAGTCATATTCCATTGGCGGAGCTGGAAGTGTTCGAGAATTTGTTGAATGTGGACATGTTGATATAGCAATAGTATGAGCAGATCCACAAACGACTTGAACAATGTTTTTTCCTTGAAGTGCGCTAACCAATCTTGGTCGTTGAATTGCTGTTACAGTTCCATCACCTAATTGACCTTCGTCATTGTCTCCAAATGTATAGCATTCTCCAGTATCGGTGCACTGTCAAAATAATTTTATTGAATTTGAAGGAATTTTTGAAATAAATAAAACTTACCGCAATGCAATGTAACGAGCCAGTCGCTATTGAAACAATTTTCTTGCCTTGTAAAGCTGCAATCTTCTTTGGTCGCCTAACATGTTCACTATTTCCATGACCTAATCTATAGTAATCACCTTTTCCAAATGTATAGACGCTTCCACTTCTTGTTAGTGCCACAGAAAATTGTGAACCACATTCTACCTTGATCACTCCCAACCCAGCTAAGCTCTCAATTTTCATTGGTATTTTGCATCCATCAGAGCCACCTCGTCCAAGTTTCCCATAATCACCATCCCCAGTCGAAAATACATTGTCTGGAAATAAAGTTTTGTTATGCATTAAGAAATAAAGACTAAGGTCGAGAAACATACCATCATCAGTAATCAATAAAGTTTGAGCATCTCCACTTCCACAAGCAACATCGATTACTCGATATCCGAGAAGTGCTTCTACAACTTTAGGTTTTAACTGATCTTCCGAATCACCATGTCCTAGTCTTCCATATCTTCCCTTGCCCCATGTTAGTACGTGTCCTTCTGATGTGATCTAGAATTGAAATTTTTATTATTATATCTGTAAAGCATAAAAATAAAGCTTGTTTTCTTACAGCCGCACTATGAGCACTTCCACAAGCAATATCAATAACACCTAGTCCTGAAAGTGCTTCAATTAATTTTGGACGATCGTAGCTATCTCTATTTCCATGTCCTAATTTTCCATCTTCACCCTCACCCCATGAAAATACTTCATGGTCTGATGATAATGCTAAACAGTGTTTACCGCCAGAATTTACAGCAACTTTTTTGATGAAAACATGCTGTAGACTTTCAATTAATGTTGGGACAGCTACTGAATCAGTTCCACCAATTCCTAATCGACCACCAGCACCATATCCAGTTGCATAAACTTTACCATCATGAGTAACAGCATAAAGAGTTTGTTCACCACCAGCAATTTGGACAGGTCTTAACATACTTAAAGCTTCGCATGGTGTTGGGATTTTTATTCGACTTCCATCAAGTCCACCTAATTGACCACGATGATTATGTCCCCAACCAAAGATAGAATATGCTTTATCACCCCAAGAAAATGCCCAATCTTCAGGTCTTCTATTAAACCATTGTAATAATTGGCAATCATGATTTGAAGTGAAAAGTACATGATCTTCATGTGGTGCCTTTTCAAATGTTTCTGATAAATCATTCTCATTTTGAATCGATGCTTGTAATGATGAAGATTGATAATAAGATGATGATGATGTCATCGAGGAGCTCATTTCTATTGCTGCTGTTACAGGTCCACCACTTCCAGCATTACTTTCCAACTTCTTTCGAACATCAAGGCAAAATGTTTTTGGAAGGGTGGTGCGACGAATTAAAGCTTTTGCAACACGAACTGCCGCACAATATCTTTTGAACCAAGACCATTTATGAGCTTCAGCTGGAGGTAAAATATTATCAACGTTTAGATCGCAAGCTAATGCAATGTATGATTGGAAAAATAATGAATGCATCAAATGGACACCTGTTCTTACAAGTCCTTCCTCATATTCATATTGTTTTAATATCATTGGAATTAATGGATTTATGATTTCCAGCAATGATGTGTCAGATGCACATGATGAATATTTTGAAGTTGTCAAATAATAATGAATCTTTTTCAAGCACCATATTCTCTGATTAATTGATAATGTTCCTTTTTGAGCACATTGTGAGAGAGCTGAGATTAATCTTAGTAGCATATTGGGATTTTGAGGAGCAAGTTTTGAATCTAACAATACCATGACCAATTCAATCGAAGGTTGTGAAAGGATTTTTCTATCAGATCCTAATTCTTGTAAATAAGATGCAGGCATGATACCGTGTACTAAAAATCTGAAACCCCATCCATTAACAGAATTATCACTTGTAAACTTCCAACGCATTTCATCTCCAGGAATTCTTATTTCTTGTGCCCATTGTGCATATTCTCTACCAGATCTTGTGGCAATTACGCGACCACTTGCATCCATAATTATCAAAGGGTCGTTTCGTTTTTCTGTTGAGCACTGATGATCAAATTCAATCCTTAAAAACTCTGCTCCAGGTATTTTAACATGTCCAACTAAAGTTATATCATCTACATAAGGATGGCTGCTTTCTTGAACAACAGGTTTTGGTACCTTTTCTAAACAATGACGTGATGTCAGATCTTCTAATTCAGATATACATGTTTCAATTATCATATTTCCAGTTGTTGATGAATTAAGTCCTAGCTCAATTAAAGTATTTGCAATTGTCTCAGCATTTGCTTGAGGACCAGGAATTCTGCCACATACACTTAATTTCAGCAATTCTAAGAGATTTCTAGCTTCTGTTTCACCCAAGAGCGCCAAAAATTCATCTAACGAAGATTTGACTATAGTTGGCTCATTTATCATCTCTTCCTGGCGATTTATAATGCAAGCCATTACAGACATTGCACTCGTTGACATTCTTGATGCTTTTTGTGCTGCATTGTTGCAGCTAGATACTGACATTGACATTGAATTGGTCAAACTTCTGTATAAACTGTTTGATGTATTTGGTAATGGATTGTTGGGATATTCAGGATCATTGAGAATTTCTGAACCTCCAGGCATTTCGCATTCTTCTGCCAAACTTTCACCACCACCACTTGCTATTTGTGAATTGACAATATCACGTTGATTTGTTTGTGCCATCACTTCTTGTTTGTCTTGTTCGATAATATCTTCTGCTTTAGCTTCATTTAAAATTTTCTCTGCATCGAAAGTAGATTGATGATTTTTAATTTGAGCATGACTTGTAAGTGCAGCAATTATGCATGATCTAGCTTGTAAAATTTTTATGGCATTTAAAATATGTGTTAAAGCAACTTGTAAAGCAGAAGTTGATTCAAGCGATAAAACGATTTCGGATAAAGATTTTCGTGGCTGTTTAGATTTCGATGAAATTGCTGGTGATGCTGTTGTTTGATCATCAGCTGAATACATTCCTAAGCTTTGACCTCCGAGTGGATCTTTGGGAAAAGCAAATGGAACAGCTTCTTTTTTATCATGTTCAGCTTCATTGTCTGGTAAATTCCATGCAACACTATGAGAACTGCCACATGCTACTCGGTTGACAAAAACTCCATCAAGTCCAACGACTAGTGTTGGTTTCTTGTTGACACTGGTTGAGCCTGAGCCTTGCTGACCATGATCGTTATCACCTTTTATTAAAAGTAATTAATTATAACACTCAAAATAGGAATTGTAGCAATGTCTTACCCCATCCATAAACCTGTCCTGATTCAGTGACAGCTAGACAGTGTAAAGCGCCAACAGCAACATGAACCACTTTTTTTCCTCTTAATCCTTGAACTGGTGTTGGTTTTCTTACATGTTGATCAGATCCATGACCTAATCTGTAGTAGTCTCCTTTGCCCCAAGTCCAAACTTCTCCACTTCTTGTTAATCTGTTTGTATTTTAAAATTAAACAATTGCTTTTAAAACAAAATCTGTTTAACTTACGCCAAAGAAAACTGTGCTCCACACTCTATTTGCATGATGCCTAGACCATTTAATCTTTCGATTGGTAGAGGGACACTACAACCATCTGAACCTCCTCTTCCAAGCTTTCCAAAATCACCATCTCCATGAGAATACACTAATGTAAGCATAATAAAGTTTTAGAAATTGAATATTTGGACATATTTTTAAGGACTTACCCTGTCCATCTTCAGTCAAGCATAACGTCTGAGCATCTCTCGATCCACAAGCGACCTGAACAACTCTTTGACCAACCAATTTCTGTACAAGTTTTGGCTTCAACAATGTTTGATTATCTCCGTGTCCAAGTCTTCCATATTCGCCCAATCCCCAAGTATACAAATGCCCTTCGGATGTGATCTGTTTGATTGAATTTACTAATAAACAAAAATGGTAAATATATCAAAGCATTTTATACATACACAGGCACTATGTGCACTTCCACAAGCAATATCTCGTATTCGTTTCGTTTTAAGTGCTTCAATTAATTTTGGTTTTTCGAGTGTCAATCGGTTTCCATGTCCTAATTTTCCATCCTCACCTTCGCCCCAGCTGAATATTTTTCCATCTAGAGTTATTGCCATTGCATGCTTACCACCAGAATGAACTGCAACTTTCTTAACAATATATTGACTCAAAACTGGCAATTGTTGTGGCGTTGAAACATTATTATTGTGACCGAGACCCAACCTTCCATTAGTGCCTTCACCGCACGAGTAAAGCTTTCCATCTTGTGACACAATAAAAAGAGATTTTGATCCTCCAGCAATATGAATTGGTTTCAATGCTGATAAAATAGCAGAAAACATCGGTATTTTAACTTTAGATCCTTTCAGACCAGCCAATTGTTCTTTATCGTTCAATCCCCAAACATAGACTCTCGATGATCCTTCATCACGACTTGATGGTGGCTTCAACATTTTTTCTTCTACAAAACCGGTGGAGCTTGATGCATAAGTTGGTTCATTCATGTCATTATCGGTTGCTAAAAATGCTGCATTTGTAAGCATTGCATCAAGATCTGTTTGTCGTCTTTTTCCAACCATATATAAATCATGAATGCGACATTGAATTCCATTGTTTCGGCATTGTTTTATGTAAATTTCAATATATGTGAAATACTGCCTTACGTTTGACAAAATAACAACGTGAGTATCATTAGATCTTATTGTAACCCAGTTAAAGTCTTTGAGGTTGGATATATTATCTCCTGCTCTTACAATTATTGTGCTTGGCTGATGACTGCAATCATTTGGATCTATACGTAATGATAGAGAATGAATAAGTATATTCTCTCTCATTTCTAGTCTTATCCACGGACGACCTTGTGTATTAGCACTTTGCCAAAATGAAGATGTTCTTTCAAGTAAATTCTTGGCCAAAGATTCATTTGATGAAACTGTAAGAGTTTTCAAGCTTTGCGACCAGTCTTCAATAATATCGTATAGTTCATTTTCGGAGGTTGCTGGATGAACAAGTTCCAGGTCATACAATTGACCACACCATGATTTTTGTTGAGGAAAGTCTACAATAACTTCCAGCCCATTGACAGATGTGACAATTCCAACAGTATTTTTGACAGTTTGTGTTCGAGGAACACTGCTCGTTGGCTTTATTTTGACGTGAGAGCCATACGTTATGTTAAGAGATTTCAAGTCTTCAGATGGGGGTTCCAATAATTCTAAATGCACAAAACACATCCAAAATGGTCTCTCATGACTTTTAAAGTCAACTCTGACATTCAAGTCATGTAATTCGTCTGGTTCAATTTTCAGGACAATACCAACATCACCTGCGCGAATTTCTTCAAAATCTCGACAGCATCTAACAATCATTCCAGGAATTATGTGTCCCCTTACATATATGGCATATTGATCAGCATTTTTAAAATCATCTCGACGTGCAAACTTAGTTTGTCGATCTTGTTGACTTAGAGATGAAGAGTTTAAATTTTCAGAGCATGTACTATCATTATCGCTATCAACAGTACTAGCTACATTGAAGCTGTTGATTTTATTAAGTGTTCCTTTACTATCTTCATCGATTATTGATTCAGGATGATCGATTATCCATTGAACAACTTGTTCAGGTGTAGGAAGAATTTCTACTCGATTAGTAATTTGTTTAAGTGCCAATTCGACAGTTTTTCGTGTGAATCCCATTTCCATAATCTGAATTACAAGCTTTGTTGATGGATTAGCTCGTGAAGATTCATTACCAAATGATGCATAATTACTAGCATTATTATAAATTGACTCATGTATGGATTCATTGTAGAGTGCAACTCCATGAATCATTGTTGCTTGCTTAACATTTTGGAACTTTACGTGTGATGCAGGAATGTTGTTTTTAAAATGTGCAGATAACGTTTGACAAATTGAAATTGCTGCAATTTCCATTTCAGTTTGCGAGTAACATGCTTTCAATGGACTTGATTGAATGGCGCGTGATAAAACACTTTGAACGAGGAGTTCATGTTTAGGTTCTTGTGGACTTGCTTGTTCCTTTTTATCATCACTTTCATCAGATTTTTGATTCTTTGAATCATCTGACATGCTGTCATCTGAAGAATATTTTAAAATTCCTGGGGATCTCTGTCTTAAAATTGTTTTCAATAAACTTTGATGACGAAACAGTACTTGAGTAGCTTTTAGTGATGATAACTGTATCTGCTGATTACTTAATAATCCAACATCAAATGCATTTAAATTATCAATTAATTTTGTATCGAAGTTCATGCCGTACATCAAAACAGCCCAGGAATTCAGCAGTATTTCATTTAATGATAATTTAGACAAGCTGAAAATTCCTTGCTCGATAACTTTTTCAACTTTAGAGAACGAAATATTTTTTGTCTCATTAGAGTTATGAACATTTAATATTACTGTGCCACTTTGCGTCATTCGAGATATTGAGCACTTAACACTATCATAAATAACATCAATACCAATACGTAAACGAGGATCAAAACCACCAATTACATTTAAAGCAGCAGCAACGTTAACTTTTTCTTCATAAACATTCGAATCTCGTTCTAAGTCAATGAACATATCAGCAGCAATGCACATTTTTTGCGATATAAAATTATTAATTGTTTCATTCCAACTGGGTAGTGTGTGAAGTTTTCGAATAAGTGTAATTAGTTCCTCAGCAATCGTACCAGAATGAGATGCACTAGCGAGAACTTTTGTTTTAATTCCAATTGGAAGTTGAGTGAGAGATTGATCATAAGGACAGTTCATACAAATAGCTCCTAACATGAAGAATAATTGATTAATTATGTATTCAGTTCTTTCTGTGCTGGTTTCGTTCCATTGAACCAATGTTGCAGTTAAAAGCTTGATGCACTGAACTTTTTTGAAGACATCTTTTTCATTCATTATTGGTGAACGAAGCATATCAAAATACAATTTCAACCAAAGTTCTGTGGTTATATGCTTGGATATGCAGTGGGATTTCAAAATACTTTTTAAAAATGCAATGGTTCGCCACATATCAAGTCCAATATTTAGAGAATAATTTCCTTTTTGTGACAATATTGCATAAAACATAGTCACAAATACTCTCACTGCTTCATTTTGCATTTTATCACCATGAATTCCCACAGATGTTGACACCATTTGCAATAATTTAATGCAAGCACTTTTCAATAATTTAGTTGGATGAAAATCATTTTGTTGCAATTTAGACTCAAAAAGTTCATTATCTTTAAAACTTTCTTTATCCGGGGAAATTGTTTTAAAGCTACTATCTGCAAGTCTCAGATCAAATTGTCCTTCTTTTCCCATTCGATATGAATTCGTTGCTCCAGTATCCCATTCAACACGAACCCATCCATCATCTCCAACCTCACTTATAATTCTCCCTTCACCATTTCCATCTTGTTCACCCCATTTCCAGTCAGCACCTCTTGCAACTCTAGTACCAATTTTCATAAGCTTCACCAATTCAGGTCCTGTAAGCATTCCATCTTTTGAATAGTTGTGCTTCAACTTTATATTTTCTTCAAAAACAACACTAAGTTCTTTATCAGTTTTGTTGCTCTGTGGCAGTTCATTATTTCCAGTTTGATGAAGAATTCCCAAACTTGTTCCGAGAAGACCAGAATTGATCAACAAACTCAATTCATTTGCTGTATAATTCTTGGCTAGCAATCCAAAAATCATCAACAAAAATCTGGCACGTGATACTTTTTTAAGGAAAACATAAGTTCCGAGATTTGTTTGATCTTTATCGCCATGAGGCCATTTTTGTTTACCAATGATTTGTTCTTGATTGACATACTTTTGAAATTCTTTTATTGTCCATTCCAATATTTGTGAATGAGCAATAAGAACATCAGCTTTTTGATAAGCTGTTATGAGATTTAAATTTTCGAGAATGTGATCGTATTGTTGATCACTTGATTCAGTGTTCTCTTCGGCGTATGCTGAGTTCAAAAATCCATTGTAAATATTGTATTTTGCTGCATCCAATAAATTGTTAATTGATAAAAGTTCGTGAAACATTTTTAATCCTTCTTTTCTTGTTTGATACCTTTGAATTTGACAAAACATTGCGCGTCTTAATGTTTCTACATCCAAATTTTCTTGCATAACAAAATCAACAATTTGACTATTAACCGATGACTTAAACTTTAAATCTTCATTTTGGTTGTGGCGTTCGCTCAATTTAAGTATGACATTATTAACGAACTCGTCAGTGTTTAATGGTTTTCCATCAATATTAAGCATTCCCTCATCAGCATTTGACATAATTAATGGAGATGATTCCTCGATTGGTGTATCAACAGCTAACAAATTTTCATTAGACGGAGTTTTCGACGGAATCATTTCAAAGTTCATTGCTTCGCTACTTCCAACTTTATGGAGACTTTCATTTGATAAATGTCTTTCAAAATGTTCACTTACAAACTGAGCGACTTTTGAGTATGAGTTATGGTGGCTTTGGATTGATGCATTCAGTAAATCTTCTATTTTAGAAGTTTCCAGCTCTCCATCTTCTCTAGAAATTTTGCTGTCCACAATTATTTGCTTAACAATAGTCTTGAATCTCGGTTCTTTATAGTGATGAAACAGCTTTTTCAATCCAGACTGTTCTGGACTTATTGATGGTCTTACTTCATAAAGTAAGAAACGACACTTTTCTAAAATTGGTGTGCAAACTTCTTTATAACTTCGATTTAACTGCTGTCGAATTTTTATCAAGTTCCATTTCATCATGTGAACAATTTTGATGATGTCTATAATTGGTTGTGGCACTTTACCAGCAGTTCCAGTCATGTCTAGTTAGAAAAAATATTTATTTGAAAATAAATAAAGCATTGAATTTTAAAACCATTTACCTCTATCAATTACAGCCAATACTAAAGTTCCTAAGCTCTGGTGACGAATGAGAACAGCAGTAAGTAATCTTTCAACATCAATTATAGGATGATCAGTAGAATATTCTTGATGCCAGATTAAATTATTTTCTTTACAATATCTTTCAGAAAGACTGATCCAAGCACTGACATTTGAGTCAGTAGTTTTACTTTCTGCTAAGCCATAGATCAATGACTGAATTCTGTATTGAAGTGGTGGACATTGAGCAATTGGTGGTAGTTCTCCAAGTAAGTTTACAACATCTGTGGTTGGTGTGCTGCCAGCTGTAGATCCACTACTTCTTGCTTCAAATTTTTCCTCATCAAATGGATTAGCAATATTCGTTTGCAGTCCACCTCTCAATATTATTGAATTAAGCATTTTTTTGCATGTCATTTCAGCCGGTTGAAGAAACGTTGATTTCTGTAGAATATTAGACCTCATGCCTAATATCCATGCTAATGTTTTCTCAGACTCAAAGTAACAAAGTTTCTCATAACTTTGATCAACATCTTTATATCTCGAGGATTGTTCACATTCATATTTTCCTACTAAGATACTGTTATTGCCAACAATATCTTCCAAAGTCTTCTGATGCTCTAAAGCACTTAGTTCATTCGATAAGTCTTTTCCAATATTCGTCTCAATCAAATTTTGAGATTCAGCATTTTCACATCTGTGAATTAAATTAAAAGGAAATTTGGCAACTTGCTTATTAATTCTAAATTTAAAACTTACACAAAATCTTTTACGTCATAAACACATCCATTGACAATTATATATTTACATCCATCAATCATACTATTTTCAAAATCACATTTCCTAATTAATTGTGCTTCAGATGTTGCAGTCATTCTATCAACATCATTATCACGTGTTGTAGAAATAATACCAGGCCATCCCATATGATCAGAATTCTTTACATCTGTGTCATACAAAAGACGATTAATGTCATCAAGTGCAATTAGTAATGGGAGCATATTTTCCATCCATTTAAATGAACTAAGGAATGATGGTCTCTCTTTCTGAATGAGAATTAATCCCAAGAGTAGTTCATACAATAAGGAGTCAGAAATGTCACATTGTAAGATGAGAGCAACATTCTCTCTTTCTTGAACAATAACCTCCTGTGCCTTCTTTAGTGTTGAAACACAAAGCGAAGACATTAATATTATGTATGACTCGAGCAATGATTCAGCACCTGACAAGTCGTTTATGGGTTTTGCTGCACAGATATGAGAAAGGAGAAGTCGTTGAAATTTATGTAGCAAATCGATGCTTGGTGATGAAGTATCATTAATAATCAGTTCATCATTAGTTTTGGTTAAGTTCTCAATCAGTAATTGATTTAATCTAGACTGTGTTAAAGTAGAATTATTGTGGAGCAATTGCTTTAACAAATCAAGGAGTGGTAATTGTTCACAATCTTGACTCTCAGAGTTGATGACTTGATTGAGAGCTATCTCTAAGCCACCTTCAGCCATGATTGATCCAACCAATAAATCTGTCATGAATCTATGCGCTGACGCTTTGGATGGATCTGGGAGTAATGAAGTTAACGTTTGAGCTCTTTCAGAAGGCGTTGGTAAGAGAATTGACCATCCAACTTGAAGAGCACTTTGAGCTGCCTCTTGAATTGTTTTGAGAATTGAATTTCCACCAGAAAGTTCTAAAATTCTTGATTTTATATTCTTTAATCTGATTCCTGTGAGTCCTACTTTCTTAGGTGAAATATTGTTACAAATCATGGCATGAAACTGTAAGCACATTAAATTTAGTGAGGCAACTGCAATGCATTCAGCTTCTTGGTTTGGCGGATGTCCAGATTCATTTGAAGCAGTTGTGGTAGTTGATGAAATATTGCTACAAACACAAGACAGCAATTGATCCAATAATCGGAATGTTTGCTCTGTCAAATCAACGACAAACGGAATTCTCGGAGGAATGCAAATCATTGCTGAATGAGACCATATGATGCTTTGCGTTGATCCACATGAAATTCCACTTATCTTGAGGAATGGTGGGGTAGTTAAAATAGGTTTTGCGATTATTAGGTCTTTTGTGATGCATGGAGGGCAAATCTGAGCAAAGTCGTTCTTTCCAAAGCCATAAAGTTCTCCATTTTCCATCAATAAAAGACAATGAGCAGAACCAACTGAAACTCTTTCTATTTTCTTTCCATTTAAGCCTTCTACCTTTTTAGGAAGGTAAAGATCTTCCAAAACATTTTCATGTCCTAATCGACCACCTTTTCCAAATGTATAAATCGTCATTCCGTCACATGAAACAGCCATACTAAAATGTGATCCACAATAAACATTTTTAATGTTATTTAAACTTTCGACCAGTATTGGAACTTGTGAGCCATTTGTTGCTCCTATGCCAAGCTTGCCAAAATCAGAATCACCCATGCTAAAAACTTTTCCTTGATCTGTTACACAAAGAGTATGAGTATCTCCACAAGCAACGTCAACAATTTTATGGGATTTTAATGCGTTGACTAATGTTGGAATGTTTTTATCATCAGAATTTCCATGCCCTAGTTTTCCATACAAACCTTGGCCAAAAGTATATAATTCTCCATTAGTTGTATAAACAGCACTGTATGTTGTTCCACAAGAAGCTCCAATTGCTTGTTTATCATTTAGTGCTGTTATTTTAGTCGGTTTTAACACTGTTGAATTTTCATCACCCAATCCTAGCCTTCCGTATTCTTCCAACCCCCATGAATATACTTCCATATTAAGTGTGATGGCAATAAAATGTCTTCCTTCACAGTTTGAGTAAATTTTAGATACAGTTGAATCAAATCCATCCAATTTGATTGCTTTAGTTTGGTCAGAATGCAATTTGACCTCAAAGACTTCTCCAGCAGTACTTAAAAGTAAAATGGTATTCTCTGAGCATGCAATTTGATCGACAATTATATTTGCTCCGAAATCAATGGTTGGTGCTGAATAATTTGAATTTCTAGTATAGTCATACATCCATTTGTCTTCTGACTCAGAGGAAAATGCATTAAACTCTGGGGAAAGCCCATTGTATCCAAGTGAAATAATCTGTTGATTTCTATAATTCTGAATTCGAGATGTCCACATTTTACTTGGTAAATGAAAACGACAGAGTCGGTCCAGATGACTCATTATAATTACAGCAGCTTGGAGAGGATCCATAAGCGAGTCATCAATGGTTTGATCACCCTCGGGAAGTGATAAAAATCGGAGAAATGATTCAGTAGGGCTAAATGAATGATGATCCGAAGATGATAAATATGAGGATTCTTTGTTAATGTCGCCATAACGTCGCAAGATGTTAATCAATGGTATTCCATTTGAAGGCAATGGTAGCTGCCTATTATCGTTATTGTTCACATTTAGCTCCGCTAAAGAAAGCAATAAAAGAACTCCTTCAAGTGATCCAGCAAGAGTTCCTTTTTGCATTTCAAGTTCAAGCAATAGATTCAACGATATATTTCTATCAGCTCTAGGAATTTGTGCTACTGCAGTCTCGTTTTCGTTACTTATCTCATTCAATACAATTTGACGAAGAAATTTTATTGACTTTTCTATGGCTTCCATCCATAATGATGATAAACCTGTTGTGTCAAACAATCCACCAGGTTCTAATGATGTTTGTATTGCTTCAAGAGAATCACTTAATAGTTCACTGCATAAATCAGTGTCGCCACATTTCCAAGCACGTTTTAAACTTGCAAAGAAGAAGTTGAGTGCAGTACGTGTTCCTATTTTAGCAAGCTCATGCTTAACTTTTTCGCTTTTGGTTAGGGTTACTTCTTTGGTTTCATTTTCATAATTAATATTCTTTTCGTCAATAAGCATGCTCTCTCTGTTTTGTGTTGTGTTCTTCGTACTTTTACTTCTGGATAGTGCAGTAAAATATCTTTCATAAATTTTAAGAATCATTTTTAATGAAAAGCTTGAAAGACTATTTTCACTAGCTTGCAAACATATCTTTCTTTGCTCTGCTAAAAGCTTTTTGATGCATGTGTTCAGTTGGTTATCATCTGAAAAGTAAGACGCAAGTCAAGATTAGTTAATGAATATCAATTAAGAAATATTGAATTTACCAGGAATAGGGCCCCACATCCATGATTCAAAACAGGATTCACTACTAAATATGAAATCATTTGCTTTCTCTTGATGATTTTGAAAATCATCTGGCATTTCCAAAGTTGCTGGAACTAATTGACATGATTCGCATACACAGGATGAGGATGGTCCACAAATACCCTCACAGCAAGAACAATTAAGGACCTTTGCACCACAATAATATTTTCCATCTGGCCTCAAATATGAATGTCGTCCAGTTGAATTAATTATGGAATTGTATTTTGAATCTGACAATTCCGAATCTTGTATCAAGGTATTAAAAATGGCTGATCTAGTAAAATATTGATCTTTTAAGGCCGCATTCAAATTACATTTTAGCCATTTCTCATCCAAGTATTCAAGCTTTCGAAGCCACATTTTGTGTTTTGAGTAACTCAATTATATGAAAAACTCAAGTTAATTCACTTATATGCTCTATTTTTTCAATTGCATTATTTTTTCATTGACATTAGTTTATATGCGATTATGAAAAAATCAATTATGGAATTTTCCAGGGAACTATTTTATCGAATTTTCAGCACTTTATGATGTTTTTAAGCGTAAACTTTATGTGTATTAAACGAAAACCTAATTACTTTAAACAATTAACGCATTTTAATCATTTTATTGTTTGATTAAATGTACTTTTTCTAAAATTTTCACAGATTTTTCACTCGAAACAGTCAAAAATTGGGAGATGGTTTCTTTGAATTTTTCAAGGTGCATTATATATCATAATTGTGTCTTAGTGTCCTAAAGAAATTAGGATTTCCTTAAATTTTGACTCTTTTGACTAAGAACAATACGCTTGTCAATTTTAGACTTTGATTATCAAAAAAATTCAAAATTTGAATTTTTTAAAATTTCGTTAATTTCATTAAATTTTTCATTTTCTATAAATTTTGTTCACAATAAATTGAAGGAAGTTAAAATTGATTATTTATAACAAAAATTTCTAGAGTTATAGAACTTTAAAACATTTTACCAATGCGTTTATGAAAATCGAATTTAAAAATCATTTTTTCCTTGTCGGATAAAACTTTTGTTTACGATTTTACTCCGATTCAAAACAGCAATCAGCTGGATGTAAACAAAATTGTGTTTTGCAATAAAATGTTACAACCATTGAGTTTCATTCATGGTTAGAACTTTATTGAATAACAAAGTCCACGTGCGTTTTTGAGATTGTATTTGTCAGCTGTTATTGTGTTGAGCATTTGTATACAAACATTGCATATATATGACACGGCAAAACAAATGTTTTTATCGCTTGTCAGTATTTACGAGGTATATACAAATTCATTCATATAATCTTATGTTATAACCTATGAGGTTAGGGTTTTTCTAATCACAAATAGATTTTTTATAAATAAAGCAAATTGATTGTGTTGTATTCTGATCATATGGCACGACTCTTTAAATTAAAAGGAGTTCTAAATTGAATGAGTTAAGTCTTATTAAAATATATTTTGTGTTTAATGGGAACTTGTAAATTCCGAGAGTGAAGGTTATAGCACAATAAATTAAACAAGAGTGATTGATTAATTGTTGAACTTAAAAATCAAACATTCTTTTAAATGACGCCAAAAGATATCAAGTAACCAAAATGTTCCATATAATCTTCCTTCGACGTCGATGGAAGATCAAATGTATCATTATTTATTATATGTAAAATGTTTGTTTTACAAATATGTAACAAAAGTGTTCCATCGAAGTATAACCCGAACCCGCTTAAGTTCAAATCGTACGAAAAATCATCAAAAAAATATTTTTTTGCAGGAAAATAATATTTGTTTTAAATTTGGCATTTGACATATACTTCACTTATAAGTTCTCTCTAAATTTGTATGGGTCTTTCAATTAATTATTTATCTTCCTCAGGTTTATGTGCGAGTCTTGGGCGTTCATCAGTATGCGACTTAATTAAATTAAGTCCTTTTGTTCTTTTTCGTAGTGTTAGTGTACTTTACTTAAGTACACACTAATACTTTTACAATAATTTACACAAATAAAAGAAAACTACAAAAGAACACGTGGAATTTAACACGTGTTTTTATCCAAAAAAAAGTAATCCATTTGTTTTCCATTTGTATTCCTTTGATGTATTACATTGATGTCTTATTGCATTGTCCATTTATCTTCCAATTTCATTGGAGATCATCTTCCGATGGATAATACATAAGTATCATCCATGGAAGATTCTCATGGAATACATTGATCTACCTTTTGGTTACTTGGGATGAATTCTGCTAGCATTACAATGTTGATAAAAAAGCTAAATGGATTAAAAATTAATCTAGGCGCAATGTTCAAACAATCCCATTTTTGAAAAAAAAAATTGAGCGGAACAAAAGTATTAATATGTACCTTGCTACACCTGTTTGTTGATAAAAAAAAACGAAGTCAAAAATTGTATTTTTAAAGTTTAAGTCATCACGACATTAAAAAAAAACTAATAAATGACGACGCTAAAACAGGAAAGTTAAAAATGCATTTTCAAAAACGTTCAAGCTTTCGTTCAAGACTGTCAATTTTCATTTTCTTTTGCTTACAAGCAGTCGGATAGTTCAGACGTATTTTTGTATACGTAAGTATATTTTTATACAATCGCGAGCAAATTAATTTCACAGTAAAATCAAATAAAGCATTTGATAAATTAAACAGTTGAAGCCTTTCGATTTTATTTTAAAATATTATTGAATCGTAAATTTTAAGTAATACACAATAATTCTCAATAACAGCAATAGAGGCTTTAGTCCTATTAAGTATGTCAATACTGTTGACATGTTTATCACAAAGAATTAAACGAAAATTTATTATGTGCCATTAAATGCATATAAATATGCAGCCAATAGCATGTAAAGTGATCAAAAGTTATAGACACAATGAGCTTTAAGACAAGGTCATCAGAAAAAAATTGAAGTGCTATTTTTTTTTGATTTTATTAATCTTTTAATTGAGCGCGCATTTATGGAGACAACAAATTTGAAGATTAAATTCTTTTTACTTAATTTTTCAATTCCGTTGATCAAAATGTGGTGAAACTATGTGATAAATGTTTGTTTTATCAAACCTGATTTGTTTGCCATGAGTTAAAGCTCAAGTATGATTAAGAGATTTCGATGTTAATCACATGCGAATTATATATAAAGACAAAAAAATGAGCAAACACAAAATCAGGTCAAGTTTAAGATTATTTTAATCGGTTGTCTTCTTCTATCAACTCAATTGATGCATAATAATAATAACTCGATGAGTTGCCGGCGACATAATGTTCAAATAACACATTGTGAAAGTAATTTCATGTGAAGTGTAAAAAAGAAAATTAATAAGACGATGATAAAAAGCTACCAATCGGAACTCACTTTAAATCAGTGTTTCTCAAACTGAGTGCCACGGTTTCCTTGTGTTTTACAACTCTTGGATTACTTTTGGGCTGTCATATCATTAAAATTTCAATTCGAGTGCCAAGAACACAAAAAAGTTTGACAAACACTGCTTTAAATAGTCAGCTGTGATTGAAGAAATAAAAATTAATACATGAATGAAAACTTTGTTGTGACGACTGTTGACATTTTTTTCTCTTTGGCAGTTTGAATATAAACGACTAACCGCATAGTAAAAAATACAACAAGTATGATAATAAGTGCATAAGCAAATGCACGATTAATATTCAGTATCTCACAAGAAGAAACGAAAAGAATCTCGTCGGCAGTGTACTCTAGTAAATTTTCACAAATGGAGCTCCAAGAAAATTGCAACGTAATTATAAATGAAAATTACAGAGGATCAACAGACAATTTTTTCGATGACCCACATCCTGAGGTTGTTAAAATGAAACTTAAAAACGAACATGAACCGTTGAAACGAGAATCTACTGTTCACCGAACAACGTATTTCGAAACCTTAGTGCATTTATTTAAAGGAAATGTAGGACCAGGTAAGAAGTAGTTAAATAATCAAATTGAATTGGTTATTTTGCAGAACATTTATAGGATGCTTCGCGATGGCACATGCAGTCAAAAATGGAGGCTTAATACTTGCTCCCATTCTCACTTTAATTCTTGGTGCGGTATGTGTACATGTTCAGCATATTCTTCTCAAATGTTCGTCAAAAATGAAATATCGTTATAATCTTGAAGTATATCCTGACTACGCAGAGACAGTGGAACTAGTATTCGAGAGCAGCACAAATTCACACTGTAGAAAGCTATCCAAAACAATGAAAGGAGTTTGTAATGCCTTCATTTGCATCACACAGCTTGGTTTCTGTTGCATTTATTTCTTATTTATTGGCACCAACTTAAAACAAATTTTAGACTTTTATGGATTCAATATGAATCTCTATATATTGATTGCACTGACACTGATCCCAATTTGGCTCTCTTCTCTTATCACGAACTTAAAATTTCTCGGTAAAGCGCTTCTTTTGTAAACATGATAACAAATCTTTTTTTAATGCTTTTAATTTCCTTTAATGTACAGCTCCATGTTCAGGAATTGCAAATATCTGCATGATAACAGGCTTAACAATTTCTTATTACTATTCTTCACAAGATTTGCCGCCGATATCAACAAGGGACTTCATTCCATCTGATTTTCGTACACTCCCACTTTTCTTCGGCACTACAATTTTTGCTTTTGAAGGAATCGCTTTAGTTTTGCCACTCAAAAATGCTATGAAGCAACCACAAAGCTTTTCAAAAGTGTTTGGGGTTCTTAATGTTGGAATGGTCTTTGTTACTGCTATATTCATCTCATTTGGCACAATTGGTTACTGGAAATATGGTGAAGATACAGCAGCTTCATTGACTCTCAACCTCCCAATTGACGAAATGTAATAATGATGACTTTTTTGTTTTTCCTTAATTAATCTTTTTCTTACAGCCCAGCTCAAGTAGTTAAATTAGCAATTGCAACCGGTGTTTTATTAGGATATGCGATTCAATTCTTCGTTGCCATCCAAATTATGTTTCCAAATATCCAAAAGATGAATAATTTTTCAAGGACTCATGCACTGATTGGGGAACTAACCTTCAGAACAATTATGGTGTTTGTTACATTAACTGTTGCCATCTTAATTCCAGAACTTGACTTATTGCTTAGTCTTATCGGTGCAGTTTGCAGTACAGTTCTAGCATTAGTTCTTCCTCCTTTAATGGAATTTATATTAGTGTCATGTGAAGAAAATCAACATAAATGGCATGTGATTGTGAAAAATTTAACAATTTTGTTCATATCATTACTAGGATTCCTAACTGGTGGATATGAATCTCTAACAGCTATTTTAGCAAAATTTTAATTAATTTATAGAACCTTGACTGCATCGTTTGTATTAAAATTAACTTAGTGTAAATTCTCTTATCGATTTAGAAAAATAAAAGTTTAGCTCTTAATGTTACTCCATCGATTATCAATGATATACTGCAAGCAGAGAGTGATAAATGTTCATTCACTTTATTTCAGTTTGTTATCTTAATACCAAGATAATCATCAACACACCAATTGAGATTAATCAATCTTACCTGTCGAAAATAGATATTTTTTGATATGAAAAGTCATGGGGAAATTTGTCAGTCGATTTTTTACAGTCAACGAAGGAACATCAAATGGAAGTTAAAAAGGAAGAATTTGAACCTGATGAAAAAGTCAAAAAACATGCCACGACGTATGTTGAGACAATTGTGCATTTTGTAAAGGCTGGGTTGGGTTCCGGAATATTTGCTATGGCTGAAGCATATAGTAATGTCGGTCTGATTCTTGCCCCAATCATAACAGCCTTTTTGTCGTATGTGTGCCTTTACGAACAACATGTTCTTCTAAGATCTGCAGCCAATGTGCGAGAATTTTATGGAATCGAAAGAATACCTGATTATGGTGAAACATTTCAACTTGCTTTATTAGCTAATGACAGATGGAAGATGCACGCACGAAAGATGAAGATTGTATCAAATATCTTCCTGATTCTTACGCAATTGGGATTTTGTGCTGTATATTTTGTTTTCATTGGATCAACTATGCAGCATTTCCTTCAATTTTACGGCATTGAGTTCGGAGTGAGAGCAATTATATCGATGTCTTTAATTCCGATCGGACTAAGTTCATTGATAACTAATCTCAAGTTCTTAGGTAAATATGATGATAACCACGATAAGGAAATCCTTTAATTATTTACAATTTTTTCCGCATTTTTTATCTATGCAGCACCGTGCTCAGGAATTGCTGGAGTTTGCATGATTGTTGGTATTTCAATCACCTTCTACTATCTGTCATTAGATTTGCCACCCATCACAGATCGAGCACTTTCAATTGCAACTTTCGCCAGTATATCACTCTTTTTTGGTACAGTAATCTATGTATTTGAAGGAATTGGAATTGTTCTTCCTCTGCAAAGTGAAATGAAACATCCTAATAATTTCTCTCGGAAGCTTGGCGTACTTAATATTGGCGTTTTAATTCTTACGAGTTTTGTGATAACATTTGGCTTCTTTGGATACTGGCAATACGGTCCAGACGTTGCAAGTTCATTGACATTAAATTTACCACAAGATGAAATTTTGGCTCAAAGTGTTAATATTATCATAGTCGTTGGTGTTGCTTTAGGGTATGCTCTTCAGTTTTACATACCTATACAAATTTTATTTCCACTCGTTAGACGATCGTTGACTTGTGCTTCAAATAATCCAATGATCAGTGAATTAGCTTTCAGAATATTTATGGTGTTAGTGACATTTACAGTTGCTATCCTTGTGCCTAATGTTGGCTTATTAATTAGTTTGATTGGTGCTGTTTGTTCAAACTCACTCGCACTTGTTTTCCCAGTTATTATTGAATATTTAGTCATGACCAGAGGAGACAACAAAATGTCGTGGTTCCATTCGATTAAAAATATTTTAATTTTAACACTCGCAACTGTTGGATTCTTAAGTGGTGGATATCAAAGTATTTTAGGAATAATTGATTTGTATACTTAAACTGTAATAAATTAATATTTATTGTTTGACATACATATTTGAAAGACTTCTTACTTCCTATAATAAATATTCTTTTTAGTTTAGGATTTGTGGTTGAAAAATTTGAGTTGGATTAGTGGAATGTATATTGATTGGTAAGTTCCAAACCATTGTTTCAATGTCAATACTTTTTGGTCCATTCCAATTTTCTTCAGATGGTCCATCGGCTGGCATCAATTCATTGCTTAAAGTTGTAACAAATTGGAAATGAAGTCTCCATCGAACATCCACTAAATCAGTAGTAAATGATGGAGTCACATGTAATGGAATCGGCAATATCATTTGAGTTTGTAAAAGTCCAACACAAATTTCATGGTGCTTGGTAAAGTTTGTAACTTTTCCGGACGAGCTTTTTGATTCTTTGTCACTGACTGGAGATTTTGGAGTATTCCTTAATAAGATCTCTTCACATTGTAAAGTTACAGATAGCTGGACACATCGAACAGAGCGGCATGAAAAATCAAGTGATCCAACAATGTCTTCTCCTAATTTATAGCTGGGCTTAAACAGACAGAATCTTCCAATTTTACCTCGACGATTAGTTATTATGTAAAAATTCGGTCTCCTTCTTGCCGTAATATTTTGTAATGTCTCTAAAGCAATCTCAACTTTAGACACAACTTTTCTGTCATTTTCTAAGAACGGATTTGTTGGTGTCAATTCCTCATTTGTAATGTCATCACCTTGAGCTGGAATTGGCTCAACTTTGTCTTCAATATTAAAGAGTGGAAGCACTCTAATTGGAACTTGCAGAAGCTGCACTTTTGATCCAAGACGTTGAGTAGCCACAGATACTTTATAATAGTACTTGATATCTATGCCTTTATAAGTTGGTGGACAATTTGGAGGTAATTGCTCTCTATAGTAATCTAATTATAGGGATTAAAAATTACTTGTTTAATTTTGGAAGTTTAATAGATAGGAATTTGATTTACATGTCCTGGATTCACCATTTGCTAGACGTAAGTCACAAAACAGGATCTTTGGATTGGTTGATAATATTGAATTCTCATGAACATTTAAGCTGGTTTTCGGTAATGACTGAATGGGTTCTTTAATTTTATGCTGTGTCTTGCAGTATCCATTAATTTGAACAGATCCCCATGCTAGATGCTCCATTGCATCACTGTTTTCAAGTTTAATTAATAATTGTTTAAATCTCCAAATCATCAAAATTTAGGTCAAGAGTAAATTACTTACATATTCGATTGGGAAATCCTGTGTTCTGGTAGTGAATGATTGGATATTGTCACAAAGACCTCAACAGTCTCTCCACAAAGGAATACAGACGATTGATTCCTCAGTAATCTTGCATTAATCTCGAACATGATTTATTTACCTTTTTGATCTTGCGTTGTTGTCAGATTTCACAATGTTTTTAAAGAGTTTAAAGTTCGTTGGTCTATAACGATGTAAAAATATTTGAACGATTAGAATGTTCTAGTTGTGAATATTCGCGTGGAAGTTAGCTATAACAAAACAAAATTTTTCGTGCACTGAAAATCTAGTTTATTTTAAGGAATATGGCTCTATCATTACGTTCAAAGTTGTTATTCGGATTGAAGAGAATCCAAAGTGTACCAGTGGCTTTATATCATGAAAATGTAACGTAGATTAAGCTCCAAAAAATGTCAAAGATCTCAATTTCATAATTAATTATAGGTTCTCGATCACTATGAAAATCCAAGAAATGTTGGCAATTTAGACAAAAAGGATAAGAATGTAGGGACCGGCTTGGTTGGTGCACCGGCATGTGGAGATGTCATGAAACTACAAATTCGGGTATTAATTTTAGCTAGCTTATTTCATTTTAGATATTAGATGCGCAATAGATGAGAAAGTAAACAATCATTAATGCTTCTTTTATCTACTTATTAGGTCGATGATGATGGGAAAATTATAGATGCCAAGTTTAAAACATTTGGATGTGGATCAGCAATAGGTGAATAATAATTATAGCTATTATTTTGGCAACAATATTGATAAGAATTTCTTTTAAAGCATCAAGTTCCTTAGCGACAGAATGGGTCAAAGGAAAATCATTGGAGCAAGCTGGATCCATCAAAAACACTGATATAGCAAAGGAATTGTGTCTCCCGCCTGTTAAATTGCATTGTTCAAGTAAATATCTCTATTTGTACATCTCACGTTTCCTTAATCACTCATTTTCTTATCATTTAATTATTTAGTGCTCGCAGAAGATGCTATAAAAGCAGCTTTAGCAGATTATAAGAAGAAACAAGTCCCAAAAAATTGAGTAGTCTATTTAAATCATGTAAACTAAATGAATGAACTAATAAAATGTAAGGAGTGACACTTATAAATAATATATTCTTGTAGAATAACGTTGATCATGTTAAGGATGTCATTAAAACTGTAGAAATTAGTCAATTTAACGGAAAAATAAAAATTTGTTAAGCAAGTTTTAAAGCTTTATATCCACACCGTTTGCTTTTACTATGTTTCAGCTGTTCAAACATGAAGATTTAAGCAGTAATCAGGGTGTGAATATGCTGTAAATGTTGAATATACTTTATCACTACATACTTGTTCGTTTTATTCGAAATTAATCTATCCGACCTCTTAAAAAATCGCAAAATAATAAATATGAATATTTTTCTGATTATTTCTGGATTTCTTTGCTTTTCAAGTGAGTACTAGTGTTATATACAGTGATTAAGTGATGTAAATAATGAAAAAAATCAAGAATCAGTCTTAGTAATCGCCATTCAATTAAAACACAAAAATATTTTTTTATTATTTGATCAAAAAATTGATTTTTTCTTTCATTTCCAGTTTTGTCTTCATCAGCTTCCGAATATACCTTAAATATCACATCTGACAGTCCAATAGCAATAGGAACGTCTGTAACATTTAATGTTACATTGCTTGAAGATGGAAAAATAGCTCCAAATAATAAATATCTGTTTAGATATAAATTTTTAAGATCTGGTGGTTCCAAAGAAACTCACAGTCCGTCGGAAGTATTTACAATCAATGCAGAGGAACTAGATCATGGACATTATGAGATTACTTTCTATGTCGATGAGTTTGTGATTTTTGTCTATTACGAGAAGGCAAGAACAAAAGCATCATTTAATATCACAAATAGATTTAATGGACTTATGCAGCTTGTTCAGAATCCAAATGATACAATACGTGATAATGGATATGTGTCAAGTGAATCCGAGACCGTCCATAATATTATTATTTCTGATAAGGACAAAAAATTATTCGACAAAGCTGCATACATTCGCGTATTTTGGTTCATCGACTGCCTCTATTTGGGTAAAATACTTATTTTTATTTCTTCTTTGTTTAATCATACAAATGATATGCAGCTCCACATATTAATTCGCATTATATTTTTGTTTTAAATAAGGAATGACTGATAATCTGAACTTTTCAAATTGGTATAAGCAAGAGAATGGCAATTACAATGTCGAGGCAATACTTCAACTTTCTTACGAACCGTTACCTCCTCCAACAACAAGCAGTAAGTAGTCAGACTCAATTTTATGCTAATTTCTAGAGCATTTTTTCCAAATAATGGTTCCGTGAGAATTATTTTCGCAAATCGCAAGTTGCAGTTACGCAATTTTCCATTTTGATGCTGTCTATAAATTTTTGAGCATTTTGTACAGTCATTTTGGCAGGAAATGACTAAAAGTTTCTTTAGCTTATGACTAGTGCATGAGACATAATGCTATTTTAGAATGGAATAGCTTTAAAGCTTACAGAGAGGCATGACATAACTTAATGTTATAGGCACTTGAAAAATCCTTCGACTATAGCGGTGTACTTAAATTTGCATAAATTATTTCAGTAAAGATGAGAAAATGCGCAGAGAATTTGATTAATTTTGAAATAGATGCAGCACTATGGGGCAAAATTGAAAAAAGAGAGACTTTCACTTTGCCAGAATTTGATGGAAGTTTCGACAAATGGTTAACTTTCCGTGATACTTTCGTATCATTAGTACACACGAATTCATCATTCTCTAGCATCGAGAACAAGTTTCATTATTTAAAAAGTTCTATAAAGATAGAACTTGCATCTCAAAACATCCTCAATAATTGTCAAGTGACAGATGACACGTATGAAAATGCTTGGGAAGCATTATGTTCGAGATTTGATGATCGTAAAGCAATGTTATTAGAATATACAGATTCATTGTTCAAAGTTGAGAAGATTTACAAGACTCAAGATATATTAAAGTTGGTGGATTCATACGTCAGCATAAGGTCATCGTTTGTAAAACTGAATGTAACTGATCATGAGTTTATGGATTTGATGTACGAGAAGAGAATGGGACTTGCACATTAATACTCATAAACCAACATTTCATGAGTTATGTAAATTTCTGGAAGGAAGACATAAGTCAGTAAAATATACGGCTAGTGAATCATCAATTCCAACATCTTCGAAATATCAACAAGAAAATAAGCAAAATAGGAAAACTTTCTTGGCAAACAACAAACCTGATAGTCTTGTATGCTCAATTTGTTCACAAAATCACTTGAACAGTAACTTTCCATCATTTCTCAGAGAGAACATTGACAAAAGATTTGGAATAGTTTCAAAGCTCAAACTATGTATGAATTGTTTAAGACCTGGACATATTGCAAAGAAATGTTTAAGTTCAAAAAATTGCAATACATGTGGAAATAGACATCATACGACACTTCATCGAGCATCAGACGAAGAAGCTTTCGAAAAATCATCAACAAGCAGTTCATCAGACAAAATATTAGTGATAAACAATAAAGCATTACTGTCATCAACTAAAAAAAGTACTATCAACAGTAAAAATATTGATTTGTGACAAAGAAGGTAAATGGCAAGTCATAAAAGCTGTTATGGATTCTGGTAGCAATGGGCATGTCATTACAGAAGCAACAGCAAAACGACTGGGTTTATCTCTTAGAAAAATTGATAGAGAAATAAAGGGAATCAATAATATTCCTACTGGTGTAAAATACGAAGCTGTCGCAACGATTAAGTCAAGATATCCAAGATATGGTAATTTCAAAAATACCATAACTCTCGATTTTTTTCCTGTAATTACAGATCAGTTACCTACTCATTATTTTGAAACTAAGAAATTTCAAATACCTAATGAAATTTTTATGGCTGATCCAGAATTTAACGTTCCAAGTGATATTGACATGTTGATTGGTTGCAAGATATTTTGGGATGCTGTATTGAAAGACAGACATCAAATATCTAACAATGTATTATTAATTCATAGAAAGTTTGGATGGATGTTTAGCGGAAATGCAGAATGTAATGAAAACTTAAAGACAACATTATTATCAATGTCACAACAGCCATCACTTGAACAACAACTGGAGAATTTCTGGATAGTTGAACAATGTGAAAATAAAGATAGACTGTTGACTGAAGATCAAAAAACATGTGAAGAGATATTTAGGACCACAACAGTTCGAGACGAAAGTGGAAGATATGTGGTTGATCTTCCATTTAAATCAAATTACACTAATCTTGGTTATAACTTGAATAATGCAATTAATCGATTTAGAGGCTTAGAAAACAGATTCAAGCGAGATAATTTGTATTATCGTGAATACAAAAAATTCATAAATGAATATGAAGAATTGGGGCATATGAATGAGTTGAAAAATTTAACGTCACCTTTTGAATCGTGTTATTATCTTCCACATCATGGAGTTGTGAAGGAAGATAGTACAACAACAAAATTGCGTGTTGTTTTTGATGCATCCTGCAAGTCTGCAACTGGTTTGTCGCTTAATGAAACGTTATTTATTGGACCAACAGTACAACCAGAACTTTATGATCTCATCATAAAATTCTTAACAAAACCAATAGCATTAAAAGCTGATATTGCTAAGATGTACAGAAAAATTCTTGTATCGCATCAGAATTATCAACGCATTATTTGGAGAGATGGTCCAAATGAGAAATTCAAACACTTAAACTTGAATACTGTAACTTATGGAACATCATGTGCTCCTTATTTGGCAACGAGAGCATTAAATCAACTAGCAGATGATTATCAGCATGTATATCCAAATCAACTAGCAGATGATCTGTTGTTTACATGTGATACTGTTGAGAAGAGTAACAAATTACGAAAAGAATTATGTGAAGTATTCGAAAAGGCGGGAATGTCTCTACGTAAATGGGTTTCAAATAGTCAAGAAGTACTCTCTTCAAATCCTACAAGTCATCTTGAAAAGATTCAAGAATCAAGCGAAATAAAAGCTTTAGGTATAATTTGGAACATATCTTCAGATACATTCACATTCAAGTTGAATTTCAAAGATAAAAAGTCGTTAACAATGTCATCAGTTCTTTCATGTATTGCCAGTATTTACGATCCAATCGGTTGGCTTGGTCCAATTATATTAACTGCAAAATTATTTATGAAGAAGCTGTGGTCACTACATCTTGATTGGAAGTCAGCATTACCTGATGATTTATGTGAGGAGTGAGGAATGGAAAAAATTTGAAACATCACTGATATTGGTTAATCAAATTAAAATTGATCGACAAATCATTTGCGTAAATCCAGTAAATATTCAATTACATGGATTTTGTGATGCTTCTACAAAGGCATACCGGAAGGTGTTGTATTTGCGATCAACAAATATTAACAAAAATGTTGCATGTCGAATTACTACATCAAAATCTCGTGTAGCACCACAGAAGCAAATAACACTGGCTAGATTAGAACTTAGTGGAATTTCATTGTTAGCAAAATTTGCAAAACGAATTAGCAAAAGATTAGGAATTCCAGCAAATGATGTTTATTTATGGAGTGACCCTTTAATTGCACTTCATTAGGTCAAGTCAGAACCTGCTAAGTTATCAGTTTTTGTTGGAAATCGTGTAGCCGACATTCAAGTAGAAGCAGAAAAATTCAATTTTAGTCATGTTCGCACAAAAAGTAATCCTACAGATTTAATTTCACGAGGTGCAACAGCAGAAGAATTGAATAACTGTGATTTGTGGTGGAATGGTTCAGATTATCTTCAAGAAGATGTAGAGTGCTGGCCACATTCATTATTAAACTTCGATTTGGATAATTCCGAGTATAAAAAGGAATTTGGTCGAGTGTTACTTGTAACTCATCCATTGTTGAATCACATCATTCATTATATTGAAAATAGATATTCTCATCCAACAAAGCTATTTAAAATATTTGCATCTTAATTAAGAATAATAGATAAATGGAAGAAGAAAGCAAATATCAAAATCGAACGTCAACATGCAGATTATGAGCTTCTAGGTAAAAACAAAGTAATTCATCTTATACAATTACATTTTTCCCCTCAAGAATTGAAGAAGTTGGCAAAAGGAAAAGAAGTTTCATTATCATCTAGTATCAAACAACTGTCACCATTTCTGGATAATTATGGTATTATGAGAGCAAGAGATCGCATTGGTCATCATGCCTAAGTGTCAATTTGTTTATAATTTGATTTGTCAGATTCATCTTGATAATTTGCATTCGACAAAACTTTCAACATTATTTTTTGTGAGACAAATTTATTGTCCTGTGCAAGTAAAAGCGATGATTCATAAAATCATTTAGCTATCGTTTTTCAGCAGGAACAGCACCAAATGACTTGAAATTTGGCATAGAAGTCAGGTTTTATGTCCTCTACAAGAAAAAATTCACTTAGGAACGTAATTCGAAAAAGTCCCAAAATCAAAGTGAAAGTCCCTCTTTTTTCAATTTTGCCCCATTGTGTGCAGATAAGGATTTATTGATGAAGTTGCTAATTTTTTATAAACTTTAATTTTTCAGCAACTCCTAGTACAACAACCTCTACAACCACAACAAGTAATTTTCAAAATTTGAGCTTATTTGAATTTTTTATTCTTATGATTTCATTTATTTAATTCATTAAAAAAATTAGCAACTACACCGAGCACCACAACAACAACAACAACAACAACAAGCACCACAAGTAATTAAAAATTTATTATTTTTTAAAACACTATTCGGAGACATTCGGAGATTCTTTTAAAAACAACAGTCAAAAAAATTCAAAAAATAAGTTTTGAATCTTTTTAAAATTTCCATGACAGTTAAATTTTCAAAAACTATAAACTCGTAATTTTTTTATTACAAAATTTTAAAATCCTTAAATTTATGATTTAATTCCTTTATTTTATTTAAATAATTTAGCAACCACCCCAAGTACCACGACAACAGAATCTACAAGTAATTATTTCAAAATATAATTTCTCTATTTTTTTTTAATTTTAATTTTATCATTTTTATAATTTAGCAACTTCTACAACGACAAGTACAACAACGTCGACAAGTTAGCTTTCACTTTTTATTTTACTTTGCTTATTATTAGAAAAACATTCAGACAAATTGTACATTCATGGCATGTGTGGTAAATCGAACGTACTTTAAATGCAGCTAGTTACTAAAATTTACTTTTGGGGTGGGGGTTCAGTTTAAAGTTTTGTGTTCATATTTAACAAGCATGTTTACCCACATAGCTAATGTGAATGAACTTTGTGTTTGCTAGATGACTTTTGCAATAAATAATTGAATTATATTTTTAGCAACCATACCTCCAACAACCCAAAGTACGACAAAAACGGAGACAACGTCAACTAAGAAACCAGATTCAAGGAGAAAACGTCGAGACGCAACAACTCCGCATTTTGAATGGAATATTAAGCATCTAGTCGAAACTGGAAGTATAAAACCAGAAAGTGTTGCGAATGAAAACATGATGGACTATTTAACGACAACAGCAATTCCAATGGCTGAAAGAATAAGAAAATTGGAAGACGAGACAGTTCCTTATTTCGGAATGTGTACAGCAAATGCTTCAAAAGTCATTTCTGATCAGAAGAAAATTTATGGATATTATCATAGATTAATTCGCGTAGAGAATCCAATATCGAATTTGACAGTAGAAAATAATGTTTGGCTTAAACATGGAGATTTTTGTAATTTGAAGATTAGATATGTAGGAACAGCACCATTTATGTACTGTGTGAATATCACAGCAAGCAGTAATGTGAGTCTTAGTAGAGCTGAGAATGATAATTGTACTGACTGGAGGTCAACAAATGATAAGGAAATGACAATTCGAAGGTTTTTGCCAAAGTCATCTAATTCCTATACTGTGACTTTTTATCTTCACAATGAAGTTTCTCAGTCAAGGACACCGATTGGAGTCCAGTTTATTAAAGGTGTGTGACATTGGTTTATTAATAATTTTGAAACTTCTGCAGGTTTAAATAAAATTTCAGTTTATTTAAAATAAACGGTTTTTAGAGATTTAAAATTTGAAAACCAAACAAATTATTGATAAGTGCTTAAAAACCGTACAAATTCAAATAACATTTGTAAGGCCTTGGAGAAAATTTGAACAAATTATTGATAAGTGTTTAAAAACCGTACAAATTCATATAACATTTATAAGGTTCTGGATACAAAATGTTTAATTTAAATCTAAAATTTCCGGTAAAAATTCGATTTTGCATTTAACGCTAAATTTCTTGTTGTTTCTCATACCAAATCATTCAATGCAAACAGTGAAATTTGATCATCTATTAATAATGATATTTATGCCAGTCATATACAATTTTGCATATCAAATAATGGAATATTAAACCAAATTTTTATCTCATTTCAGAGAGCGAGCATTCTCAAATGTCTGTTATAATTGTTCCAGTTGTATTTTCCCTTGTTGCAGTAGTACTGATTGTTTTTGGCATAGCCTATTATGTGCAGAATCCAAATCAGTTCTTAATAGAAACAGCCGATTTTGATTTCGGTGAGACTTCATCTGTAGAAAGTATGGAGTATAAATCATTCCTTCAGCGACTTCTTGATAGTGTATCAGATCTGTTTATTAAGCAAGATTACTTAGAAGAATCAGAGCCAGGCGTAACGGGTCCATCGTCATCACAGGACACAAATGTGCGATACGGAGCAATGTCATAAGATAAGAAAAAAGACAATTTTTAAGGAAAACCAAGTTTATTAACCTTAGATGATTACCAATATTGATTCAATAGATTTTATTGTGAGTCGCTCACTTTCCGAGCTTTAACTTTTTGTCATCATCTCATATTAAGTATGAGACGATACACGATAATCAAAGGGTTGCCAAAACCAAATTAACATTTCAATTATGATATAAATAATAATATTAATAATATAGAATACTTAAAGAGAATTTTATGATCAAAATGAGTGAATAATAATTAGAGTCAATTCGAATGATTAGGGATCTTGACTTTTTTGCGGAAATGACTGATACGATGTGAGAAATTATTGGATTATTGTTTAGTTTTAATGTGTTTTTTATTACATATTATTTTTTATTGTGTTTTGTATCTCATTGAAAATTGTATCTTTTAAGGATACAAAAAAGAAAAATTATGAAAAGTTTAATGAAAATTAAAACTTTTGGCTAATAAAAAAACTGTTATCTAAAAAGGATGCTTAGGAACTAGATTATTTAATTTGAAGGGTTACTTCCTGGATTAGCCAGTTCAAAACCACAGACCCAAACGAAGTCTATAGATGTTCCTATCATGCAGTGTTATGCAATTTCTTAAACTCAATCTGTTGTAAGGTTCTAATTTTAGAACATTTGTAAGGTTTTCGTAAGAAAATCTTTATGCGATGGCTAGTCTAGGGGTTCCAGAATTCCCGTTCCCGTAAGATTTCGGGAATCGGGAACGGGAACGGGAATGATGTCCGGGAACGGGAATATTCCCGGGAATCAACAAAGAAAAAAAAAAGTTTAAAGCTACACTTACACCATGTATTTTATTTAGGTTTTTAAATCAAATTTAAATTCTATTTCATTTGATTGTCAAATTGATTCTGTTGACAATAATTTCCGTTTAAAATTCAATACTTTTTGGTTTTAGAACAAATCTTAAAGTACGATTTTAAAAAACTTATTGCATTAACGTGCTAGTCTAGCAATCTAGTGTGATATATTATTGGAGATTGAAAAGTTACGTTCAGCTCTTGTAGATGTTGGTGGAATTGATAAAATATAATCTGATAGATTCAAAAGGCATGGTGATTTATGCTGAAACTTGTCGTAATAATCAAAATCTTTACGAATCGTGTCAAATTTATCATTTGTAAGCTTTGAAATTGTAGGTGATGCCATTAATTCTTCAAGATTCAGTTTCAGTCGTTCAAATTATTTTAATCCGATGTCAATTAAGTTTATTATTTTGTGGACATCATACATTTAAAAAAATATTTTTAAATACTTTTTCTCTTCGTTTTTCATAAATATATGTTTTTGATTTAAAACACATCAAATTTGAGTTTAATATTTCAGCTCTTAAATTCCTTAACGTATGTTTTCATTATTATAATTTTCTTCTTTAAATTGTAGTTTTTTCATTAAACATACAAAATAAAAAAAAAAAAAATCTAATTTGAATTGTCGGTTTTTTTTGTATGAAAACGGGAATTTCGGGAATATTCCCGATTTTAGAACCCCTAGGCTAGTCCCTCTTAAAATGATGTTTGGTGATAATATCCAACTTTTAGTCGATGATAATGATGATAAATGCTGATTTTGGGTTCTCAATTATTCTCTATTCCAGACCTTGAAAAAGGTATAGTTTAAAGTTCTCTATAACGGTTTTTCCAAATTTGAATTTGGAACAAAACGACTTTTATTTTTGTGAACATTTGAATTTTTTTTTTATTAAATTAATTACTTCTAAGTGTTTAAAGAGTTCCATAAAGGATGGAGAAGATGCAATTAGGAAGTCCAGCTTCTAGCCCAGCACAGAACTCATATTTACCGAATTTTTTAATGGGAATCGAAAACACACCGACAAATCGATCTTTCTGTAAGTTTTTCTTTAATTCCACTTTAAATAGACAGCATTATAATTAAGTAATTATTGGAATTCAGCTAATTCACCAACAGCATCACCAGACTTTAATCGATCAAACTTACAGCAAAGGTTTTTGACTGGATTACAAAGTCCTAATGCCGCATTTCCAAATCAAAATACATCCATAAATCAACCGTCAATTCAGGCACAAGCTGTCTATCAATCTCAAAATAATAACAATACAAGCATCTCTGGACCACCGATTAATAGTTTATTTGATAATTTAAGAAATGACAAAAGTTTTCAAACGCCATCAAAAAGTTTCTATCAGCCACAAGCCATCCATCAAGATACGCCTCAACTGAACAATTCTGGATTTAATCAGTCACGAGTATTTTCACCAATTCCTCATACCTTCAATGATTTTAATAGCTCTTATAATATGGGTCCAGGACCTGTCAATCAGTCCTTTAATATCAACAATAATGTTTCTATGGCTGGAAATGTCAATAGATTTAATCAAAGTGATTTTTGGGTAACTGTCTTTGGATTTCCAGCAGAAGCGATAACAGCAGTCTTGTCTCATTTCTCTGGATGTGGAACTATTCTAGAGAAAGTTTGTTCTTCTGGTAATTGGATTCATTTAAGATTCTCATCAAAAGGCGAATGCGATAAAGCACTGCTGTATAATGGGAAGATTATTGGCAATAATTTAATGATTGGTGTCATTCGATGTCAAGATGATTCTGTGATTGAGAAAGAAAATACAGTTGACGTTAGTCGAGCATCAATCAATAAGATTCGTTCATTGACACAAGCTGCTTATAAGTCAGCTAAGGTTGAACATGAAGTCTTGCCAGCAAACGATGATCCTAAGAAAACTACAGGGATTGTTAATAAAGCTATGGACCTATTGTTTGGATGGTAATATGATAAATAAATTAAATTATGACTGGCATAGCTGCATGTTGTCTGTAAAATTGATTAATTATAGTTTTTCATTCATGTAATGTTCATTAAAGTCAAAAATTTGTTAAAATAAAGTAATAACGACATTTAATTTGAAACTGTACGTGTTGTTCCTAAATTTTTGTGTATTATACACAGCCCTGCACATGTTCAATATTCGTACCCTGAGTATGCTTGAAAGATTCACAAGATCATCATTCGTCGGCAAGATTTCATCGAGAAAAGTTCATAAAAAGTTAGCAATAATGGTTTCAATTATTTTAATTGTGACTGCACTTTGTGCAATCGGTTCCACTTTCGCTCAAACAGGCCCAAAAGTGACGGATATTGTAAGTAAATTAATAAATTTTTAAGTATTAAGTCCCACGCATACAATTCCAATAATTTTATACTGCGTAAAGTTCATTAACTCATTGTTCAATTTGCTCAAAAAAGACCGGTTCGTGATTGTCTATCTCTTTCGTATGTAATTTAAACAAATCTTTAGTGCTAATGGATGATGAGCAAATTTGCATTATTCATGAATACCTTTTCTGGATCTTCTTATTTCTATCTAAAGAAGATGTAAGGAAGGAATTTTCTTTAATGGACACGTCACAAAAAAAGTTGACGCTATTATTATTGTTATTTGTGTGCTGCTGATAATGCTTTTCTGTTGATATATTTAGATACAGTTTTCATCATATTCATTTCCTTCATTTTTTCAACTCATATAGGTTTTCTTTGACATTGAAATTGGTGGAAAACCAGCAGGTGAAAACAATACATGCTTTTAATAATGCCCATTGTTCTCTAATGATTATTAATTTTCTAAGGTCGCATTGAAATCGGTCTTTTTGGAGGCACTGTTCCTAAAACCGCCAAGAACTTTGCTGAATTAGCTCAAAAAGGACCAGGTGAAGGCTACAAAGGAAGCAAATTCCACAGAGTCATTAAAGATTTCATGATTCAGGTGAGTGCTTTTTATTCTAATCGATGTTATTCAAATTCATGCTTAATAATTCCTATAGACTTGAATAATTAATTTAATTAAACATTTTCTATCATGCTAATGTAATTAAATGCAAGTTTCAAGATCACTTGCATAATTGAATTAATTTCTTGTGAACTTGCTTGCATTTTTCATGCGCTTGTTAAACGCATGAATGTAATGAGCATAATTTGTCTGGATTCATGGATGGCTGACATATCTCGATTGTGACTCAAAATTGGAGCATATCAATTGTCAGCATCAATTGTAAATTGTCTGTGCTATATTGTTGTTGCGCACAAACTACTTTACATGCTCTTTATGACCGGAATTCCCAACATCCTTAAATTAAATTTTGACTTATGATTTCCATCGTTAATATAGGGCGGTGATTTCACAAGAGGTGATGGAACTGGTGGACGTTCAATCTATGGTGAAAGATTTGCTGACGAAAACTTCAAGCTTCAACATTATGGATCAGGTTGGTTGTCAATGGCCAACGCTGGAAAAGACACAAATGGATCACAATTCTTCATCACCACAAAGAAGACATCCTGGTTGGATAATCGTCATGTCGTTTTCGGAAAGATCATTAAAGGAATGAGTGTTGTTCGTGCCATCGAAAGTTCAAAAACTGACGGACGTGATAAGCCAGTTGAAGACGTAGTGATTGCTGATTGTGGAGTTTTACCAGTTGATACACCATTCAACACAGAAAAGGCTGATGCCGAAGAATAAATTAATTACTTCCATTTTATACATACAGTAAGATTGGTTCACTATGTGAATCTTTTGTGAAGTTGTGAGAACATACAGATCGGAAAAAAAATAAAATTTACAAAAAAAATCTTGAGAAGCTTAGGATCATCCACTAATGACAGCTGTTGAGTAGATTGTCATTGATGGATGTTCTCTCGTATCTTTTTATGTAGAATCACATTTTATTCAAGTATTATTGCAACATTAGTTAAGGAAAAACGTCTAAAACCTAATTTTTTTTTATACAAAGCTTTCAAGTTTTATCTCACATCCGCTGAATTATCAATAAAACAATTGAGTAGCGTAAAAACAAGAAGAATGCGTGACAAGATCTATTGATTAATAAATATTAATACACGAATAACGATGTGCCTATATTAATAATATATATGATAACATGTATGTGATTAATGTACGACAGAAGTCTCACTAACAACTCGAGTATATTTTAATGCTGTCTGTAATTGACTCAAAATTCAACATTGAGATTATGCATGCTACTACTAATATTACTTCCATTTTTTTGAGTATTAAATGTTGTCTCGATCACATAATTTACCAAAAATTTGATATCATTTTCTAGTTCTTCCTACAGTCCATCAACTATTCAAAAACTTCCTTCGATCTTTGCAGCCCTACTAATTCGTGCTGCAGACGAGCTAGCTTCAGCTTCAGGTGATACACAGACGGGAATGGATGAACTCCATTTTCCATCTTTCATACATTTGAGCATTTTTGGACCACGAATTTCTAGTCCATTGTCACATGAGAAAATTACAGTTTCACTAATTGCATAATAAAATTTTACTGAAGACATTCGGCCACTTATTGCTGTTCCTGGATATGAACAAGCTCTAACACATTTTGGTACTGGTCCACTCCATCGTGCATTATCTTGACATGCTATTATTGGTTGTCCTTGCATCATATATTCTGGATTACAATTAAATTGAACTACATCACCTGCTTTATATGGTGGAGTTCCTTGTGTGTAGCCATTTGATGGTTGACCAGGATGGAAGCACTGCACTTCTGAACATGTTGGGATCTATAAGAAATAATCTCATTGTCAGGAATATCCACATTAAAAAAATAAGACATAACTTACAGGACCACCCCATTCCCCAGATGGCAAACAAATTGTCTCTGAAGGTCCTTTTAAGCCGTGACCAGGTGGACATGAGAAAGCTGCTCGTCCACCAACTTCACGAGATATTATTGCAACACGTGGTGCTGAACCATTAAGACTAGGTGGAATCGGAACTTCGCCACATTCAACACTTTCACAAATCGGAAGAGGCGATGACCAATTTCCACTTGCTAGGCACGCTATCTCAGGCGTTCCAATCAATGCATTTCCATTGTTGCATGAAAATTGAACTTTTGTTCCCATTTGAGTAGCTGTTGTGCTTAAAACAAGACCTCTTCTTGGCATTATATCACCACAATGGACAGCTTTTACTTCTACGACTACAGAATGTGTATGACGAGCTGGTGTATGGCATGAATAAATCCCAGTATCGCCAGTTTCTGCTGTGAATATGCTTAGTCTGTATTCTAACTGTGAATCTCTTCCTTCGTCTGTATTCCATCCTTCTGGGTACTTTCTAAAATATTTAAATACTTGTAACTTGTCGGGTTGAAAAAGAATAGTTGTGTGCCTACCTGAATTCTTGACTAACATTCCATTTTGGAGTTCCAAACCGTCTCATCCACAGACACTCCATATGTAAAGTCGTTCCAGGATAAACAATCAATCGTCCATCATTACTTTGAGCAATGGGACCATTTTGATGCCTAAATAAAATTGTTGGAGCTTTTTCCACTAAGAACAAAAATAGACAGCAGATGCTTAAAAGTATGTCACATAAAGATATAAGCTATACTTACTTGCATAATCATTTTCCTGATTTAAGCCATAACAATGAGGCTTTTGACCAGTAAATCTGCTTCGGATACATGTTCGATTACTACTGCCAACCATCATGTATTTCCCAATATCCACACATCTGCCAAAATGGATAAAAGATTTGATTTTAATTCAATTGCACAATCAAGTGCTGAAGAAAATGAAATTTCCTGATAACGTTCGCAATTCATTGAACTAGAAAATTGTATCAAGTGACATTACTTTCTAGTGTCATTTTCCGTTTAGATTTTGTGGATGTCACACGTTGAACAATGGAAGAAGCACAGGAAAAATTAGCAAGTCTTATGAAAAATGCTCAGAACAAGAAAATTAACTTGAAGACAATTAAAAGTTTTAAAAAGTTCGAAAAACATTTCAAATTAAACTTTAAATGGAAATTCTTGATTGTGACAGCTGTATTGGCTATGATTCATGCCAAATTTGGACATTTATTAAATTCCAAAAATGTAAGTTAAATTTTAAAAGGGTTTTGTCTTAATTATTAATTTTAAAATTCTTATGTGCCATACTTTTCAAGTGCTCAATAGCCATACCGAAAGATTTTGATAAAATATTTCGGGAACCTGACGATTGCAGCTTCTGTCGAGGCATAAGAGCAGGTAAACGTGTAGCAAACATAGACCCGGATGAGTTTGAAAAGCTTTATGCATACAATGGAAATGTAATGATTGTAACTGATGCTACAAAAAATTGGACAGCACTTGATGTATTCGACTTTTGGTATTTAAAGGAAGTGTATGAGAAATATGATCCAAAACGGAAAACACTTGACTGCCAGTTTTTCCGTTACAAGACAAATTTTACAAGCTTATTTGAGGCTTTAAACATGGACAAAGATCGAGCTGATTACAAACCAGGAACTGAACCATGGTATTTCGGATGGAGCAATTGTAATGAAGATATTGCTACAATTTTGAGACAACATTATAGTCGACCATACTTTTTGCCAAAAACATCGGAACTAAATGCTGTTGATTGGATTTTTATGGGTGGTAGAGGGTATGGAGCTCATATGCATCTAGATAATGTAAGATTGCCATCATGGCAAGCTCAACTGAAAGGAACTAAGGAATGGCTAATTGCACCGACACCTGAATGCATTTTTGAGTGTCATTTCTTTTCAGTCATTGTTAATCCTGGTGACGTCAGTAAGTATATCACTGACATCTTCAAGTTTAATATTTTGACCTCTTTACAATTGTATTTTAGTTGTTCTCGACACCAACAAGTGGTATCATAAGACAAATGTCTTATCAGAGGAAATAAGCATTGTCATTGGAGCTGAATATGATTAAAGAAAGTAGATTTGTAATACGTACCTTGAGATAATTGTTGTTCCAGCGGGAAATTCAACATAATTTTCTCTTATTTCCAAGTCATTATAAAAACTGACGACATGTGGATCTGTATTCTTAAATAAGCAGGAACCATTTGCCAACGGTGTGTTGTATAGTCTCTCATCATCCTCTGTAAATCGGAAATAAAATAAAGTTTAGAATATTGGGTCGAGTTTCAATATAATTGAGTATTACCACAATCATGAGCTCGACCAATCCAATGACCTTGTTCGCAGATAATTTTCCAGGTTGTTCTTTCACCAGTGATGCTTGGAATACAACTAAACGAAATTTCAGTTCCAGATGGATATGAACTCATTTCTTCATTTTCAATTAAATCTTCGTTCTTATAAATCAAGATCAGCACTTCCTTTGATGGTGGAGGACAATCTCCTTCCTCATCAGAACTTGTCGAGTTTCCATCATCAATAATAAAATTCATGTGATCTTCATCCTCACTATTTTTCTTTGATGCTGTATAGCTACAACTCATAGTTTGAGGAGTAAGAGAACCTAATGCACAGTCCATTTGTACTGCTGGAATCGTATTAGCTGCTCCATTCTCGCATTGAACCATGACATGTGAGCCATGAGCTAAAATTAATCTATATTAAGCATCTGATCATTCCTTATTATAAAGCTGACCTAACCTATTGTTAAACCTTCACGATAACCTCCTTGATAAACAGCATGCATTATCTCTGGCAGCACACAAGGAGCTGGTAAGCATTCTGGAAGACCAAGCGACGACCAATTTCCATCAATACATTTAATACTGTTGGCGCCCTATGAATAGATAAATATTTGGATGATTCTTAGCAGTTTTGTCGTAATTCAGTTGATGACATTGAATGAACTATAGCCAATTTATGGTCCAAATTAAGTATGACAAAGTATATATTGCTGGAAAGTCCTCTATTTCAGCTATACGATTTCGCCATTTTTGGAATTTTTGAAACGGTTCTATCGGTTTTGTATCGGTTCAAAGTCAACGAAAAATGAACTGCTAATAACTTTTGATCAGAATAGTAAAAATTAAAAATTCTTTTTGGTATTAAGAGCCTGTAAAAATCAACAGAGCTTTTAAGAGTTTTCAATTTTTTCCCATGAGTGTTATATCATTTTTGAAGGGCCCAAACTTCAAAATTCAATCGTTAATAACTCAAGAACTATAAAAGATATGAATATGAAACTTTTGCTGATTGATTTACTTTTTTATGTAGTATAATTAACAGGAACTGAGTTTGGGGTCGCTTCATAAATATTGTCTCAACAGTCAAAACATTAAATTTTAAAAATTTCTTTCACTTTTTTCTATAATAATTTGAAACTTTGAAAACAAATGTTTTGATGCGATTATAATCAGCATTAAAATACCTTTATAACGATGTATCACATGTTTGGGGTCTGTACAAAAATTCGGTCAAAAAATAATTTTTGATACTTTTGATAACTTTTTTGGAAGATTTTAAAAATTCCAAAAACAGATTTAAATAGCATTTTTCAAGATCTTTTCAACGATATATAGTTTGTATGCCTTTACTTAAAATAATGATTACCGTTTCAAGCTTGTTGTTGTTGTAAAAAAAACGAAATCTTACTTTCAGCTTTTCTTAAAAACAATGCAAGTAAGGCATGCAAACTATATATCGTTGAAAAGATCTTGAAAAATGCTATTTAAATCTGTTTTTGGAATTTTTAAAATCTTCCAAAAAAGTTGTCAAAAATGTCAAAAATTATTTTTTGACCGAATTTTTGTACAGACCCCAAACATGTGACACATCGTTATAAAGGTATTTTAATGTTGATTATGATCGCATTAAAAGATTTGTTTTAAAGTTTCAAATTATTATAGAAAAAAGTGAATGAAATTCTTAAAATTTAATGTTTTGACTGTTGAGACAATATTTATGAAACGACCCTAAACTCAGTTCCTGTTAATTATACTACATAAAAAAGTAAATCAATCAGCAAAAGTTTCATATTCATATCTTTTATAGTTCTTGAGTTATTAACGATTAATTGAATTTTGAAGTTTGGGCCCTTCAAAAATGATATAACACTCATGGGAAAAAATTGAAAACTCTTAAAAGCTCTGTTGATTTTTACAGGCTCTTAATACCAAAAAGAATTTTTAATTTTTACTATTCTGATCAAAAGTTATTAGCAGAGGTCGAAGCCGACATGAGTTCGCTCCGGTTCGCTAAAAAACCGATTCGATAACCGGTAAATTTGTATGAAATGTTGTACTTCACAAGTGGCAGCAGAAAAAAATCTATTCAAATTTGAATCGGTTTTTTAGCGAACCGGAGCGAACTCATGTCGGCTTCGACCTCTGGTTATTAGCAGTTCATTTTTCATTGACTTTGAACCGATACAAAACCGATAGAACTGTTTCAAAAATTCCAAAAATGGCGGAATCGTATAGCTGAAATAGAGTACTTTCCAGCAATATATACTTTGTCATACTTAATTTGGACCATAAATTGGCTATAGTTCATTCAATGTCGTCAACTGACTTACGACAAAACTGCTAAGAATCATCCATTTAAGGTTAGAACAATCTACATTAAGGATTTTATTACCTGAATATTATATCCAGAATCACATTGAAAAGCTATCGATATTCCACTGTCTATTTTATCCATCGGAACCAATGGACTTGTTGTTGGTCTAATCTGCTCCACGATTGGATCTGATGCTGGCATTTCATAGTATTTTCCATGCTCAATTGATGGCACGAAGCAGGGTCCTAAAATAAAAAAAAACTCAGTTCCAATAAAAATTAATTTGTGTCTAATTGGTTCGCATACTTAAGCTGCATGAAGGCTTAACAGGTTTCCAATTTCCTTTATTACACCTCACAGTTGAGTTGGCTGTTTGAACATTGCTGTTATATCCACTATCACAAGTGATCTTAAGCACCATTCCGTGTCCAAAACTTTCATTTGGATTCTTTGCTTGCTTTACAATCTCAATTTGCATGTGATCAGCATTGAGTAGAGCCTCGCATGGACCTCGATTCTTCTTTTTACCTCCACCTGTTCCTGCATCATCATCCTTACCGTCGTCATCTGTTTCTCTTTTCTTTCGAACAATTTGTGACTGTAATTGAGCATAAATATTTGCAGCTAAATCAGCAGGGCTATGTTGCTTTTTTAATTCTCTTTCTGGCGGTTCTTCAATGTTTCTGTCTGGATAGTAATTTGAATAAGTATTGTTACTGTAATAACTGTTACTTCCTGAGCTGTACGAAGGATAATAATTAGACACAGCTGAAAGATTCACATTTGGGAGTATGAAAGCTTCTTGATTCTCAGAGATAGTCTGATCATTGATATTTGGGATAGCCACTGGTTGGATTGTATCAGGTTCTTCACTTTGTAAGTCATTACTAAATGATCGTGCTTTATGAATAGCTCTATATCTATATTCTGGATTATTAAACCATCTTCCGTCCTGAACTTGAATCTTTTTTGTATTTCTCATGTCTTCTTCACCAGTTGGCTGCATTGGATAGCTGTTATTAATCAGTGAATTTCTAGGTCGTTGATTTGCAAATAAAGTTTTAACATAATTCCTATATCTTGCCTTAATCTTCTCATAATACTTTGAATATGCTCGGTCAATTTCAGCATAGTCACGATTCTCACGTTTACGCTTCTCTTTAGTTCCTCCACGAACAATGTCATTTAATAATTCTATTTGATTGTAATGATCATTGTCATAGTAATTTAAACTTCGCTTTTTCCTGGTTGACGCTTTCTTTACAAAGTCATCGACCATGTGATGATCAAAGTGCTTTCGTTTTATGTTGCGGTAATGATTCTGTAAAAACTTGGACCGTGCGAATCTGATGTCAATAGAGCGCTTCTTACGGTTCCATCGCAATCTTGGGTGCTGTCCAAGAAGGCATCTAGAAAGGCAATATGTAAAGAATAAGGTGGAAGGAATAGAAATTTCAAGTAATTACTGTGGAAGTTCCGGTGGTTGCCACTTCCCGCCAATGCAAGTAGCTCCAGACTAAAAGCAATTGAAGATTAAAGAGTGCATGGCTTAAGGATATGCAATAACTACTCACAGGCCCATTTTCAAGGACATATCCTTTATCGCAGTCATACATAATCTGCTTATTGTTGATAACCTTCTTGACATACGGACGATAATCATAAAGTCCCATATTTCCAACTAGCAGTACTTTTCCGTTATCAATCATTCCAGGATATTGGCAGTAAACTAAAATTGTTTAAAATTAATTCTACATTCTTACAATCATGTTTGGTGTGCTTACCTTCTTGACAAATTGGAAACTCGCCAGTCCAATTCCCGAACGAACAGGTAAGAACATGCTCACTAGAATCATTAATTGGTTTTCCTTCAACAGTCGCTAGTTGCCATCCATCTTTACATCTAAACCTTGCCTTCATTCCATGTTCTGTCTTTGGTGAAATTACCATGCCGAATTTTGGAGCTTTTGGAAGAGTTTTGCATCGAGCTGGGACACATCTTGGAATTGTTGTCCATGTTCCATTATTACAAGTTGGTGGCGATAGTGATGTCAACGGAAATTCATAATGCTCATCACAAATGACTTCAAGGATGGTCCCATGCCGAACTTTGCTACTTACTATTCCCATACTCATTGGGGCTTGCGTTGTATTTTGATCTGGGACTTCAATCTATCGATAATTAAAATTAGGAAACAAAGTTATAAGAATATTGAGCTACATACCTCAATTGGTACTACAATTCCCTGCGACACAGTCGGAACAACACAAGGTGCTAAGCATAAAGGTGAAGGATATCTCCATCGACCATCAATTTGGCATACAGTTGATGTATTTCCAATCAGAAGCATCTCAGGCTGACATCTAAATATAACGCTTGCACCGAGTCCAAAACCAGTTTCAGTATTCTCCAACCAACCGTTATACAAAGTTCCTGGATGTCCACAATTAATTTCCTTGCATTGAGGTAAACTTCCACTCCATTTCTTATCAGCACCACAGCGCCTTGAACTCTCTCCAAGTAATGTATATCCATATCGGCACTCATAACTGACAACAGAGTTATATGAGACGCTCGTGTAAATTGCTTTTCCATTTCTCGGATTATCCGGTAATGGACATTGAACAGCCGTGACCACTATAATTGAGAAATGTAGACGTAAACTATGTGATGATAATATTGACCTTAGTTACCGCAATCAAATCTTTTATGATAGTGCAGGAATGTAAATGAAAATGAGAAAATAAATGGCAAATGAATAAATAATAAAAGAAACAAGCTTTTTTTTGGTTATTGTTCAATTGCGATAACTAATTTATTGCTGATCTTTGATTTAACATACAATAAAACAACAAATCTACACATCAATTCATTATTTAATCTTAATTCTCTATGAAAAAAATTTTGTTCACTACTACCAAGCATCGAGTTTGTTTTTTGAATGATGGGGAAATTTTACACATAATGATCTGACTTTTTTAGGGCTTATTTAGGTTAAAGCTTTGATGTAAAATGAAGAAAAAATAATTAAACTTAAAATTTTGAAGATAAAGTGATGATTTCTAGCATAACAGACAGTAAGTGTGCTTAGTGTACACAATCATTGCCTGTTAAAGATGTATACTTACAGACACACGTTGGAATTTCCTTTGCAGACCATGTTCCATCAGCCTGACAGTCTGCTGCTTGTTTTCCCACAAGCTCATATCCATCGCCACAATGATAAGTTATTCGACATCCGTATGTGTAACATTCTCCTATATTGAGGGGGGTATTTTAGAATTGTGCATATATATGAGTTAGGGCCATATTGCTTGAATAAGATAAGAAAACACTTGGATTACTAAATTTACCGGCATGCCATCCATGAGCTGGATCTGCAGGCTGTAAATATTTTAAAATTCAATATACAATCAACTGTCGTTAATATACAAAATCTTACCTGTCCACACGAACGAGGTTCACATGAAATGTCAGGACCGTACCTAAACGTATCAAAAATTGTACATCCATAATTAATAACCACATTAATCCACCCTACTCACCAACTTGCTTGACCATCAATAGCTAAACACTTAGCTCTTGGAAAACCAGCTGTCGCATATCCAAGATGACAATGATACTGAACAGTTGAGTCCAAATCGAATGTTGCTTGCTCTGGCAATGCTGAATGTCGCGCATGCTCTATTGTTGGTGGTGCCAAACAATAAATATTTTGTTTACATGCTGGTTCACTTCCTATATAAACAATAACATGTAAGAGTGGATGTAAATATTATGATTTGTGTAGACACAGGCATGGGATAGTTTTGAAATATCTTTTTTTAAGTTCCATACCTGACCAATGTCCGTAAGCTTGACACATCCTCGTCTGAAGTCCAACAACATGATATCCGTGATTACAAGTATAACTAGCTCTTGATCCAAACGTTTTGCCTGACATTACGACTGTTCCCAAAGAAGGGTGCTCAAGTTCAGGACATTCACGATCCGGCTTAACTAAATAAATATAATGTTTATGAACTTGTGTCAGTATTCTCATAAAATTGCAGTAATTTCAATGTCAATATAATCTAATTTAAAAATTTTGATAATAAACATGTTTTACTACGAATGATCCATTAATCAATTGCCTAATAAACGTAATAAGATAATTTGTAACTCACTGCATGAACGACCGCAAGATCCGTCACATAGGCACACTTTCTTTTTGCTCTAAAAGCACACAATAAGATTTTTTTCAAATATGTCATAAATTCACTATTAATTTAGATGTGTAACATACCTTACAATCATCATTTGAACTACATTTACGGAGACACTTTTGTCCTAAGAGGGTCTGAAATGGATAAGTTTTTGGATGAATGGAGTTATCCAAAAATTTTTTAGATGATGCTAATTTCTAAAGGAAAGATTATTCTGGTAAGTGGATTATCTAGAGATCACCCTTGAGATTTTTCCAAGGTATCAAGGTCGATAATCCCTGGATATTCTTCGAATAATCCACTTATGAAAAAAAAAATATTTCCTGCTTTGTTCAAATTAATTGGATTCAAACTCACTGCTTGTTCTTCATCCCTTGGACAGTCTTAAATTAAGATAGTTAATGATGTTAAAACGAGGAAGTAGAAATATTGGGTTGCACTATGGGGCAAAATGAAAAAAAAAAAGGGACTTTCACTTTGAAAAATGGACTTTTCCGATTTACACTTTTTGGGTGATTTTTTCTTGTAGAGGACATAAAAGTAGATAGAAATGCCAAATTTCAGGTCATTTGGTGCTGATTTCGCGATTCTAGAGCTGTTTGAAGTTGAAAACTAGTGAAAATTCTGGTTTTTTCATACCATGTTTGAACCGGGAAATATCTTAACTGGTTTAAGATATTGCAAAACGGTTTTCAGTTCCTATTAGTAGTATATAAGAGCTTTATTTTGACATATAACAAAGTTTAGGTTCTGAATGTTTTCGTGCCATTATGGTAGAACATATGTGAAAATTTCAGGAAAATTATCTTCAAACAAGCCGCAACTATCATAAATGAAGAGTTTCCAGGCAAGTAAAAACGCAGTTTTGTAGCCCCATATATCTAGTTTTCAAAACTGTATAAACTTTGAAAAAGTAAGCTAACGTAATTGAGTTATGTTGATTTTAGTAGGTCGTTGAGTATTTGGCCAAAAACTAATAATTCTTTTAAAAATACGAAAACATAGTTTTAAAAATAGTTTTTTGGTGTTTTCTTATGAAAAATAACAATTTAAATGATTTTGTGAAGAAAATTTTTCAAAAACTTCAAAATCTTTCGAGATATAGGGGGTATGTGCTCTCCATCGATTTGGCCATTTGTCACCCTACTTAAACCACTATAACTTTTTTTTGAAAAAATATTTTTTAATTCTGTTTTCGGATTATTGTAGCCTAATGTAATACCTATCCAACGATATATAATACTTGCTAGTTAACTTAGTCCTGGTTATTTATAGGGCTGTTGATTGTGACATACGCAGTTTTTGAAATATTCCCAAAAATTGCATTTTCAAAAATACCACTTTTAAGCAATCTCGAGTATTTTTTGGACTTTTTTAAGAAATGTTAAGTCTGAAAAAAGCTATTATCATTAGAGTAATAAAAAAAATACTCTGATACGCAACTATAATAGGTAAAATTAATAAAGTTTAATTTTTAGTTTAATGAAATTTTGTTTATTTGTCAAGAAATTTAATTTACATTTTTTTATCATATTTAATGAAATTTATTTATTCATTCGTTGTTTGCTTCTTCAGAATATTCATGGTCTTGTCCTTCGGAATAATCATAGTTTTCTGCTTGGGAAAAGTCATAACCTTCTCCTTCTGGCTCAATCAATTCAATTTCTTCCTCATTTTCTGTTTGTTGCTCAGGTGTTTCACCTTCTTCTTGGACATTTTTTCTCATTAACCTTTTATTTATTACATCCATATATTTTTTTATTATTACTGGATCAGAACTGTAGAGTCTTCTATGTATAACATCCGTAAAACTGTGTATTCTTGAAGTTTTTCTGGCACGTAGTTCTCTATCTTGTCTGAGATATTTGTTTTGTGACTCCCCGGCTTCTTCACTCATTCTTCCTAGAGGTAATGGTAAGGCTTCCATGTAGTGTTTTGCATGAGCAAGTGCTCTGTGAAGTGTTACTGGTATTTTGAACCAACTATATGTTGTCAAAAACATTCTGTATGTTTCTTTACAGTACCTATCAAATTCATCTAGATCATCAACTGGTTCTAAACTTCGAATTTGGTTTAGCACATAGCATATACGTTTAATTATTTCTTCATTAAGATATAGAGTTTTAGCTAGAAGCTCTGGATTTTCAAGAACTTTTCTTGCAACGTTTCCTGTATCTGATGATCCAGCTCCCCCTTGTCTTGGTTCGAGTACACGAACATTAAATGCATCCCACATTGCTTGCTTTATTCTAGCCTTTTCAACATCTAAAACAATCTGTTCCTCTTCAGTTATCTCCAGCCAGTGTTTTTGAACATATTGTTTATATGACAAATCATATAGAGTCGTGAGTACGTTCATTGATGTATGAAGTGGCTGAGTGTTGAAATACAAGTGTTCTTTAACAAATTTTCTGTGTGTTTTTTCGAATCTTCCATTATCAAGATTATTTATGTCACTCATCTCGTTTGGTCCAGATCTACAAAGCTGACATCTGCAATATCCTGATGTTTCTGTAAGGTCTGTGTAAACTTTTCCATCTAACATTGTGGGGTAGAATTTGTACGTAATTTCCAAAAGCATGTCTTCACATATGAATCTCTGTGGTTCAAGTTTTGATATTTGATTTTTTATATCTTCATATATCCTTCTAACATTTACTCTGGTTTCTTTGGCATGTTCAAGTTGTATTGGTCGTACTGAGTATACAGATTGACTGTTTTCGTTGTCCCATAAGCAGATATAATTTCCGTTTTCGTCTTCATGTCGTAGTTGCTGAACACTCATACTAACTGTCAATAGTGATTTGTCTTCTATAATTTCATTATTAGTCGTTTGATTCGGTTGTGTTCTATCTCGTTCTTGATTTCTTGAATTTGTTTTTCCTTGGTTATACTGTGACTGTCCTGTTGTTCCGTCCATCCCCCATGTGACGATCATTTCTGCATGAATAACTTTTGGAGTTGATTCTGAAGGTAATATTTTGGATTTTGTCGTATATTTCTGAATTGTGTGCTTCAATAACTCTTTTTGTGGTGAGTTGTGTCAAATTTTTTAGTGGAATAACGGCTCTTGTATCGGTGACCGTTATGTCATCAGGATAGCATTGTTTCTCTAACCTCAACAATTTTTTAGCTGTCGGTAAAACGTTTTCGCATTCCAGTTTCAGGACTTGTCGAATATTGTTGTACTGATTTCGAGATAAATTGTTAAAGGCTTTTACACCTAGAGCTACATGTATATCTAGTTGTTTAGGTTTTGATGTAGTTTTTTCTGGAAGATCCTCTCCTTTTTGGCACGCCTTAATAAATTCTTTTAACATTTTAGCTCCTTCTACTTTTCCTTCTTCTTTAGAAAGGCGAAGTGCCAAGTGAAGAACTGATAACAATGATCCTTTTGCTTCTTTTAAACTGATATCTAATTCGTCCACTCTTCTACGTCGATGCTTATCGCTTGTTAGTTGTTCAAATGATTTCCTCTTGATGCCCTTGCTGGATGAAGGCTCTATGTCATGGACGATGTATTCAATCTCATCCATATCTTCATCTGTGTCAGTAACATTTTCTGCTTCATATATAGATTCTTCCTCAAAAAGAATCCCTCCACTAGATTCGCTGAAGTATCGTGAGTCAACTTCAAATTCCTCTTCATAGAAATCTGCATGATCTCTTAATGCATTATTCCAATTTGACTGATTACAAAACATTTTTGACTTTGACTTCAGCTTGTTTAATTTATTAAAAAAAATTTGGTTTCTGAGATTCCGCTAATTCTCTCCCATGAATTTCTTCTATTACTGCCAAACAGTACGTGTGCTGTGTTGCAAGATTTAACGTTTTGTCGCGAAGAATTTCACAGAGTGTTTTCTTCGTAAGTGTTGAATTTTGGTTCATTTTTGAAAGTGACTTGTTCAATGAAGTTCAAAACTGATATGATGTGTAGAGAGAATTTCACGAGTATATATATAAAATAGTTTCAAAACTGAGATTTTCACACCTGATAGTGACTACCAAGGGTACTTTACAAAGTTGTTAACTAGGGAAGTAAAAAGTTTCTAAATTTAATTTTTTGGCTTTATAATCTCATAAATGTCATAAATAAACATAAAAAAGTTCTAAAAAAATACTCGAGATTGCTTAAAAGTGGTATTTTTGAAAATGCAATTTTTGGGAATTTTTCAAAAACTGCGTATGTCACAATCAACAGCCCTATAAATAACCAGGACTAAGTTAACTAGCAAGTATTATATATCGTTGGATAGGTATTACATTAGGCTACAATAATCCGAAAACAGAATTAAAAAATATTTTTTCAAAAAAAAGTTATAGTGGTTTAAGTAGGGTGACAAATGGCCAAATCGATGGAGAGCACATACCCCCTATATCTCGAAAGATTTTGAAGTTTTTGAAAAATTTTCTTCACAAAATCATTTAAATTGTTATTTTTCATAAGAAAACACCAAAAAACTATTTTTAAAACTATGTTTTCGTATTTTTAAAAGAATTATTAGTTTTTGGCCAAATACTCAACGACCTACTAAAATCAACATAACTCAATTACGTTAGCTTACTTTTTCAAAGTTTATACAGTTTTGAAAACTAGATATATGGGGCTACAAAACTGCGTTTTTACTTGCCTGGAAACTCTTCATTTATGATAGTTGCGGCTTGTTTGAAGATAATTTTCCTGAAATTTTCACATATGTTCTACCATAATGGCACGAAAACATTCAGAACCTAAACTTTGTTATATGTCAAAATAAAGCTCTTATATACTACTAATAGGAACTGAAAACCGTTTTGCAATATCTTAAACCAGTTAAGATATTTCCCGGTTCAAACATGGTATGAAAAAACCAGAATTTTCACTAGTTTTCAACTTCAAACAGCTCTAGAATCGCGAAATCAGCACCAAATGACCTGAAATTTGGCATTTCTATCTACTTTTATGTCCTCTACAAGAAAAAATCACCCAAAAAGTGTAAATCGGAAAAGTCCATTTTTCAAAGTGAAAGTCCCTTTTTTTTTCATTTTGCCCCATAGTGGGTTGATGACTTTATTTTTGGACACTTTTGAAGATATTCAATTTACAAAATTGAGCTCAAAAATGACCAAGAATTAAGTCACCAACCAATTCATTTGAAAGTTTACCAGGTGATGGAAAATTTCTAGGATTTTTATAAACACGACCATCATCATCAGCTTCAGAAGAATCATCGTCGTCTTCCCAGTCATCAGGATCTTCAGTTACAGTCGATGCAGGACCCGAATAAGCTTAATAAATAGAAATCATATGATTTAAAGACAAAATAATTCTATACATAAATATCAGCTGTTATGCAACATGTGAGCGGAAGCAGACATAAACAAAAATGCGTACAATCCACCCACACAGGAGAAAGTTTCGTTCAACGTGCTTCCAAAAAAATGAGTGGTATGAGTTGAACAGCTGACGGAGAGAGTCGATTTCGTTAAAAATCTCAAACCACTTTACCACCCCATCGACTCACCTCGTTGAAAAAAAATGGCTGAAAATATGATAATCCAGCAAAGTTGAAAATTTTTCATCGTCTTTTCACGTAAATTCTTTGCACTTTTTTTAAACTTTCATAATTTTTGTATTCCTTTATGCTTTATAATTTTTTTCGACTAATTGACAGACGTTGAAATGCAGTTGTTCCTATGGTTTTCAAAAATTTCAGTAGAGTGCAAAAAATTATATGCGTCTTGTTAGAACTCCAATGGGTGACTGCTTCTACATTAGCTTTTGATATCGAGTGGAGCTTTCTAATTTTTTTTTTATGTTTCTCATGTTCTCATCTTCTCAATTTATCAATTGTCATGTGGAGATTTTAGAGGGACATTCGGATATGCCGTCTGATATTTTAGGTTTTTGGGGGATCCTGGGTTGCTTTTAATTTATAAAGATTAATTTTTGAACATGATGATAATTTTGGGGGAGTCTCCAAACTCATAGTTCTCATAGAATGCAATTTATGGAAGATTCTATTTACTCACTTGAACTACAGACAAATAAATATATAAAGTTAAATCCCTCGACTACCTGCACAAAAGCTCAACATCATGAAGTCAAGGATAAAATTGAGGAGCTTCCTGAAGACTCAACGAAAAGCTCCAATTTTTCCGGAGAAATCTAGTCTGACTCTCAAAATAATTTCAACTTTCGCTCAACTTTCCACGAAAATCTCTTAAAATTTCATATTTATCTCTTAAAATGATTTTACTCTCGCAAGAAAATGATGCAACAGGTTGAATCAACAGGTGAATTTTTGATAAGAAAATTACATCAAATCAACATGTTGTTTATTTATAGAGCGAGTAGACCGAGAGAAGAGCTGTAAAGGAAATAGAATAAATTGAAATGATTCTTTGCAATTTTCTCATTTTTTATGATTCATAACTTTATTCATTTCATGTTGTTTTTTTACTTCTTCTTCTTCTTATTCTCAATCTGTCATATAATGGATTGTATACATAAAGAATTTTTTTAATCAATTATTTATTCATAAAATTACATTATTTTTACTAAAATTTTTTCTTTACTTCTTCTTTTTTGTTTTTGTCAAATTACACTTAATTAACTCATTTTTTGTGTTTGAAATTTATTTTAATTTAATCCAATTCTTCATCCTACTTACAAATTGTTAATGTCTTATGATTTTTTTTTCTAGATTCTTTTATTTTTGTTTGGGAAAGGTGCAATGAAACTTTAATAATAACTACACACTGTTACTATTTATTCAGTTTCTTATCTAGCTACTACTCATTTGGTAAATTAGCAACTGCTATTGTTTTGGATTGTCAGTTTTATGATGATTTTGTGGATTTTCTTTGGAGCTTCTTTGATTTATGACAAATCAGTACTTTTAGAATTTGTAGGGAATAGAGAATTGTTCTATTTTCCCTCATGCCTTGATTAGATTTCAATTGAGATTTTATAGCTTCTTAGCAGTTTGAAATGTGACAAGATTTATTCTCTGAGTAGGTTAGGGCGATTGATTTGATTCTTGAGAGAAATAAGTTTCAAAAGTTGTTGATCTTAAATCACAATCCTTAAAAATGGTTTAACAGATCATGTTTGGAGATTTGTAGGTTCCGATTAGTCAAACTAGGAAGTTCCATATAAGTCTCAAACTCATATGAACAATTAAAAATCCTCAAAATCATCATATTTGACTCACCCTAGTTCCTAATCATAACAAAAAATAAATAAATTATTAAATTAAATAAATATGACTTAAAAAAAAGTTGATGAAATCTTTTTTTTATTTTAGGTTCCAGCCTATTACTTTTCACACTTAATATTACTTTATCATAATAATAATTTCCATCTCTCATTCCAGATGAGTTGAGATGAGTCCTCTTTTAATCGATAAACAGAGCTACTTACTTAGCAATTTTAAAATTACATCCATTAAATCTTATAAGTTCTTTTGCTTTAATTCATCATTCTTATCCTCATAGTTTTGTGTTTTTTTTTTGTGTCAAGAAACTAGACTTATTATTTTTGTTAATTAATTGTTGTACACTATCTTTAAAAGTTCTTCTTTTTTAAGCTCAAAAGCATTTAATTTTTTTAATAAAGTTTTTTTTAAATTCTTTTTCAAAATTTTAGCAATTTTTTAATTTTTTATAGAAACAGATGGGGTAAAATTTTATCATTGGTTCTCTTTCACACTTGGCAGTCTGATTTCAGGAGGTTGTTCCTAAATGAAAATTCTACTGTGTTCCCTTAAAACCATATGACGTGCTTCACCTCCATTCATTGTGTTGAAAGATTGATGAACTTTATAACATGTTAATGATAACTTTGAAAAATAATCGTTTAGATTATAGCTCAAAATAGAATAATTTTAAGCAGTTTGGACGAGAGTGACGAGACTACTCTAAACCTTTTTATTTATACCAATGAATTTTAAACTTTTAATAAATTTTAAGTCTTTTTAATAAGCTTTTGAGTTTGTGACAAAAATGGAAGTTTGTCTCAATTATTGTACAAAATGATGCTTAATCTGATTTGATTGGAAAGTTAGTTTATCCCAAGTAGATCATTTGTAGCTTGGGTATTTTAAGGAAATTAAGAGACAAAGTTTTAAAAGGTTTGAAAATTCTTAGCATAAAATCTAAATCAAGAATTTAAATGTGGAGAATAGTTAAATAGGCAGGTGTAAGATGTCGTACCTATAATGCATCTCACATTTTTATTGAAAATGGAATTTTTTATGGCATCGATGTTTTAGAACTTCGGTATAAAAAATTCTTAAACTTGAGGTCCCGAAAATAAAGTTCTTAGTCAAGATCTTTTCACTATCTTTTCACTAACATTCATTGAGAGAATTATAGTTATAATCAGCGAATCAAAGTTAAATCAGATAACACATCACCAAATGTACATCTCGAGACTTACTTCCGAAAAGAAGACCTTATTTCTAGCATGTAACTTTAATTTGTTATTATTATATTGTATATCTATGATAGTAAATAAATAAAATAAAGTGTGCTGATTTTTGGCATTTTTCAAGTTCTTTAGAATTAAAATAATGTTGTCAAAAAAATATATTTGTGTAGATTTTATGAAAGTGTGTAGTTAATATTTTAATTTCATACAAACAAGTCTCGTTAAAATGCATTGTTTAGTGCTTTGTTTTTTCATTATGCTCACAACTAATCATAAAACAAATTTTATTAATGTTTAAAAATCGAAAACAAATTAACAAAAATTTGATAAAAAGAAAATTTATGCTTTAATGTGTGAATTCTTTAGATATATCTGGAGCTTTTTAAATACGCTTGAAGGCTTTCACGATAACATCTATTCAAATTTACTTAAATATTTTCTTTTGTGTGTTTTTATTCCTAAAATGTCAAAGAAGCGATTCGATGAAATTTTATAATGCATTTTTTTTTTCATTTTTTTTCAACGATTTTTTTTCTCAAATATGTAGGTACACATACAATTTGTTTTAAAAATTAATTTCTTAAAATATCAACTGATTCTTAACTTCAGTCATTTAGATTAAAAACTTTACCCTCATTTTCCTTGTCACCATATATTGCGCTATCATCATTCGATTCTATTGCATTGCCATTACTTCCATCAGATAACTGTAGGGTCACAAGTTTTCTTTTATTTTTAAGTGCTAATGTTATAAATTTTCCATTTGATGTCAATTCGCAGGCAGTTATCTGTTTTGACGGTGTGTAAACTGATAATGATTTCCCTGTATTAAATAAATAAGGAAGTGCGTCAAAATTATTCAGTTTAAGGGACAATATCAATAAAAATTACCTGAACTCAAGTCCCACAATCGGATAGATCGATCACGCCCTTCGCTATCACCTGACAGCAAGACTTTGCCGAGTGGATCTAATTTTAAAAGAGTCACTGGTGCGTTGTGTCCTATAAATGAATCCAAAAATTAAGTTTTAAGCAACTTTATTCATCAAAGAATCCTCACCTGTCAATGAGCATCTGCAATTTCCAGTAACTAAATCCCATATCAATATTCTTGCATCTTCGAGACCGGCAATGACACAAGTATTAGCTTGGGATATAGCAAGTGAGACTGTATTACAGGATGGCTTCCATTTCTTAAACAAAGTTCCACTTTGGAGATCATAAACAACAATAAAATTTGGTGCAGGTTCATTCAATTCTTTAGCTACAACACAGACGTACGATCCTTCATGGGTTATTGCGGAAAGAGATGTGATAAACTGTGGATGTTAATTAAGATAAATGCTTTTGATTTTATTAAAATATTCAGAGAAGCTTACATCGTGGTGGGGTATTCGAAGATCATAAAGCAATTTGCGCTGAGTCAAATGCCAAACAAGAAGGGGAAATGGCTATAAATAAATAAAAGGAGAAATTTTAATTATTTTGAGTCATTTAAATCAAATGGGTCATTTAATTTCTTACCTTTGATGTCTCATCACCACAAACGAGAATTCTGAAAGTTGCAGAAAGTGATTAATTAGTGATGTGTCTTGCCTAGCTACAAATTTATTCAGATGGAAAAGAACTCACCTTCCGTCGCCCGATACGAGCAATGAATTTAAAAATCTATCTTCTCCAGCTTTAAACGTAGTAACACAATCGCCAGATTCCATATTCATTAAATTAACATACATACGATTTCGAGATAAACAAACAAGATGTTGAGGATCATGAAGCCCAAAATATGGCATCTTTTGATTCATGACTCCTTTGAGAGTAACCTGTGAACAGAATAATTTTGTTAGAGAACTTGCAAATGAATTTTACATGCTGTAAATTGGGTAAAAATTCTCTGAACTGATTTACCTTGAATTTTCCTTCATTCAAGTCGAGAACACGAATTTCTCGTTTACATAGAACAGCCAATTCATATTCTCCAACTAGACACACAGATGATGGTTGGGGTACCCCATTGAGCGTTCTTACTTTAGAGCATCTGAAAAATTAACACACATTTCAGTTAATCATCAAATTTAGATTGCTTAATTCATTAATTGTGGCTATAGAACATGCAGGATGTAAATCTCTAAGGATATTCTCTTTTCTAAAACGTAATCCCATCCTGACTTGTTCACAAATTGACATGATGCAATGAAAATAACATCGACTTACTCGAGAACATTCCATACACATATCTCTTCTCGGTCAGTGCTCAACGAAATGGCAAAGCTTTCATTCACATTGGTGTTAATGAGGAAATCATATCCATTTTTATTTGAATCACATTCATCACCATTTTCACTGATTTCCTCATCATTATCATCATCATCATTTTCAATATATAATCTCTCAATATAAGCATCTCCACTTTTGATTTCGTTCTGCCATCCTTGGATAATTGAATTGCTCGAAAGATCACTTCTTTTTGATAGTTCAGCTTTAATGAATGTCGATAGTAATGACTGAAGCTGTTGCGCATCATAATTTAACGATTTAAAATGAATTTCCAAAAATCTAATTAAGAATTCAATGTGCTCAGCTAATTTAATGTTTCGAGCATTTGGTGACATTTCATTACTTTGAACAGGTGGACTTATAAGATAGATATCAAAAAGAAGTTGAACACAACCTGTGGAATCTATTTTATCATGTAGCCATGTTAAATTTGTTAGATATTGCGACGTTTCATATTCTTTCTTATCAATTTTAAATGAGTGATAAGGAAGTTCAGTAAATTTTCTAGTGTTGTAGCTGCAACGATAAATTATAAATTGTCATGAAATATTATGAATGAAGGTAGGATTGGTCAGTTTTTGCAACTTACCAGCTTTCCTTCTTCTTGCTGTCAAAGTAAACATTTGGTTGCTGTACAAAGTAGTCATGAAGAATTTTATGTGCACATTCCATATCTGATTCATAGCGCTTCTCTGCTACAGCTCGAATTGTTGAATCCATAATTTTAATATTTTTGTTATGAAGCAAAAGTGGCCCTAGAAATTAAACATTGATTATTGAAAGTTTGATAGACAACAAAACTCATATTTACCCATCGTCCAAGAGAAATTGGTCCAAAGTTTAGTTATAGATCCTGTTAAATAATATGCAACAAGTTTTTATTAAGGAATTCAATTATTAATAAAGCAAACTAGTGTATCGGGTAGAAACCCAATGCGGATATATTCACACCGTACCATCAAAAGTCTTATGGATAGACCAAGATTTGCTCAGCATACGTTTGAAGGGTTTGGACTAGGGGCGACCTTAGTCATAATCTAGTTTTTCACTTTTTTCTTCGAGGGTTTATCCAAATGGATTGAAACTTTGCATAAATATTCAAGTGCTTAAAACAATTACAAATAAAACATCCTAAAATTTTTTTGAGCAAAGAACCAAGAAGGAAATGCATTTTCAATTTTGGACTAGGGGCGACCCTAGTCAAAATCAATGTTGTCACTTTTTTCTTCGAGGGTTTATCCAAATGGATTGAAACTTTGCGTAAATATTCTAGTGCTTAAAAAATTACAAATAAAACATCCTAAAATTTGTTTGAGCAAAGAACCAAGAAGGAAATGCATTTTCAATTTTGGACTAGGGACGACCCTAGTCAAAATCAATTTTGTCACTTTTTTCTTCGAGGGTTTATCCAAATGGATTGAAACTTTGCATAAATATTCTAATGCTTAAAACAAATACAAATAAAACATCATAAAATTTTTTTGAGCAAAGAACCAAGAAGGAAATACATTTTCAATTTTGGACTAGGGGCGACCCTAGTCAAAATCAATTTTGTCACTTTTTTCTTCGAGGGTTTATCCAAATGGATTGAAATTTTGCAAAAATATTCTAGAGCTCAAAACAAATACAAATAAAACATCATAAAATTTTTTTGAGCAGAGAACCAAGTAGGAAATACATTTCCAATTATAAGTTGAGAAAGGTCCAGTCAAAATCTAGTTTTTCACTTTTTTCTTCGAGGGTTTATCCAAATGGATTGAAACTTTGCATAAATATTCCAGTGCTTAAAACAAATACAAATAAAACATCCTAAAATTTTTTTGAGCAAAGAACCAAGTAGGAAATACAATTTCAATTTTGGACTGGGGGCGACCCTAGTCAAAATCAATTTTGTCACTTTTTTCTTCGATGGTTTATCCAAATGGATTGAAACTTTGCAAAAATATTCTAGTGCTTAAAACAAATACAAACAAAACATCCTAAAATTTTTTTGAGCAAAGAACCATGAAGAAAATACATTTTCAATTTTGGACTAGGGGCGACCCTAGTCAAAATCAACTTTGTCACTTTTTTTTTTTCGAGGGTTTATCCAAATGGATTGAAACTTTGCATAAATATTATGGTGCTTAAAACAAATACAAATAAAACATCCTAAAATTTTTTTGAGCAAAGAACCAAGAAGGAGGAAATACATTTTCAATTATGAACTTGGGACAGGTCCAGCTAAAATCTAGTTTTTCACTTTTTTCTTCGAGGATAAATCCAAATACATTAAAACTTTGTATGAGCATTCTAATTTTCAGGTCACACATTTCTGAATTAATAAAAATCATTTTTTTGGACAAAAATTTAAGTCACGTTGTTTTTTAAGATTTTAGACGTTCTTGCTTTAGATATTTAAAACTGTTTTGTATAAATATTAGTATACTCACACAAAGTTTCACTGTAATTGGATAAACCTTCGAAGAAAAAAAGTGAAAAACTAGATTTTGACTAGACCTGTCCCAAGTTCATAATTTAAAATGTATTTCTTACTTGGTTCTTTGCTCAAAAAAATTTTAGGATATTTTATTTGTATTTGTTTTAAGCACTAGAACATTTATGCAAAGTTTCAATCCATTTGGATAAACCCTCGAAGAAAAAAGTGACAAAATTGATTTTGACTAGGGTCGCCCCTAGTCCAAAATTGAAAATGTATTTCCTTCTTCGTTCTTTAAAAGTTTTAAAAAATTTTTTCATCCAAAGTTTAATTTAAAATAGAAAAAAAATCACAGTGAACTTTTAATTTGAAAAATTCGTAAGAAAGGAAAGTTTTTTGCTTTTTCTGAAGCAATGGCTGCTCCTACCTTGCCCAAAAACAATACAGCTCTTCTATAGAGCAGCACGGATCAAATGTAAAAAACTAGAAGTCTCTACGATATCTCGTTATTGAGATTTTTTGCTGATTAACTTGCTTGCTTGTTTGCTTAAAGAAAGCGTATTTTGCGATTTTCTCAGCAATGCCTTAACCAATTTGAAATCTGTTTTTTGAAAATGATGTAAAATTTCAGGCACAAACTTTTCTTCTGTGGCCTTTTATAACCAATTTTGCTTTGTTTTCTCACAAAATGCGAAAAACTGATTTTTCAATCTGAACAAAACCAATAGATTCACACGTGAAAACGGTGTGACTATAAATATTTACCGTCCACAATTTTAGAACTCTCAAGCATTTCAATGATTTCTGTTTCTAGTAAACCATCACGTGAGGCAGTAATGAGAGTTATTAGGTACTTGACAGTTGTAAGACCAAATTTATTTTCTAATATTTCAAAAACTTTCTCGCTTATATGTGATATTGATAAGTTTTCTAGCTTCCTTTGTCCCAGCCATGCCAACCACCATAAGATCTGAAAATGACAAGACATGAATTGAGCAGTTCGATGACAAATGAATGTCAACTACCTTTGCTTGTATAGGAGCTTTCTCATCTGATTTCTTCCATGATTCAGGCAATTGTAAAGCGCCATTTGTTGCTCCACTGCCAAATGTCAAAACATCCTCCCATTGCTCTTGAGTGAATGACGATAAATACAAAAAGTTTTGTGCATTAATTTTGACTTTGAGTGCCTTTAATAAAGACGTCGAGTCAAAATCATCATGATTTTTTGATGTGGACGTTACAGTTAAGATAATTTTTACATTATTTACTAGCTCCGTTGGAAGCCAGTCCATGTCTTTTATGTCATAAAGTTTGTCTACTGAATCTATCAAGATTACAATTTGATGCTTTGCTTTATGTATTAAGCGACTCAAAAGCTTCGTATATGATTGTTGTGTCTGTCAATTGAAAATTATAGAATACGATTCATTAATCAAAATGACATTAAGTGAAATTGTGAAGTGGTTCATATATAAATTTAGATCTATACGATTTACTTACATGAATGCATTCATTTGGCGATTCTTTTAATAGAACACTTATTTGTTCGGTAATTGTAGATAGGATTGATGTAATATCTGAACTTATGGCTGTTAGATTAGAATATCTGTGTAAACAAAAATAAAATGATTAATGTGTATTGCTGGCAATTAAGTAGATAAAAAAATGTATGGGATCGTTCTCAAATGACATTTGGAGCAATGAAGCTTCATATTAGTTGACCTACCTTAACACAAAACTACACTCCGGTATCCAAGTATGAATGCTCTGTGCAATTTTGGCTGATAACACACTCTTTCCGCTCCCATTTTTCCCATAAACAATTAACGGTGATGTAGAGTTTCCGTTCAAATAACTCTTTACATTCTCAATTATTGAAAAGTTTGCACAATTTTGATTTAAGATTTGTGAATGACGATTTACTTCCTCAAGCTCAGTGAGTAGACGACGATCAACGCCGAATGTACAGTATGGAATTTGGAATTTATTTGTATGTTCATCGATAATTGCATCAATTTCAGACGATAATGATGAATGGAAAACGGATAAGAATTGCTCCTGTTGTTGCTGAGATGCAACAGGCATTTTTATGATGTGCTTCTCAGCTAGTTGAGTCTGGAGATGGAAGAAAAATTTATTCAAACTTTTATAAAGTTACTTGAAAAGGAATTTATTCAAGAATGTGATTAGTATGAGCAAATTAGATGCATTTGTTATAGCTTGGTACTCTTGATGTTGCAACATACAGTGAAAAGCGGGGTTCATGGACATTTGGGTTCGAAATGAAAAGAAAAATTGTAACTTTAACGAGAAATTCTAACCTGCTCACTGCGAATCCACTCTTGAGAATAATTAAAACTGTTGATTAAATTTACCTTCAAGTCATTGTGAATATTGCTCAATCTACGATTCATTTCAATTTCTAATGGATTCATGTTTTCATCATTCTTTCCCTGTGAATTTGGATTCTGTATCCATAAGCATCGCTTGGCTAATTCTTGACTCATCAAAACTGTATTATTGATTTCCTGCTCGACAACAGTTGTAAGATATGAATCTCTCAGTTCTCTTGAGAATATTTCAACTAAATTTAACATTAACGAATTAAGCTCCTCATCAAAATTTGCAATATTCTCTTTCTCAACTTTAATTGATTTCAATCGATAGCATGATGGTTGTGACTTCTCATCTAGTATATACCATTTTTCAAGCAATAATTTTCCACAATTATCAGCTGCTGATATTGCATTTGCAAAGTCCTGATTTTCAATTGTTAATGGTAATAATGGATCACCGAGCGTCGAATTGAGAAATAAGATTGGAATTACGTAGGAATCAGTTGAGTGTCCTATTAAGATAAGAAAAATAAGTAATAATAAAATAATTGAATTAATTAAGAAGCAATTATTGAACATACTTGTTATTTCTGCTAAGCAATTAGCAGCCAAATGGTGTCCACACTGTGCTTCAAGTGGCTGATCAAGCCAATTGTTTAAGTCAAATGTATTCGTTTTACTGTAACTTTCTGATACATGAATGTCGGAAATGTGAATTTCAAAGCCTTTACATCGATAATATTCTTGTAAATTGATTTGTAATTTCTGCAATATGCTTTTCTCCATCTGATAACTATCATCTGCTGCCAGAACATAAAGAACAATCTTTTTGTCTTTTTCAATTCTTCGACTTACTGTCGGACGTCCATATAATGATGTTAAATTTTGCGGAAGATTCAATAAAGTGGAAATGTCAACTGGTGCAGAAATGCACATAGGACTTGCTGATATTGAATCACCAGATTGATTAGTGGAGTTCAATCTACCACAAACATCGTTTGCTTTTATAATTCCATTTGTGTCATTACTGTCTGCTTCAGGTTGAGCCAATGGCGGCTCCTTTGTTTCCTGTGTCTTATCTGCTATTTGATACGCTGGTGATCTAGATTTTTGAAAACAAAGGAAATGGACGAGAGGAAAAACAGCATGAATAAAATTATGAATCATTAAAATTCAAACATCTGCAACACATTTTCATTCTGTGTTGTGAGGAAAACCACATGAATATAGACATCGATGAAAATGCTCACTAGTAGGTCATTACATCTTTTACATTGTAGCAATTTATCTTATAGCATACTCTCACTCCTTTACTCTAAGTTTATCGTATCTTCTTGACGTCATATGGCAAAAGAATTTTTAAGACGCCTTTAGTGTTCACACATTCTTCGATGCTATAAGGTACTATGAAGTTACTATGAAGGTAACCCTGGGTGTTACGAAATCGTTAACTTAGCGTTATATATGAAAATAAATGTTAAATGTTAAAGCAATGCCCAACAAAGAATATTTTTGTTCTAAATCAAACTTAAGTCTCAGTCTCATCTATCCTGAAATAGTTGCAGTTTGCTAATTTCACAGCAGTTTCTATTCACAATGTTAACGATAACAAGTTGACTTATAGTAAAAGATAGAAAGATAAAAATGACATAAAGCACATTTATGTAGGAAGGTAGGGAAGCATGTTGAATATAGAAAAAAAAAGTCGTTTACTGAGAAAGATAATGTTTATTACTGCAAGTTCACTAGCTTCCTACGAGTTTACTTCTTTTGCAGAATAAATAAACTTTAATCTTCACAGAATGTATTTATTTCTCTTTACTTCTTTGTCAGTCTCTTTAAACATTTTCGAAAGTCCTTTAAATAATAATAATAAATGAAATGTTTTAGACATGAGTTTTATGGATTTATAATGAGCTATTAATTCGTATGCTGAGTAATTGATTCTTGAATGAAAAAAGTCTTTATGATTTGAATAAATGGAAAAGTTTGATGAAAGAGATCAACCTACACTGAGTTTTAAGAAAAACTGAATCAGTTATTGAAAGAAGAACTGCTGAGATTAAAAGTTTGTCATGCAGTTTGAGTAAAGATCATACAACTCTAGAATTGTTAAATTGGAGTCTTTTAAAAGTTTAAATTGTTAATTTATTTATCTGGTTCCTCCTTCGGTACTTAGTTCATTTTAAAAGGATCTGATAGAAAAGTTTGGGTGCCTTAAGTGGGTATTTCTATAAGAAAGTCATAAAGTTATTAGGATAAATGTAGGAAGAATTTAATTGGAAGCAATTTCTAATGAAAAGCATATCCATAATTTTAAATTGTCATTTGGTAGTGGGATAACTCTGCTTTTAGAGAAAAGAATATTGCCACAAGCTTGAAAGATTAAATATCCTACAGTTTAAAAAAAAGAATGTCTTTTATGAATCAATTTTTTTGTTCTTAAAGTTTAACTGTATTGAAGGTTCTAGCAATTATATCAAAGCCACTACATTTTAACCGACTTAGTTTAAACGGGGCAGATAAATCATACAAATAGGAAGTATTGTTAATTAACAAAAGTGCCCACTCGAGATCATCAATAAAATAAAATGCAAATGTTCTCTCACTGCAAGTGTAAATACTTTATTTAAATCATTTATATACTAACGATTTTATGGCAGATTTTGATGGCTGCATGACTTTTATTACACCACATACATTATTTTTATTGTAAATTATTAGAGCCATTTGAAATTGCATTGATGAACGTAAAAGATCCCGCGCCAATTGAAATGATGAGAAACAAGATGAAAATTATTGAGAGGAATTTTCATGAAAAAATATTTTACACGTCATTTGAGTTTCTTATTTGTATTTTTTCAAGTATGAGGCAAAAATTAAATAAATTCTGTCGATAAAATGAGAAGAGAAAAAAGCAAATTGAATGGCAAAGAAAAAGTTCATAAATAACATGAAAACTTTCTCTCTTTTTGTACTCAGTCGTTTGGTTCATTTGTATTTAATTAAGAATCTTAAAACGTAGATTTTACATAAGTTCGATTTGCTTAAGAGTTCTATCTGAAATGGAATTTGTCTGATTGTTGTCAAGTTCCATAATTCATAACTGAATAAAATTTAAAAAGTTTGATCTTTAGAGTAAATTTGTTGGCTTAGAGACATTCGTATTTCAGGTTCAATTAATTAGATTATTTTTCGAAATGAGCTGTTTTCATTAAATGCATCTAAAATTAGTGATGCAAATGATTCATTTATTGTTGTGAAAATCTTATTTGTAAGCCAAACGTCATATTGTTTTATTTAAGGGAATCGGACTATTAAAAACAATTAAATGAAACAGTTCAGCTTAAATTTGATGATCACAAAGTGATATTAATAAATTTTGAAAATTACTGACTTACAATATGTTCTGATTGAAGAGTATGAAGTTCATTAATCCAGCATTGAAATTCATTAATCCACGTTTAATTTATTATTTTAAAGAAATATCAAAAATACATTTCAAAAACCCTCAATGAATTCAATTGTTTAAAGCTTGCAAACCAAACCAAATATTTCAATTTTTACTTCAAAGAGTGGGCAGAACAGCAAATATTACCATGAACTTTGCCAAGCTCAAACTTTTTATTGCTTTTTATTTAGAACCTGCATCTAAATGCCTTCAAAATTCAGAATGACATATGATTTATTATTCAAATATCAATTGAAAAGGCCTTTAGGCTGTGTAGGTAGATTTCAAATGATTCATGTGTTTGAATGTTTCAATTAAATTCATCATACACAAAACAGGACGTTGCATAGTAATTGAAAGATGAAAGTAAAAGGATAAACATCAAATAAAGCAATTTATGCTTCTTGTTTTAGCTTTTAATCCTCTTTTTATTCCGTAAAAAAAATTCTTCCTCAAGACTTTTTCAGTAGCTTAAAATTTGTGAAAAAAATGGGAAATATTTGTGTGGAATAAATATTTTTGATTAAAATAGATTTTGAAACTCTAGAAAGAAGACAAAAATTTGTGTGATATGAACACGAATTAAAAATATTTATATGAGAGCTCATAATTTTTTTTGCCATAAGATTTTTTTCAAAATAGACGTGCGGTAAACATGAAATTAAGATTTGAGATGTTTTTTATTTACTTAAATTAAGATTACTTTGTAACATATTTTATTACGATCCTGTATCTAATTTTAAACGATGAGATACAGAGTTGACAGAATAGCTTTACCTTTTGCTAGAAAATCAATAGATTACAACTCTGGATGAACAACAAACATTTTGAGAGATTTTTGAAAAGAATTTCCATGAAATATTTACATAATTAATTTGAAAGTATACTCACTCTTCAGATTTCTCCGAAACATTGTCTTTATCCTTCTTTTGACCCGAACTGCAGTAATTTCCCATGTCTTTTGTGCTTTATTCTCCTTTTAAATTGATAATTGTATCCTTAAGCAAACTTCTTTGATTCCGAAGTCTTTGAAAGTTCTTAATTAATTTAATTTGAGTGCGAATTCGTGTGCTTTATATTTAATAGTTAATTAATTTACATCAAGCATATGATAACTCATTCACTTTCGTTTGTTATGCACAAAAGTCTTCTTCATAAATTTTTGAAATTTTCATTTTTTCTTTCCTTATTTTTAAAATATTTTTTGAGAAAGTAAACTGAAAATGTGGAAACCTGTGGAATATATAAATATTTTTGAAGATCAGACAGAAAATAGTTTGAATATTTTGTGAGGTTGTAGCGCATTTAAAAGGCTGATAAAAATTTATGTGAGTAAACTTGTGTTTTATACTTTTTCAGGGAATTTTACAATGATTGGTAATTAGATTTCTTAAAACTTTCTTTAGATTTTGGAAAGTCTAGTAGTGCCTCTGGAATCATGCATAAATATTCCAAAAAAACTTCCATAATATTGGAATAATATTGAAATTCTAAGACAAAAACTGTTAAATCTATGAGATATATTGATTAATTGATTTCATTCGATCATGTTTATTTTGATCCTTCATTATACAACATCACCCAAAATATTCAGCATTTCTCCGTAAAATATCAGAAAGTTCGCTAAATGATGAGTTTGTTGAAAAAATAAAAAAATGAAAATTCCAATTAAAATTCTTTACATTTCACTTTAAGTGAGAAAATGAAATAATTCACAGGATTTTATTATCAAACACGTATGTGTATAAGTCATTTCACGGTACTTTCTATCTCCTTCACGATTTTTATTATGACAATATAATCACAACATAATAATTATTATACATTTTTTCAACTACACATTTTGGCAAAAAGCGTAAAGGGAGAAAAAAAAACAGAAAGAAAAATAATATCGGAAAGAATTTTTTTCTCAATGTCAAATTTACATTCAATTTTTTTATGTCACTAAATGGATCTTGAACTAAATTCATTCATAATCAGTTATTCAATAGATTACATGCAAATTTCCACTCTCATATTAGTGTGTCACAGATTAATTTATTAAAAAAAAATATTGCACAGAAACTTCCATCTCACGAAGCAAGCACAACAAAACTAACTTTGTATATAATATATCGAGGAATGAAGGAACGATATTCTCTCGCGCGTGAATGATTAAAAATGAAAAATCACATAAAAAATTGTACGAGAAAGAAAAACACTCTGTAGCTTCGTAGTATTTTTTTTCGCTCACTTTTTCCTCCTCACTCGCGCAAATAAGATGTCTTTACATCAAAAAATCTTCTTAAGTCACTAGTTTCTCAATTCTCTCACTCTGTATAGTACTAATATAAGATCTGAGAAGACGATTTGTTGCCATTTAACAAATTCTTTTAAATGTATTTTTTTATTTTGAACAAACACAATCGTCATGTACTAATCTGTTCCTTTATACACAGCAAAGGAATTGGAAAACAAGAAAATTCTTCCTTATTTGATTAGTGGAAGTGATAAGATCAAAAGAAAATATGGAGTCGCATGGCATGTGAAGGATATGAAAAGGGACGGAGGAAGAAAAAAAATTCCCACTTTTTGTTTCACCAACTTTATCAGCAGTCTCTATGAAAATATCAATGTCGATAAGACTTTTATGCAAATTATTCACATTTTTATATTTGTAGCTTTATCGTTTGTGCAAAAATTTCATTGATTTAATTTTCTTATCACAATCGAAAGTGATTTGCTCAACTTTTTTTATACCTTTTTCTAATTTGATATTTTTTCTACAATTTTCGAATGAATTGATGTCTTTTAACGGTTATATCTAACACTTATCACTGTTCCTTATCATTTTCTTATGAAATTATGAATTGATAATAATTTAAACTATTTTTAAGGGCAAAAACAAAAAATTTTGCTTCCGATCTTGAAAAATGAGAAAATTTTTTTCACCAACCTGGTGGATTTTCTGTGCATGCGCATTACATGCCTTCCAGTGTTTTTCTTTTCTTTTCACTTTCCACTTCTATTTATGTTTTCTATTTGACAGTTCTCGTGAATTATGATTTTTTAAATTGATATTTAAGATCTAGTTTTTAATTTTTAGGATAGAAAAATTGCGATGGAAACGTTGCTTAACTTCAATGTCAGCCTATGTTTTTATTTTCAAGTCAAATTAGCTAGGATTAATGTAAAGTTTATTGGACTGTTTTTTATGAATGAACGAGGATGGGACACTGGTTCTATTTTTGTAAAAATTATGTTTTTTCAGTTCTCTGTTGAAATTTATGGCATAATCAAAATTTTAAAAATTTCGAGCGATTCCTTACAAATCAACAGCTCCTGAAATAAATAAAAAATCCAGCAAAATCAAATCCAAAAGACACAAAAAATTGTTTTTTCTTCCATATTTTTTTTTATTCCTTAAATTCCTTCCTTATCATTATACATAATTAATTTATATATCATATAGTAATATACATCATCGACATATGTATAATAAATTTTGGAAAAGAAAAGTAAGAAGATATTATCAAAAAATAAAATCTGTATGGTTTCCTCTTTTTTGTTTTCACTGCTATGATTCTACATAAAAATGATAAATACATTCTCTTTTTCTTTGTATCTGAATATTTGATTTTCACTTTTTTTTGCAATCAGTATTAAAAATATAAAATTATAATTATTTTCTCTTGACTTCTTTTATATATTTCCATTTTAAATGTATTTTCCTATGAATTTTCATTCTAAATTTTCTTTACTTCGGTGAAAAAATATTGTTTTGAAGGACATGAGATGTAATTTTTTTTTTATTTAATTAAAGAGCATCATTTATGATGCTCAGATATCACTGTTTATCTCCATTTTTAACGGTAGGACAAGCAATTTTGTGAAGCGATTTGGTTAATTTAAATTGATAAACTATTAACTGGTGTACAAAAAATTGTGCAATTTTTGTGTCTAAATTCAAATAAGAAATATTTCTGGAAATTTATCTTAAAACAGAGGAGCTTATTAGGTTTCTTTAACCAGCTTAGCTAGTGATTAAAACATAATATTAGCTACTGCATGATACGACATCCTTTAATTTTATTTTACCTATCATCCTTGATACTTAGAAAATTCCAAATTTTGAGGTTAGAAAAACAAAATATTCAATTTCCAAAATCCAAATCATCCACAAATTGCTTATCCTTTTAAATTTTCATTTTATGATTTATATTTTGCTTACAACATTAATCATTAACTTCAAAAATCTACTATGTACGATTCTAAACCCAAACAGCACATAAATTTCATGACGATCAAATGGATCAGCTGGATAGCGAAAAAGTTTATGGCACTTGATTCTCATGGAATTTTTGTACTTTTTGGGTTAAATTTCCCAATTCTTAATTCCAATCCTTTTTGAGAAATTCATTTTGGTTATTGCTGACGGAAGTAAAAATTGAGTGCATTCGGCAAAGATACATGCAAAGACACACCACAGAAGAAGGTAAAAAATGGCAATAAATTTTATTTTATTTTATTTTGTAAAAAAAAATTCTTTTTCGGAATGTTTTTTTTTTGTAATCCAATAATATAAAATATGAGACCAGCTTTTTAACTATCATAAATGAACTAAGAATAAATTTCATCAGAAAAAGTTTTTTTTTATTTGTATATAAATCACGGGATGAAATGTTCTGTTGTCATATTTTCTGTTGCCACATTTTACATCGTTTTGATATAAATACGCATAAATAACAATTTGGTTAAAAATAGTCTATCACATTCAGGTTTCCATTACTTGATTTTCGTTTCATATATTTAATCACTATTACTTTATTTTTTTAATGACAATTTTGAAGGTTTTTTGATTAATGAATGCACTTTTTATTATTATTAAGTTTAGTTTTGATACTTAATATTTTTTTTCTTTATATTCGGGGGCGAAATGCAATCACTAGCAACTATGAGATTTAACTATAAAAAAATGATATGGAATATATAACAAATTATTACTATTGCATTCATTAATTAAAACTTGCTTTAATAATTTCACTAATTTTCTTCCTTATTATTTGATTCTAACAAAGCTAGCTGCAAAAATGAGCTTCTTATTGTTTATGGCTGATTATTAAAGTTTAATAAAATTGTATCAGCTTGTGATTTAAAAGTCTTAAAAAGCTCAAATTTGCAGTTCATTTTAAAGGTTGATAACTTAAAATTCCATTTGATAATCCAGCTATAAGCACCAGCACCCAAATTATTATTCACTTTTATTTCATATTTTGATTATTTTTTGAAGTTTTTAAAATTAAACAGAAATTGATTAAAGCTCCAAAATTCACTATTTAATATCATTGTTATCATCAACATGGCAACACTCAATTTTCTCCGTCAGCAATAAAAAATTTCAATAATTTTATTATGCTTAATTTTAATTAATTTCAGTAATAATTAATTATAATTTTATAAATGATTCCTTAAAGGTAGATATATTCGAAATATATAACTGATTTATTTTTCTATGAATGAAATTTGTGTGTGCGGATAGCAAACCTCCTCTCATCTTTGACTTTAATTTCTCTCTATTTTCTTTATTTTATTATTTTTTTTTTCGTGGGGATAAAAAATTGTAATTATGATCGTTACCATTTCAAATAAAATGATATCCACTCATGCTAATTAAATTAATATTTTTCTTGTCGATTTTGGATGTATTTAGATGAGAAACTTGAATGTTGGGAAGGAAAATGAATTTTTGAGCAAATTTTGGTGATCTCTAGTTGCCCTAAAGATTATTACTTAGTCAAGACCCTCGAGTAACAGCAACTATGCAGCACAAATCATCTTTTATCGTTCGCCAAGCCTTAGCTCACCTTTTTGATATTTAAATCTATTTCTTCAAATGAAATCATTTGGAATCAAGAACATTCATTTAACAAGGCAACGTCACATCAAAATCAGATTTATAACCAGCCACCTTTTTTCCACCGCAATCTCAACAAAAAAAGTTTCTCATTTAAATATTCCATTATTTAAACTAAAATTGTTTGAGTTATAAATAAAACTCGATAAAAACCTCGACAAATATTTTGAGTAAATTAGACCCTTATTAAATGTGATGGTTTTAAATAAAGTTTTGTTAAGGAAAAAAGGGAAAAAATTAAATTTCTTTTAATCACTAGAACTTACATTTTTATCACACGCGTCATTATGTTAACAGAATCTTCTGTTAATTTACCTTTTATCATTAAATTACTTTAAAAATGTTCAAAAACATTCATCATGCTAAAAATAGACATATAAAAGGGAAATTGAAGAGAAAAATTAAAAGATTAAGAAAAAATTTTAAATCCCATTTAAATTTTAAATTCTTTCGGGATGTCATTTTAGAAAAATATTGTTGATGCTCCTTCTAGAGATGCTCAATCAAAAAAAAAATGATTATGCTTAAATTAAATCATCGGATGCGTTTTGAAAATGAAGCAAATCGCCGCTGTATGATGAACTGAAGCTTGATGAACTCAACTCGTTCTCATTATCAAAATTGATTAATGTATCTGTGCCATCGATTCTCGTTCCAAGATATCCATCGACTGCATCTCTACTCTTACTAATGTCTGATGATGATCCTGGAAAGAGTTTGAAATGTTAAAGAAATCTTTATCAGCTTTAATTACTAATAAGTTGACCATTAAGTGCGACATAACATCTTAGGACTTTATATAGAAAATGATTTCCAAGAAAACACAAACACAATTTTATTTTCTTAGTTCCTTCTAGCTTTTTTTCAAGTCTTTTTATTGAGTTTTTTGCACAAATTATTTAATTTTTTTCTGCATTTTTTTTATCTAATTATTGGTTTTTTTGTTCATTTTTTTTCAATCACATTTTTTTTAATATAATGTCTGAATTACTTTAAAATTGAAATTAATAGAGCAATTATTAGGTTCAATTATATTATTAATATTAGTAAAATTTATAATCTTTATAATAGCAGCAGTACAATTTTCAAAAAACGCTCACATAATTCATACAATTTTTATTCTCTCAATTTTCATGTCTTATTGATTTCAACAGAATTTGACATACTTTAAATTTGTTTGGAGCCAATTGTTATCTTAGCTTTCTTATATTCTCATCATGTTATTATTCATTTAGTTTCATTAAGTAAAACATAATGTGATTTGATAAAATAATTTAACGTTTAGTATTGATGTGAGTGTATGTAATGTATATAATATAGCAACAGGTACAAATCGTTATACTGACTGACAAAAACATAAATAAATTAACTAATTGTGATTACTAAGCTAATCATCGTCATTCATTCGCGAAGTTGTGATAAAATACGCTTCTTTGAGGACATTTTGAGTGAAGAGAAATTTAGCTGCGGATGAAAATTTTGTTGGAGTGTCAACCTTGTGAGGCAGTCTTAGAATCTTAAGTAGATATTAAGGTGTGTAGGGATTGCATTGAATGTTTAATTGCAAATTTTCTAGAAGACTGTTAGCTTGTCTTGAATAAAAGTCATGGTATTTAGTCAATAAAGTCATTGAAATTAGAAAATTTGATAGAGATAATATAACCTAAGCTACCTAATGATGGCAGATCGCAATCCCAATTTAATACTTTTGGACAAATGTGATCAATATCCGATTTCAATTTTTAAATTTTCTCAATTCATTCAAAAATTTTCCTCAAAAATAGCAAAAAATTAATATTAATGTAAAGAAGAAATAACTTATTTAAAGAAAAATAAAAGAGATAAAATGAAAGAGAGAAGCATTGTGTTATGCATAAGTATATGATAAGCAACTATTATGACATAATGATAAATTTTAAAGTCTATAGTTTAGCTCGCTACACAGAATTGCAATTAAAATCCTTTCCACTTTCATTAATAACCGCATACACCAGATGCACTTTACATGATTTGTTACTTTCAACCTTTAATTATTCGGAAATCTTACATTACACACAAAAACATATGTCATAATTATCGTATGTCCACCTTTTACTACCAATTTTTCAAAAATCAAAATAAAAACTTCAGAAATTTGTATTAGTAAAGTCAATTTGTAAATCGAAAAATTCCGACATTAAAAATCATAAATTTAATTTTTTTGGATTCCTTTTTCTAACATTTCATCATGTTCAAAATTTATTTTTTTTTATCACAGTTTTTAAGCATTTTTATGATTTTTTTTTTTCATTTCATTTTCCTTTTCATTCCCTATATTAATTAACCTTTGTGTCAGTTAAAATGATATTATCTTTTATCTTTTTCTCGTTCTAATTAATCAACGTTTTCTAATTACATTTACAATTTAGTGACGTCATATCGTCAACTAGGTTTTTAGAAGAAAAAAATATTAATTATCTTTTCATCTATTAGTAATGATCAAGGTGTGATGAAATTTAATTAAGTTTGAGATTTAATTTGACTTTGATGTTTAAAAAAACGTCTTTAGTGGATGGATATAGCAGTATAGATTTATTGGACAAATTCTGCATTTTGAGAACTTTGTCTGATCAAGATCTAGCTTTTAGGAAAAATCTCAATTTCAAATCCAGAAAAGTCAATCTATAAATTATAAATTGTGGATTAAAATTGTAGGATAATTCTAAAGCTTGTCATTAAAGTCGTTTGAATTTATTCAATAACCTCAGAATCTCAAAAAATAAAAATCCCAAATTAATTTATCCAAAATATCAAACACCTTGAAGATGATGTTAAAATTTTTCTATAAACTCGAGCGACGAAGAATGAGAAAGGTTTAACAAATTTTTGCGTCACTCGAGGAATGGTCTTTACTTTCACGAAAGGGATTGACATAGAATGGATTACTTCGTACATGAGATTTTGTGTTTTTTTTTCTGAATGAACATGAAATGTTAATTTTGTTATCTATATGCGTATAATAATTTTCTGTCTATTAAACAGGAAAAAGGAATATGAAAAGTTTTTCATTATTTTTTTCATTGAGATCTAAAAATAACATAGGCAAATAATCAACAAAAATATATATATATGATTATATTTTATATAGATTCTTCTTTTTCAGTATTAATTATGATTTTTTTTTTGGAAATTCGGTCTAAATGAGTTTTATTTTCGCGAAAGGTATAGGAGTCAATATTTTTTGTTTTGTTATTAACACAATATAATTAAGATGATAGAACATAAGTAGATCGGTGTCAATAGTAGAATTATAATAATGAAGGAAAGATAAATGATAAGTAATTACGATCTAAGTAAATACAATTTAAAACGATGGCTTAAAGGAAAGAAGAATAATTTTTCGAAAACATAAAATTCTTTTAACTGTAGCTATTACAGCTGTGGCAATTTATCTGCGCTTTTTCTTATTCTTACGCTTGCCATTATTACTATTATTATTGCTGGTTGCTTGTAGTTTTTGGTTTATATCTGGCAGTGTTGGTGTATCATTAGCGTCGGTTGTTGTAATATTTGTTATTATCGTCATTCCTCCAGATGAAACTGGAGTTAATGACGTTGTTGACGTTTCCAGCAATGGTCTAAGTTCCTCGTCATCTTCTCGTTTGAACTTTGTTTGAATATTTGATTTTTTCGACGAATCTTCAGCATCAGTTTCGGATGATGTTGCCTCAAAACTTGAAATATCTTCTGGATCTTCCTTTTCAAATGATGGTGTCTTTAAGATTGGTGGAATCTTAAAAACAGGATCTGGATCATCTTGCTCTTGGGCAGATACAATTGCTTCTTCCATTTCTAAATCTAAACTCTTGTAGTCCGAGTCATGTCCTTCACAGTATTGATTACTATTTGCACTTGCAAAAGTCGAAGTTGTCGTGTTTGTTGTCAAAGAAGAAGATGTTGAACGTTGAATTTGAGACGATGAGCTTATGCTCTTTGATTCTTCATCAACCTTTAATTCCTTTAAGCTTGAACACATTGCAAACACCATGTTTGTATCTTTAAGTAGTTCACTCATTTTCTTCTTCATCTCTTGTTTCTCCTTGAACTCAACATTATCTTCAACATAACATGCCTTTTCTTCCTCTTCCTTAACAATAAATCCATCATATGTAGCATCGAACGGCTCCAAAGGTTCCAATGGTGGCAATTCATCATCAATGTCATCATAAAAATCGTCATTTTTAATAAATTTCTCCTTGATTTCAACCTTTTCCGACTCAATTGGTAGGACAAAGTGTTCTTCAATAATTTCTATGTCAGATGACAACTTTTGTGGACTATCGTGAATCTCAACTGTATCCTCATGTGGTATGATTTGGATTTCTTCATCGCCAATTATTTCATGCATGCTGATTTTCATAACAGCATCTTGATCGATTTCCTTATTATATTCTTCTAATGGTGGTAAATCTGGGAAATCTGGTGTTGGTAGTTTGGTAAGCACTGTAGATTGGATGACAGTTACTTCAGGAGATGGCAATTTAATTGTATCTAAAGGTGGAAAATTGACAGATGGTTCTTCAATAGCTTCAAAAGTAAGTTGTGTTTTGATATTCGCTATAGTTTTAGTATTTTCAGCGAATGTTGACTTAAAAGATGGAAAATTTGAAGCAAGAGGAGGGAATTCAATTGTTTTTTGAGCTTCAACTTTTGTAGCAAGCTGATTTTTCTTCTTTCCTTTTTTATTTCTTTTCCAAGCATCCTTATCAGGATTTTCTGACTTTTTCACTAGAAGTTCTTCTTTTGCCTTTTCTTCAACTTTTTCTTCGAATTTAAAAGACAATTCTTCAACTTTAACTTCTATTTTTTCAGGTTGTGGAGATGGTGATCGAGCTTTAACTTCAACTGGTTTCAAGAACAATTCTTCAGCTATGGTAACTTCCAATTTCTCATTATTAGAGATTTCAGCATTTAATTCCTCATCCAGAACAGCATTCAATGCTATTTCAGCACTCAACTCTATTGGATTTATTTTTTCTTCTTCCTTCTTTACAATTTCTATTTCAATTTTTGGTTCAACAGTGACAGCTTCACAAAATTCTTTAATGCCTTCATTTTCAATTTCGTAACTTATTTTTACTGGCTCATGTTCAGAAGATTCTTCCAAAACTATGTTTTTATCTTCTACTTCTCTAGTCAATGAGACATCCATGTTTTTCTCAATTTCAACTTTTATTTCTTCAACTTTTTCTTCAACCTTAACTTCCTCAATTTTAGCCTGTTGTGAAATTATTGTATTCTTGACAACATGAGAAGTTTCAGTTGCTTTTTTCTCGTCATCTTGGGATTTTTTATTATATTTTTGTGCTTTCTTATTTTTCTTTGTTTGTCCATTAGAATCTTCCTTCTTTGTTTCCGTATTCTTCTTATTTTCATTCGTATTTTTCTTAACATCCACGACGACTGATTCTTTTTCAACTTTTTTAGACTTTTGACTTTCTAAAATTAATTTTTCCTGCTTTTCTAACTGCTGTTGAGCTTTTTGTTTTTGTTCAACTTCCTTTTTACGTTTCTTTTCTTCCAAAACACGCTCATCAATAACAGGAACAACCAATTCGAGTGGAACTTCAACAGGCTTTGAACATTCTTCAACATTGACCATCTCGCTCATTTTATTCGAAATATTAAGAACTGTAATGACAGGACGAAACATTGTCTCATCACAATTTTCAAGTATATAATTTTCATTTGAGAATGCTTCCACCGTGTTTTGTGTAGCAGGATTATTATTATCAGTAACAGTTGTTATAATTCCTTGTGGATTAACAATTGATACAACCACCGTGTGTAAGTTTGATGTTTCATCACACATCATTGTGTCGACGCCAAAGCTCTTTGCTTCTCGTTGTTGTGTCTCATGCATTGATGACGATCCTTTTATTTTGATATGAAATGAAATAGTAAAGGAGAATTTTTGAGAAATAAAAATCATTAAGAAATTTGTTGTTGGTTTATTTTAAAAGCCGTTGGCAAACTTTCTTATTGAATAGTCACTCAACTAACATTTATAAAGGAATGATGAAATCAAAAGTAAAAAAAAAATACAGAGAAAAAAAAACAGTAAAACCAATACAAAGGTGTGCTATTTAAAAATATGGATGAGAGATTTGTCTCAAAAATTAAGAAAAAAATGTGCAATAAAAAGAAAATAATTGCATGCACTAATAAATAAATGCATTTATAGACATCATCATCATTATTTTTACTTCCAGTTAAGGCTTTTTTCATCATGAATTAAATAATAAGATGAAATACAAAGGAAAGGGGTTAATGAAACTTAATAACCAGCATAAGATCTTTAATTAATTAAAATACATATTGATCAAAGAAAATTAAAGGTTTTTAAAGTTATTTACAAAAAACTCTTAAAGTCTGCCAAGGCTTTTATTCATTCATGTCAAATTTCCTTAACTTTCTCGCTCTCTCATTCCTCCTTTATATTGTCGATTTTATATCAAAAAGGAATCATGTATGCATGTTAGACATTCATCAACGCAAGACCATAAAAGTTTTTCATAATCATGTCTCAATAACTCTTTGTCTGCAACTAACTTTCATGGTTGATGTTCACCAAAATTCACTTTTTAAACGTATTTTAATTAATTAATTAGATTAGAGTATGGCAAAAAAAAAAAATATTCACATATTTTGGACTTAATTATTCAAAGCTATTCTGTCATAGGAAAATTTTATATGCACTTTTTTAATTCAAATTAATATTAATAGCTATAGCGTCATGTTAGTCATTTATTACAATTTAATCGCGATTTTTCTTTTTGCTTCTATACCAAAATCGAAAGCTTCCATAGCAATAGAATGTTTTTGTGTTGTTTAAGTTCAAAGTGTGTGCATTAGTTCATTATGAATCAGTTACAACATAAAAAAAAATATTGGAAGAGGAGACATGCTTTATGTATGAATCGTTGATATTTTACAAATCAATGTCATATGTCAACTCTCAGAAATAAAATGTCAACTCAACAAATACCGAACCGCAAAAAAATGACAATTTCGACTTACCCGAATCACGATTTGCAAGCGGAATCGCTGGACAATCTCGCATTGCATCAGCCAAATCTTCTCTCAATTGAGAATCTGGTCCAGAAATAATTTCCGAATCGGTACTCTCATAATGAAATGAATCCAATAAGCGAGGACTTTGCTCGTAGCTACCTAAAAAGTTTCGAATTAAAAGAAGAGAAAAGAATGGAAAATTTTTAAAACTCAATGACTTAATTTTGATTCTATTTTTAAAGTACTTACTGCACGAACCAGATTCAATTAAAACGGGAACTAAAGGACGTGTGCTTGCAGATGAATTTGGCATTGTTGGCATATTAACAGGCGTTGATCTTGCACGCGCACCAACTTCAATGGATTCCATATCAATATGGGCTAATGAATTTCTGTAAAATGTTTAAGATCAATGAACTGTAAAGGATATCCATTAAACGTTTACTTACCCGCTTTGTGTGTTATATAATTTGAAAACAAATTGTGGTCCCATCCACAAGCGTCTATGCGGTCCTGCATGTGTAACAATTTCCACTTGTGATAACCAACGATCATCTCTTTCATCCGAACTCATTACTCCTACATGACTTGTGTCTAAATTCAAATTATTATCAATTACACGATCCTTTATTAGCCAATTATCAGCAGAAAGTGGTGGTGAAATTTCAAGTTGAGAATTGGATCGCTGTCCCAATATCCATTGTGCTTTTGCCTCAACCTCCAACTCTATTGGTGTTTCATCGCAAATCTTTTCTTTGGGTATATCTGTTGACACAAGTATTATAAGAAAATTTTGGTATGTCAAATAATTACGAAATCTACTCACTTGAAGCATGACGAGGCTCGAGATCATATTGAATAAGTGCTCCGTGACCAGCAATGACAAATAATGAATCAACAGCACGACGATGTAAGCGAGAAGGTGTATCATGCTATGTATAAATTAAGTTAATATTAATAAGAGGAACTGAGGACAATAAAAGAACTGCTCACCATTCCAGGTGGATCTAACAACCATGAACGAGCCTTGGCAAAAGTTGCAGCAACACGTAATGGCTTTGCATGCGATTCTTCAATCGAATGATGACGTTGACGTCCCATTCCTTTCGATCCTGATTGTGCTACATTTGTTGTTTGTGATAAGAGAGTGGACGTAGAATTTAAACTCGATGGTTGACGAAGTTGTGCCAATGGAAGAATGACAGTTGGATGAGGGAAAGGTGGTAAGCGAGGATTAGCATAGGCTGTCGACTGAACAGCATGCTCAGACATTAAAATTGGACTACTTGATCTTCCATCGACTGGTAAGCCAGCAGAGCGATGGAAGCGTGAAAGACGATTGACGACATGTGCAGCTGAATGAGTCCTATATCCACAATGTCCACCATATGAAGTGATTGGGAAAACATGTGTAGTACCTCGTACTGTAGAGACTGCAACCCAACGTGAATCGAAGCTGAATGAAATGTCTTGGACTTTTGCTGAAGTATCACCACGATGTAACACATAGAGATGATGAACTGCTGCAAGAACGGAACCACAAGTATGTGGCAAAATTCGGAAAACATTGAAATCATGTCCACGACGATCAGCAGTTAATAATAACATTCCAGAAGGGTCAAAAGACATTGCGAATATTGCTTCAGAATGAGCAATGAAATGAGCGACAATTGGATCATTTCCATTGATGGCAACTGGAGTGCCACTTGTTGGACTTATGTCTTTGATAGCATGCTTGATATCTAAAATTGTTACAACACCAGGTTGTGTTCCATCAATTGCACATGTTGGATTAGTAACTGATGAACTACTGCTTCCCTGATTGGAAGAACTTGCTACGTTTCCTGTCAATCCTGCGGCGACTTGATCTTTGAGTTCCCTCAAACCTTTACCAAGACTTTTCGCTGCATTCAAAACAGTTGCCGTATAACTTGGAATTCCATCAGCATAACAACCTCCCCCACTTGTTTTTGATGAAATTAATTTTCTCTCAGCATATGCAAGCCAACGATCTCCTAAGGCAATTGGACAAAGTCCACTTTAAGAATAAATAATTATAGCATTAGTTGCATTCATATTCATATTTATTTATTCAAATTTATTACGTCTAATTTTTTGCTGTCTACTTACTTTGGACATGGATAGCACGTCGTGACTGTTAAACGATCTTCAAGTGTGCGAGCATCAAAAATTGCAATTCTTTCATAGAATGTGATGGCAATGGAAGTGCGATTTGCAACAATATCAACAACTGGCGTTTTAAAACGAATTGTTTTAACAATGTCACCATCCTTAAGTGACACAAAGTTTACAGCGTGCAATTGTTGATTTTGTGAAGACGATGTCTGATTTAGAATTGGACAGTCGCCACATAATGCCATCAATGGGCGCTTATGAATGAATTGGTCTAATAAATCATTTGCTAATTCACTATTGTTGCTCAAAAATGGTGTCGGAAGAATTCTCAAAATATTGACCTGTACGAGAATGTCATGAGTAACTTAATATAAAAGGAGATAAAGTTAGAAGACTTACAGATCCTTGTTTCCATGACATGACCTCAATTGCTTCTCCATTCGCTGGAATGGCCCATACTTGCATGCCATTCACATAACCGATACATAATAGAAGAGGCGGTGGTAAAGTTCCTTCACTATCACAATCCTCTCCTAAGCTTGTATCACTTATATCTGCCAAATTCTCAAACTTTGCCCACAAAATCTGATCTTTTGGATTTGTTTGTGGAGCATTTGTAAGGGCTACATCATTAATGAAACCCGCAACACTATCGATGATTGAACGATCACTAACGGCTTGGGGTGGCACAATATTTGGCACCAAACGTGTGCTCTCCGATGCTGTTGATGGAGCACGTTTTTGATGGGACTCGGCTGACATTTTCTACTCTTATCTCCTGTAAAAATATTTTAAATAGAATTAAGTGAATCGCAAATTAATGTTAATGAACTTGAAATAATATAAATTTCTCGAATATTTATAGTTTCGTCACATGTAAATAAGACTGCACGTTTCATTTCTTAATAAATATTATTTTATAATCATCATCACAAGTTGCTTAGAAGAAGAAGAAAATATATAATTTTTGCGACGTTGTCACATTACGGAAATCTAATCTTGAAATAATAGAAAGAGAGGTTCAAGTTCAAGCATTAAAAATCAATGTCTTTGTACTTAAATTATCGTATAGAAAGTGAACTTGTGCGTGTACTTATGCAATGCTATTCTATTGAATCATGAATTTTAGATTCTTTTTTTTTGTAAAGGGGAAACAAAAACTCGTTGTGTGTGCGATGAGAAAAAAAAACTATTTTCAAGTTCAAGTTGAAGCGTATTAAGTGATTTAGAGCGAGAAGGAAAAACGCAACAGATGATAACGTAAAATAAATATAAAAATAATTTTTCAATGTATGTGGAAATTTTTCTATTGACCTCAACACAAAACAATGTATATTCTTTTCTGCAGTATCTTTATAATTTACGTTTAAAAACCTAACACAACACACTACATCCATACACTGAAACTTGTTTTTGCTCACACAAAATTCCAATTTCTTTATGTCAGCTGAGACTCTCAATTTTTTTTTTTTTTTCATTTTTCCTTAGTTCTTATTTATCAATCTTATGAAATAATTTTTTAATCGTCTGCTCGCAGGTTTACAGAATGCGAAGAAAAAGTTTTGCCTTTTTTGTTATTCATTAAGCTTCGCATAACGATTGAGTAAATTCAATGCCAACATACAAAGAATGATTAATTTTTGAAGAACTCTTTTAAGCCCTTTTATTCCCCATACAAACTTATCACTTCCGTTTGATCTTCTCCTTCTCGGCAGACGCAAAAATCGAGATTTAAAACCATGAAGAAATAAATTTTTTTATTACATTTAAATACGAAATGAAATCGTTCTTTAGAGCTTCATCACTGCCTTTATTAAATTCAATGAGCACATGAATTTAATCCGAGATTTTATAGTGTCACAAATAAAGAAGAACTGATATTTTATTCCTTTATTCCTGGCGTTTCTTAATCGTATAGACAATGAACAATTATTGACTAATGCGTTAACGTGTAATTGAAATCTCACTGCTTTGTTTTATACTTATTAAGAGAAATAACAAGCGAAACATTCGTCCGATAAGTTCAAAGGCTTTTCAGACACTAACATACATAATGCACAGGATATACATGTTGTTCTTTAGTCTTTTTCTGGTTATTAGTGATAATGAGTTTAATGATAACTCTTGCATGATGATAATTTCTAGTATTCAATTAACTAATGTTTTATAAATGCAACAAATGAATACCAAGGCAATAATCAATCGTAGACAGGGCTGTACATTGAACTTTATTTTGATCTATAAATTAATGCAATCGTCAACTTTTATTTATTTTTAAGGTCATTATTCTGGAAGAATTGATGTCAACTTTAAATCTCATAAATGGAAATCCTTCTAATCTATCACTTAATTATTCTCTAGCTACGCTCCTAACAGTAGCTACTAGCATGATTAATATTATTATTGTTAGTGTGGACTTTGCTTTGTGTACTGATGAGAAAGTCCCCATAATTAATAATGTATTTACTTATACATTTTCATTAAGTCAGCCAGCTGATTACTACCACACTTAATATGTTTAGTCTTCAGCTTTTTTATGTTATTTTTTTTCTCTCTTTCTGCTTCCACTTTTTTCTATTTTTTTTTTTTTAAAAAAGTAAATATAAACATTGAACATATAGTGATTTTTTTGTTTGTTGTTGAAGCTTGTCGAGTAAGCATTACTGACATACTTGATTGTTTGAGGCGTATTTTTTTGAGTTCAAAATAAACATGTTTACTGTTATGATAATTAAGACCCACATAGATAGACGTCAAGACAAGACAAAACACGCTAAATAGCCCCATTTAAATGCGTTATGCGCTAACGATTCGAATGAATATGTTTTGTTTCATTTTGTTCATCATTTTATAATTTTTTTTTCTAGATGGAAAAATAAGCGAATGAACCCCCCATCAAATTACATTCTGTTGTTGCCATAGTAATATTAGTAACAACATGCATAATAAGCTATCTCTGTGTGGAAAATCAAAAAAAAAAAAAAAAAATAAAGATACGACAAAAGAGCTTTTAATAAAATGATCATTTGAATGCAAGACCAAAAATTTTTGTTTGTCTAAAAAAATATTGAACGAATATGGCACGTTTTATGAACCGAGAGCTATCTCATCGTGCAAAAATGCAACTTTTTATTCGCTCGTTTTACTTTTCAACAGGTGTTTAATGTTAATTAATAATTTTTTGATCTGATAGATAGAATTGAAGGATTTTTTTTATGTGTGAATGTACAAGCAACTAAGCTTGTTCTGTTCCTTGCATGACAAAAAACAAATGAAGGAGAAGAAAAAAAAATCAGCAGCAAGTAGCTATAAATATGAAAATTATGCAATATGGAGAATAATTGTATAAAATATCTGTCATATGTTTTACACACGAAGATTTACATTAATTGTCTTCTTCTTCTGACTTCAATTAACCCACATATACATAAATATAATTTACGAATGAAAATATTGAAGAAGAAGTAGAGAAGAAAAATAAAAAAAATATATACACAAGCCCCAGCTGATTTACAATATAAAAGTTGATGTGAAAAAGAAAGAAACAGTTGTTATAGACTTATGAGTCACCCTTTGCACTCAAACAAAGGACAAAAATCAAAATTCTTAATTTAATCAATTTTCTATTTGAAAATTTTCCAAATTTATCAGAATAAATCTTAGTTGAATATATAAAGAATCTTAAAAATAATTTACCTCAATGAATTTCAAATCATTCATTTCGCTAAACAGTTTTTTAAAGTTATTGCGTTTCAATATTCATTTTTTTCCTTCAGAAAAACAAAACTCTTTTCGATGTCAAAGAGAAAAATTTAATTTTGGAAAAAAATTAATTTAAAATGCAGAATTTCTACAGAATTTTATGCACTTTTACTTTGTATCACTATTTATAACATAAATTACACTTTTATCAATAATTATAAGTTTTTAAATAATTTTAATTTAATTCTTTTACAAATTCAGTTTTTTCAATTTTTTCTCTGGCGCAGAAGTCGATGTGTGAGGTGAATTTACAGAAATGAATACATTGATAGGGTGTCTTTTGTAATTTTCATAGTCACACCCCTATTTACTTTTTCAATCTATTGCAAATTTTCCTCTTTATTTGAATAAATAATGCTTAATAGATTTAAATGATTATTTCTTTTTAAAAATCATCGATTAAGCTTTATTTGACTGTGTAAAATATTATTTATAAATCTCAACAACATTCTCAATTTTAATTTTATTGTATTCATAAATTTGCTAGAAAAACAAGCAAAACATTCGGTAATAGCGTTGCGACTATAAAAAAGTGCAAAACATTAGCAACAAACAAAGGGCAAACTGACTAAAGCATTTACAATATTGGATTCATTTACTTGAATTATCTTTGTAATTTTCAGAAAAAAATCATTCAAATTAACATTTTCTTACCAAATTTAATACATAACCATTAAAAAACAAAATCAATACATCCAATTTTTAACAGACATCCACAAATCATCACAGAAAGTTTTCAACGTATTTTAATAAAATTCAAATCTAGTTTAGCGCATTATTACAAAATGTGAAAAAATTGAGTGTGTGGTTTAAAAATTCAAGAAAAAAAAGTAGAAAGTTAAAATAATTCAGTATTAAGCGTTTAAAAATACCAAAAAAGATCTTTAACAACAAATATAGTGTGTCAAAAAAGTGGAAAAAGTCGAATATAAGTAAATTTCATCCGATTAATAGTGGAAAATCGAGAAAAGAAAAATTGTTTTTGCAATGTAAAAAAATCTATATTCTATCTCAACTAAAAAAGATCCAAGAAAGAATATCTGTTTGATAATAATAATTCAATGTCAAGATGGTCCATTAAATAATAATAATAAATATGACTTTTGGCACATGAAATAGTATTTTGGAACCAATTATATAAAAAAAACATCCATTTTTCCTCAAACCATATCACATTAGCTGCTATATAAAAGCAGTAAAAGGAAGTCTTAGTAGGGGAAGTTTTTTTTTCAATCGAAAAGAAAAAAAGGTGAGAAAAAGAGAAAATCGAAAAAAAAATTGTTTCGAGGATATTATCAAATTTATGTTTTTTCGGTGCTACCATTTAAGACAATTAAGTAGCATAAGGCATTAATATCGTAATCAGGTATATTCATATCGATTTTATGAACATTTTAATGTTCAAATTATATTTTTTGATGATCACATAAAAATATAATTTGGTATTGGACTATTCTGTATGTATTTTTTTTTTCTCTCAAAAAATCTATGTCTCGCCCGTGAGCCACTCCATCCAAAAAATTTGTATCATATATATATACAATCATATATTTTTGATAGAAGAGCAAAGGAAAAGAAAAGAATTGCGAACATTTAGAGTTCAATTGTGTAATAAATCAAGATGTATTTGAATATAAAGATACGATAGAAGTATTTCATAAAAGAAGCTATTCAACTTCTTTTAAAGTGACTACCCGCTACGAAACAGTTTATGTCTGAAAAATTTTTGATATAAAAATCATCCACCCACAAGTGGATAAAATATTTTATTTTTCGCATTGCAATTGTCAAGATAAGGTCATTTAATAGGCTCAAATTCAATTTAATTTAGCCTCGCTACTTAGTTGTTTTTCATGCATGCAAAAAACATATCATATAGCTCCTCTTATACTTTACTAACTTGGATTTTTCATTCTCTAAAGAATTTTCATTATTATTACTATTATTCTCTTCATCACCTTCATCTAGTATCAACACATCTATTGAAAGATTTTTCAATTAAAAATAAGCACCAAGCATGAAGCAAATCAATGTCGCTGTTGTGGGATTAAGTGGTGTTGAAAAAGGTTTGTGCATATTATATAGAAAATAAAATCATATTACAACTTCTGCATGAGATTTTTCATTTTTTTAAATGTGGGAATTGGCTAATAATAAACTGCTCTTGTAATCATTACTATTATAGATAAGGGTAACTCTGGAGTTGGGAAGTCATGTTTGTGTAATCGTTTTGTACGTCCATTGACCGACGACTATAATATTGATCATATATCGGTTTTAAGTCAGGTAAGTGTTGTCTTCAGATTTAAAAAAAAAATCTCTCTCTTTTTGTGAATGATTGGTATGAGTACATATTGTGGTATAAGAAACCATAGGAACTAATACCTTCTAATCCTTTTGTATGTGATTTTAAAATGCAGTCTCTGTATCTTACCTTCTTATCGCTTATTGTTGTTTTGTATTATTATATCTTTCAGTCGGATTTTAGCGGTCGTGTTGTCAATAACGATCATTTTCTGTATTGGGGTGAAGTGCGTAAAACATCTGAAGAAGGTGTTGATTATACATTTCAAGTCATCGAGCAAACAGAATTTGTTGACGATGCTACCTTTCAGCCGTTCAAAGTTGGAAAAATGGAGCCATACTTTAAGAGATGTGCAGCTATTCGTGTCAACTCTGCGGAAAAGTTAATGTATATTTGCAAGAGTCAACTTGGAATAGAGCACGAATATGAACAAATTGTCTTGCCTGATGGTCGCTTTCTTATTGACGGTTACGTTGTCGTTTTCGACGTTAGTTCCGTTCCAAATCGTCCTGTTGAGAAGCAAGCTGATTTCATCATTAATATTATTAATAATTTGTTGAAAAATAAGAAGCCAATTGTACTCGTAACAACAAAAAACGATGATGCAAACGAATCGTATATTAGAGAAGCTGAGAAAATTATTCAGCGAAAAGAGTATAAAGGACAGGTTACTCTGGTTGAAACATCTGCACACGAAGCCATTAATGTTGATTTAGGATTTATTATTCTCGCTCAAATGGTCGATAAGGCCAAAAATCGCTCGAAAATTGTCTCATATATGGATGCAGCTAGACATAGGAAGGAACTACTCGATGCTAGTACGGAATATGTTACAAGATTAATTCGACAGCAGATAACAGACCATCGGGCAATATGGACAACATCTTCGAAAAAATTAGCTCAACATAAGGAATGGCAAGAATTTATCGAACTGTTTGGAAACGATGCCGGTTTAAGGATTTTTAGAAGACATTTAAAGAAATTAAGAGAAGACTATCAAAATAAGAAACTTCAGAGATATTTAGATGCATTCATTTCGGTCCTGCATGACATTATACCTGATATGAATTCACTTAGCATCGATCAAAATCTCGATTGGGATAAGATTCAAGTGTATTTAAGGAATCACATTGATTTTGATCAGTATTTCTTTGATAGTACTCAACAGAATGTCTCATGGATGGATCTCAGCGATTTTAGTGATATGGAAGAAGAGAATCGAATACCTTTTGATGTTGTTGACACAGCAGAAGCTGAGACGGTCTTTAAAAACCATTTAAATAAACTCCAACAAGAGCAGAAAAGATTAGAGTGAGTATTGATTAATTATTTTTTGATTTATTTTTATCGACTAAAGGAAATTCTTTTAATGTTCCTCCTCAAATGCTTTACCACACTCACTCTTTAGGATGCCAAAAAGGTGAAAATTTAATTTGTTCACTTTTCATATTTCCAATTCAATGAAATTTTATTTTTATCTTTACATTATCTTGATGGTTTCGCTCCTTCTTCTTACATCAACCGAAAATTTCTTTTCTTTTCTCATCTTCAGATGGAAGAAGCAATTTAAGAAATTATTGGAGGAGACTAACTATGTCACGCCTGGAAAGCAATTGTCAGAAGTTCGCGTTTTCTTTCTCGGAAGGGAATGCTTTGAAGCACTGTCAGAGCATGATTGTCAGCAAATTTATGATAATCATCAGCGTGAAATTATTGAGACAGCCAAACATAATTTCCAAGAACTTCTATTAGAAAATGCAGACTTGTTTTATCATTTCAAGACATTGGAACCATCAGGAACAATCACACAAAATGACATCAAAGATATCACGGATGTACTTCAAGAAGATTTCCGTTATAAAATTTTAGATCGATTAGATCAGGATCGTAAATTAATGCTATTCCAACATCTCGGCTTTGTGCATTGCCCCATACGAGAACATTGCCCTGCGTTTCCAAACTGCATTGATTCTCTAGTTGAAAGAATTGTAACATCAAATGAAATTCTGCCGTCAAGAACACCGCACAAGGATGGACAATTACAATTGAATCTTGTCGTTATTGGTCTCGATTATGTTGCAAATGATCTCATCAGTAAAATTCATCTAAATTGCAACGATAATGGAGAGTATATTTTCGATGGAAACACTTATGGATTGTCAATTGAAACAATTAATCGTGACAACGATTCATTTGCATATGATTTACAAGGAAAAGGTGAGTTTTGTTTTTAAAGTATTATAAATATTGGGTTTTTTGGGATGACCAGAATTTTAGTTGAGTGTTGCCACTTGAATCCAGCTTTAATTTGATTTTCTATAGCACACAGATACAACCCTTAATTTAAGCCTTGCCAACCTTTTTTTATATATTGTTCATAATGCGTTAATCCCACTCTGATCCCATTAATAACCCGTACACATTAATTTTTTCCACGGAATTTTCCAACTTAATTTGATTTTAATAATTTATATCAATTCATAGCTATGACAACGACCATTGAAATTTATTTGAAAAAAATATTTTTAAATATATGTGTGTGTTCCTTCCTTGTCGTGATCACATTCAAATGAAATTTGATTGAATTTTCTTCTTTTTATTTTTATTAAAATTGTCATCACGTATTTTGTTTCTTTCTTTCTCTTTTTTTTTTATCAACTCAACATGGTTTATTATTAGGTCTCATCTGTTGCTTCTACAATAAAACAACATTCCAATATGTATATGATATCGTCGATAAATTACTTGCTGAAAATACAGATTTTAAGGAAAATATGAGTAATATTCACCTAATACTTTTGAATGAAATCGATAGTAGCGGTAAAATAGATTTAAGTGAAATAAGCGAAACGCGAAAGGAAGCACAACAATTATGCGAGAAGCTTCATTGTATTCTCCTAGATGCCAATGATTATTATACAGCCATTTCACCACAATATCAGCACAAATTTATCAATAATGTATTGAACAGTGTCATTGAAGTAATGCCATTTGAAGACCTCAAGTACAAGGATGTCTTTCCATCAGAAGTACCCGATATAAGAATAATAATGTGTATGTTCTGTGGTGATCCATTTTCAATTGAAAATGTCTTGACATCAATGACAAATGAAACTGCCTGCATGGCAAATGGAGAGCGTAATATAACATTTGAATTATTCTTGGGTGATCAGAAAAGACGTGTCGAAGTAATTTTATCATCGTATCATGGAGCTAATGCTTTTCGCGATGAACTTGTACATGGATTTATATTGTTGTATTCAACGAAACGTAAAGCATCTCTTGCGACACTCAATGCATTCTCAATTAATATTCCTAATTTACCAATGCAAATTGTCTCAATTACTGATCCTGGCGGTGCTTCGTCATTCTTTAACAATGAATTAGCACAAATGCTCATTACAGAGGGAAATAATCTTGCAGATAAATTAAGAGCACATTTTGTAACAGCTGGTGATGAGGATAATGGATTTAAATGTAAGCAAATGAGCTTCAATTCTCTTTTTCCATAATTTAATTTTTTTTGTTGCTTTCCTTGACACAATTTAGTTGCTTCATTTGCTCCATTCTTGAAGGAAGTTTGGGATAAGAAACCAGAAATAGAGCATGCTTTTCACATGGAAGAGCCACTTACAATTGATTCTGGTGAAGGAACTATGGAGCATTCGATGCATCATCATCAAAGTGCACCACAACCTCCACCTAGATATGAAAGTTATTTATTAAATGGATCATATAGACATTTTGATAAAATGAGCCATAGATCTGTAAATTCATTAGACGGTATGGAGGAGAATGTTAAATACGGAAATGTTCCAGACGAAAGACAAGCTTATAGTAATATGTATTTCTACGAAGAGAATAATAGTGATGCAGATAAAGATGACAGAAATAGGATCTTGGGAAAAAGTAAGATGATCAATTTTTCCTTTTGAAAAGTTGTGAATGAAAATATTCTTAAAAAATAAAAATATTAAAGGTTTTCAAATGTATCCATCACCACCAGAACCAGCACCACCAGATCATCATCATCTTTTAACGCCCTCGTCAATTTTAAGACAATTAAAGGAGAACGCAGCAGTCTCGCACTCACAATCTAGTCTTGAAGAAATAAACTGTAAGAATGGAAAAAGTAATTGAATCGTTCCATAAATTTCATGTGCTAATTTATTAAATTATTTTTCTCGCAAGCTGCCGATGCAAGCGGATCTAAAGAATCATTGAATACATATGATTCAGGTTTTATTCACTTTCTGCTAATTCTCTTTGTCTATCTCTCTTTCTTTTTTAATATCCACCCAAATGAATTCTCATGACATGTCTGAACACGAACTAAATGTGATTATTTTATCTATAAATAGGTTGGATAGATGATCACATGAAGGATGATGTATGGAAGAGTATGAATGCACACGCATTTACAACAGGAAGACCGCGAGTTAATCCAAATACATTTGGTAAAAAGATTCCGCCTGCAGTGAGGCCAAAAAGTCAGACTCTGAAGCAGCCTGGAAAAATTAATCTCATTGAATCGAATGCACAAGGTAATTTATAAAAAAAAATTATGATGACCTTGACAATCCAAACATAAACAAATGAATTATTCATTTCACAGTTCCAGGGAAACTGAATCTCGCAAGCTACGCAATAGTGAATGAAGCATTAGCACGGATGAATCTAGGTGATAATAATAAACCAGTTTTAGATAAAAAAATTTCCTATAAACCCGGTTCCAAAAAATCAAAATTAAAATCAAAATCTTGTGATGCAACGCATGCAGCCCCCCAAAGTGAAGACATTAATGAAAATGTTGGAGCTGGTGATCAGGATTATGAAGAGGCGGAGTACGAGCAAATTAATGATGGCTTTAGTGAAGCAGTCAACAATATAGCTAGTCAATTGTTTTCATTCTCATCACAAGATCATCAAAATTCTATGCGAAATAAGTTAAGGCAACGAAGGGAGAAAGAGCAGCAAAGTACTTAGCTTTAATACCTAATCTCACTGATTAATTACTCATATATCTATGAAATATACTTGCAGGACTCTCTGATAGCGAAAGCGACTCAAGCTCACTAGAAAGAAAACGAGGCACCGAAGGCTATAAATCCAATCGTAAACCACAAACGCACAAGCGACGTCAAAAGAAACGCGTTGCTATACCCGTGGCAACTCCAAAAATTCCGGCAGGCTTTGATCCTAGTAATAATAGTGGCATGGGCCCTGCAGCTCTTATGTATCAAAAATTGAAAAACGAAATCAACAACAGCCTAGAAAAAGGTAAATTATTTGTTGCAAATGACACTTCTTTGCTGTCTAAATGTTTCATATATTCTCATACACTAACGCTAAACCAAAAATTAATCAAGCAAAAAAGAAAGGTCAAATTCATTAGTTCATTACTTAGGCATAAGAAAAAACTAACAAAAACGGAGGTGGTAACAGTGCATCATGGCTAATCATTATGTGTCTAGATCAATTATTCCAATTATCATTTGATATTAAACATGTTTTTCTCAACATTCATTATTCTAATTATAGACAAAATGGGTGAAGAAGATGTTTCATCACCCCGCGAAACGCAATCACCAATAGTCGTAAGTCGATCAAATGGTGTTGCGAATTTGCGAAAAGTATTCAATGGCTGTTCACCTTTACAGTTTGGTGTTTTACCAAAAAGCTCAAAGGATGATCGTGAGAAATTGTTAACTAGTCAACAGCAAGCTGTTCCACAAACAAAATCAAAATGGTTTAGACAGGATACAGACAAGAAGGCACAACAAGCGAGCGAGAAGGAGGAGAAGAAGCGATTGAAGGCAGCTGCAAAAAGTACAGGAAAGTCAGGAAAGACACTTGCTAGTTTTAAAATGTCTGATAAAACTCCATTAGTTCCGATATTTTTGGAGAGATGTGTTCATTTTATTGAACGAGAAGTCGAATCGGAAGGCATTTATCGAGTACCTGGAAATCGTGCACATGTTGAACTCTTATACCAGCAATTTGATGAGGAGGATACTGTTGATATTGAGAAGCTGGACATTCCTGTTAATGCTGTAGCAACAGCATTAAAAGATTTCTTCTCAAAACATTTACCGCCTCTTTTTGAACCAGACATGATGAATGAATTAGAGGAAATAGCTGGCTCAAGGGGCGGACTCATCTCAGCAAATCCTATGAATATGGAAGTTAAAGCTGATCGAAGTTGCCGTTTACTAGCTTTAAGAGGACTTCTCAATAAACTCCCACCAACAAATTTCAACATATTAAAATTTATATTCCAACATTTCGTTCAGTAAGTGTGACTTGTTGTGCTACTTAATAGAAACTTTATGTAATAAATATTTTTACTATTATTATTACAGCGTCTCGGAACACTCAAAGCTCAATAGTATGGATAGTAAAAATTTAGCAATATGTTGGTGGCCAACATTACTTCCAATCGAATTCACCGATATGCTTCGATTCGAATCGATGCGCCCATATTTGGAAGATATCGTCCAAACAATGATTGATCAATATCCATTCCTCTTCTGTGGTCAGGAAGCATTTGTTATGGTTTGAGATTAATGGAATCTTTTAGATCATAATATTATTTTTAAGATATAGAAGCGAACGCACCCCATCCATACATGACATGTTGTGAGTTTTTTTTTCGCTAGCTTTTATATACTTTTAACTGCGTACAAATTTTTTTTACGCAAATGTTTTCCTAATTTGCATAGTGCAAACAAAGATAAGATGATGAAGATAAAAAACACATAATTTTTAGGTATTTTTAACAAAAGAAAAAGTAATGGACAAAAATGCATGCGAAATTGCATCGAAGTAGTAGAAGGCATTATGATAGTCAATGAGTATTGATAGACACAAAAAAAATGTTGCAAAATAATGATGATGATAATAATAGTAAGACAAAAAAAAATTAATTATTGATTCGGTACAATAAATTATTGTAAAATGATGTTCGATGTGATTTTGGCATGCTACTTTTTACAAAAAAAAAAAAAACAATGGTATTTACATAAAAAAAATAGTTAGGAACGCTTTTTATACATTGAAATGAAATTTATTGAACAATTTCGACGTGAAGATAATAAGCTTTTGTTCGCAATATCAAATTTAAAGCACCACATAAATTATATGCTTTATGCATAAAAGGAATATACACAAATACAGACGGATTTCATCATGAAACAACATAAATACACACGTAAAATATAAGTTGCTTTTTTAAACAAAAAAAAAAATAACTTTTAAAAGTAACATTTGCTTCACATCTGTCCAAAAAAATTGTAAGGATAAATTTATGATGGCGCATTATTGCGTTTTATTAAACGTCAGATTTTAATCGTAGAAAATATTAAACAAGGATGAAGGCAAGAAGAGAATGAAAATTAATAGAATGATGTCTCCAAGTTTTTAAAAAAATATGGAAAAAGAATTTTAAAAAAGTAATTAAATATATATTTTTCATGAAGAACTTTATACAAACTCACACATTTTGCACGTTTAATTAAAAATTAATTAAATGTTATTTAATCACGCTGATTCATGATTTGAATAAGAAAACTATGAGAATATATGTATTCTTGAGCCGTAAGACTGCACCGAACATAAGTAATGATGAAAACCCTGAAAAATTCCATACAAACCTGAGCGACAAACTATGTCAATGGTAATCACATAGTTGCCTTTAGAGCAGTCAAAAGATTGCCTTTGTCATTATTTGTCGCTCGGAAAAAAAAACTATAAAAGTATTTTCATTTATTTCATACACAGAACCTTAGCAATTGTATATTGATAATTTATATTTTTGACATAACTCTCATATTTTCATTCTAGAATAGTTCAATGGAGCTCACAATAAATCCTTCTATGAAAAATCGTTAATTCTTGCTATGTCTACCCCCCGATATATAAAAAAAAACTAATGAAGTAAATTAAAAACAAATGAAATATCATTTTTATTGTAATTTTTCAATTATACAATGGTTGTGCTAATTTTATTTTTGATAAATTGACAAACAATATATAGAGTATCGGTATAAATGGATGAATATGTAAAAACAAATCTAACAGCAAACCATGTACTTATTACTTGAGAATTTAAAATCTTGCATGCATGTAAACAGAAACAAATTAAAAGTCATCTGATTCAAGATATTCATTCTAATTTCAAAGAGTATTTTTCTGTAAGGATAAAAAGACATTCCAAGGGATTATTTGGATATTACATTACATATTAACTTGCACAAAGTCGTAAATAATTTGAAGGGTTTTTAAATATGAAATTTATTGTTTCAGGATTTTCGCAGACTAGATTGTCATGCAAGATCGTTATTGTAGGTTAAGAGCAATTTGTAATGAGAATTTTTCTTCAAAAACTTAAAATTTTATTGTTTTGGTGGTTAAAAACTGATGGGAATCACTTGTGCCACTTTTTTATTACATTTTAGACTTTGATCAAAGTTATTTGTTTGCTAATTAAAGCAAAAATTGAGAAAAACTTTTCGAAGTGAGTGAAAACTGAAAGCGATTTTTGATTTCATTTTAAAACCTTAAAAAGTCGTTGGATTTAAAAAAAATCATTGATATTTAAATTGATTTTTTAGATCAAAAACTGCGCTTAAATCCTCTATATACCTAAAATAATATCCCAAACAATTACCATCAATAATAAATTTGACAATATTGAATTTTCTGATATTAGAACCTTTTCCAAAGATGGGAACAGAAGATAACAATGAATAATGATTTCAAGCTCCAATAATATCCAAAATTATACATCACGATCATTCCATAAAAGCAGCAGTATTTATATCAAAAGTCATTTAAAGGACTCAACCACGTAATGCAAGATTAATTGGATAATGTAATGTGCTCAAAGTCCCCACAAAAAAGATAAAATAATTGTATTAACTTCCTTTGAAGAATCCATTGACATTCTTATTATTTTAATGTGGAGGCTGTTGGCTTTCTGGAAAGAATAAACACACTCAGATGCATAAGTATGGTGAGTGAACTTCTTTACGCTTCCATTTAGAACTTAAATTAATAACTAAAAGTGAAAAATGTTTCTTTTTAAAAACATACCAAAATATACAAAGGAGATAATTTAGAATTATGGAACAAAATTATTATGAAAAAGTGCCATGAAAATATGCATGCACCATCAAAAAGTTATTAAGTATATCTATGCGCACCGAGTAAACTTTTTTATATCACGATTTTTAATTTAAAATGAGAGATAAAAATTTTAACGTATTTTTCAAAGTTTAAAAATATAACTGTCATAATAGTTTTAAATCTTGATACTGTAATTACGGTTTTTTGAATATTTTAAGACAGTTAAATTTTTAAATTTGAAAAATAACGAACGGAGAAAAGACAAAAATAAAGAATTATGAATGAGATGATGAATATTAAACGATATAATCTTTGCCAATATTTGTTTTACCATAAAAACAATAAAATTATCTCACAATGATGATGATAATGATGACGAATAATCAATTAAAGTAATACAAATGCTTTTTGATATTGTGGATTTGAATATAAAAATAATTCAAGTGTTTTTTAAGAATGAACTACTGATGAAAGTACCGTAAAAAAAACTTAATGTCTTTAATGGATTATATGGTGAAAAAAAAAATTAATCTCTTTATAAGAATAAGAATGAGAAATGAAAAAAAAATTAATTAAATGATGAATGTAAATAATTTCAAACCTAAATGTTGATTTTTAATGACGCTAGTTTGATTTGAAATTAAGAAAATGAGAAAAATCAACGAAACCAATCAAAAAATTTATTTTCTTGTTGGATGGAGAGTTTGTGACTTAATTAAACTGTTGATCCAGTAAGAAAATATTGTGACAAAAAAAAATAAATCTTTTTTATTACATTTTTTCATCATCGAAAGAAATCTATTTATCTAGAATGTAACTTTATTAATTATGAGATGTAGCGATTAATGTGCTGAGTTTTGGTGGTTGGAGAATTTAATTAACTGAGTTGTAAATTTTAGGAAAGCTTTGTAAGTTTGGCACTAGAAGATTCAAGGACTGTCAAGTGGCTGCAATGAGAAATTTTATGTTGTAAGATACTTCAAGCATAATATGAGCAATTCCATGGCAACTATACTAATGGGGGTTGTTTATTGAGTGTTAAATTAATTGTAAACACTTTGGGGCCGTTCACTTATTACGTTCGCATTTTAGGGGGGAGGGGGGGGTTTGAAAAATTGTAACAAAATGTAACATAGGGGGGGGGGGGGGGGGGTGTCAAGAAGAATGTAACGTTCTAACTGTCGTCTGTCTTTTAAAAAAAATTTGAATTATGAACGTTCAGGGGGGGGGGGTACGAGTTGTCACATGTTGTAACAAGGAGTAAATACCCTTTGTGTATCTTAAGGGAAAAGTTTAAAAATTTAACGTATTTTTGAAATTCAAAAAGTGACTGTCAAAAATATTTTAAATTAAGATTTTATCTCGGTTTTTAAATAATTTTTGAAAGTTAATTATTCAAATGTTCGAAAACCGTTAAATTTTTAAAGACTTTGTATGACTCAAATAAGCCTAAAACCCCCAAAACAAAGCACTAATGTCTGCATCTCATCGAATTAGGTCGAGATTTGTTTTTTTTCCAATTATTCATTTTAATTCTATCATTAAATACCGTAGAAATTCTTATGGAATGATAGAATAAAGTTCTCAAAAAAATTGATGCCATTAAATTAATCAAATAAAAAAAAAACATTTGATGTCGTTGTCTTTTTGAGCTAAAAAACCAAATAAAAAACGCTTTATTTGTATAAGAGTTTAATGATATTAAAAAAAGAAGATAAGTCAAAAAATTTTCCCTCATTAAAAAATTAAAACAAGTCTCAAAAATGATAAAAAAAATTGCCAATTCTGTAAAGTCGCCATAGATCAATCCATATTTGCCATTTTCTTATTTTCTCACATCAAACAAAGAAAAGTAAATCTCGGAAATATATAAGATTTAATTTTTTTCATACCTAATATTGCCATCTCGCCTCTATCTCTCTTATTAAGACATGATGAAGTGAATGAAAAACTTTACAATTATTAAAGAATAATTATTATATGAAAAAAGAATTTAAAAAAAATTCTTAAATGTAAAAGAACATCTTTAAAAACAAAATAAAAGTGGGAATTAAATGTCAAAAAAATATATCTGAATTTATTTTCAATTCCTTTATTTCTTTACAGGCGTTTGAATATAGCTAGGAACTTACTGCCTTGATTTCTCTCAACCTTTTGGGCTTCTTCGCTGCTATTCAATAATTTATCATGTAAAATGTCACTTTTCTCCTCATCATCTTTTAGACGCTCGAAGCTTGGATGTGCTGATAAATGCGATACCATCCAATCGTAAAGATCCTGAACATCCGTCACAACATACAGTAAACCCTAAGAGAGATGTCAAAAGCTATGCAAATCAATCAAAGTCACAAGAATTTTAATGTACAAACCTCTTTCTTCAGAACATAGGCGTATTCACTTAATAATGATGGATTGATGATTCTCCACTTATGCTTAGACTTTTTAAAGTGCGGATCCGGAAATAGGAAGAACATTTTCGATAGTTGAGCTTTATGGAAGTAATTGACCATGTATTTCATTGAATTACTTCTAAGGCATGCAACGTTTTGATATTTTCCTGGATGGATGATACGAAGTGTCTCAATTCGGTCTTTAACATAGTCGGAGACCTTTACACGAATTTCCATTCCAATTGATATTTTATCTGGATATGTTTCACTTAAGCTAATTAAAAATCCACCATATCCACATCCGAAATCACCAAATTCTACCTTTTTGTCGCCAATTTCAGGATACAGTTCCTTCCAGCTTGGATGATTTGTTCCAATATCCTGATCTAGTTCATCTGGATTTATTGGACTGAAAGTTTTACATTAAATTGTGTTTTTTTAAATGAAATAACAATACTTACTACTCGATGCTGTGATCAGATATTGGATTACTGTGAGCTCTTTGTCGGTAGAACCTTTTTTGAGGCAAACGAATCTCTGGAGCTTCCATAATTAGCAAATTTCTTAAAATTCAATTAAATTCGTGAAGAACTTGTGGCAATGTTTACATACTCGCATTACCAGTGTGGAAGTTTACAAAACAGACTAATAATTCAAATATTTTTCGACCGTTAGAGATTTCACATTTAAACAAGCATTTTTAATTTTCCTGTTAATTTATAAGATCGCTCGGCAATTTTTTTAAACTTTTTATGCCACATTTTCATGATATATGTAAATCTCACTCATCAAAATTAATAATTGGTGTCAAAATAAGACTCAAAGAAATGTAACTTAAACTACAATAATTCCAAATTTGAAATAAAGAAAGATTATCTTGTAATTTATAAGAATTTTTATACTCTTTATATCACGAGTTTAAATATAGAATTTCACAATAAATAAATATACAAGCTATAATTTCTATACAATATGTAAATTTGTTGATGTAGCTGAGATATCCGATAATACTAATTGTTCTGTTGATTGTGAACTTCGATTTATTCTTCTTAATGAAGATCTAATAAATTCATTAAAGTTTTGCCCAAGTATTGTTGGACGGGATGTCGTGGGTTGACTTTGTGGGCGAGATTCTACGTTTGACGATATTGTAGGTATGATTGTTGTTCCGGCTACAGTATTATCACTTCTTCTTAATCGTCTTACACTTCTTCGTATACTGTTTCTTAATACTTTAGCGACTCTAAGTCCCATAGCTTTTCCATAACTTGGTGGAGGTGAATATTTTGGTGGATCATCCGTTACCAAATTATTGTTGTTATTATTTTCATTAAGAGTAGTCGATATTGGATTTGATTGAGCTAAGTTGGGTTGACATATTCGTCTGATTGGCATGTGCGACAATGAATTTGTATCACTTGTGTCAAGTGGTGGACGGAAAAGTCTTTCTATTCTCTGTAAAGATAAGAAGATTCTGTGAGATAATGTGGATTGATTAGATTTTTAAGCTAGGAATTTTCGAAATTTTCCACTTCGAATTTTTGTTTACTCAAATCTCACTCAACTTAGTGCTTTATTGACTAATAATTGTTTAATTTTGTTAACTTTTTATGAGCAAAGTAATTTGTGTTGTTATTTTGTATTAATGATGTGTTTAAAACCTAATTTTATCATTTTGTTTTTATAAACAATCAAATAAAAAAAAACGCGGGAAAAATTCAATGAACTTACTTCCAAAACATCTTTAGGTCCGCGACTCAAATAAATGTAAATTTGGACTAATGCAACACATGGTAGTAGAATTAACAGCGATACTTGCAGTAAGCCACCAACTTGCTTCACCCATAAAGGCCAATTCGACATGTGGCTCAAACTTAATATGTTGCGTTGATGGAACAATTCATTCGAATGGCTCTTTTTATATTCCATTACGGAGAGCAATAAGAATCCAACAGGAAGTAAAACATTCCAAGAAAATGCCATGAATGCTGAAAGTGTTTCAGTCAATCTTAATTCCTTCACCAAGAGATCAGACGAGTAAGGCCTTCCTCGAACCATAAAGATAGCCAGTAAATATGATGTCCATAAAATGGGAATAAACCATGAACCACCAAAGATGTTATCCTGTTTTGTTTATGACGAGAAATGATATAAAAATTAATGTCCTATAAAATGTCAAATTGTTCATACCAAAAAGTGCATAATGATTATTCCGTTATCTGTGGTTAGTGGAACGCCTAGAAACAATCCAGTTACGCAACTTAATAAAATTGCTGATGTTGAATTTCCAATTGCACCACTAATTGACTTCCACATGACACATAATTGACCGATTCCGAATAAAAATAGACATAGAAATGCAATCGTCCCCCAAATTGGATCTATTCGTGAGCTTATCGCCAATGTTGATGGAAGAATTTCTGTTATTAGTCTAAGTGGCTTGTATCCACTTTCCTTGTAAATCTGCTGTCCTTGTTGATTCACAAAAATTGGCCTCTCTGAACATTCTCCGACGACATTTGAGTAGCGTGTAATCCATTTTGATGGTATTGAGTGATGAAAACTTGGTAATGAGGCGTAATGCACGGGCCATAAGAAGATGTCATTTTTTGGATTTTCTAGTAATGAAATGGAGACAAATTAGTATCCATGAATAGATTTAAATGACATTTGATAGTTTACCAAATGACGCTGGAAAGTAATTAAATCCATTTAATTTAAGAATAATTATGCATGTTGATCCTAATACACCCCCAAGAAAAAGACCAAAAAGAGTCAGAAATACAATCAGCAGTGCCTCTCTTCGCAGAATGTAATTATTCAGCCTTTGATTTTTTCCAGATTTACAGTACATTGCATAAATTGAAACGCCTTTGAGGGAAATAGAAAAAAAAAATTAATGTAAAAAGGGTCGATAAACAAGTGAAAAAAAAAGTTTGTGAATTATTCAGTCTTGTAATCAAAACGCGAATCGTGGCGAAAATAGGCAAATTGATGTTGTTTATAGGATATAAATTGTGAAAATTTTTTTGGTAGGTTTTGGACTTCTAAGATAATAATAGACAAACATTATCCAAACCATGGTCAAGTGGGGGGGGGGGGGGGGGTATTTTACTTTATTGATAATATAGCAATCAATGAGATTTTGAGGGGTGGGGGGGGGGGGTAAGTTAAAAAAATTATAACTTTTTAGAATTCTTATCAAATCTTTAATCAGACACATTAGAACTTTTTATATTATTTTGGGAATCGAACCCATGACCTCAGAAGAGAGTCACCAATTTTAGGTCTGTTACCATTCAGACACATAAGTCATACTTTCAAAATGGCACATTTTCTTACATATGGTGCAAAGAAGACAATTTTCCAAAACACCACACATGCCATTAAAATGAACAAAATCGCCAAACAGCTATTAAAATAATAAAGAACAGTCGCAAAATAACTTTTTGTGATTCATTAAAAATTGATCTTATTTTCATTAATTTAATTGCAATTTCTCTTCTTCAAATTAATTGCGAGCACCGGTAAAGTTTAAATCAAACAAGTCTTTAAACCGCTACATTTAATGTCCAAAAAGAAAATTTGCCCAAAATGCTGCTTGTATGCTTAACATTACTGTTAATAAGAAATTGCCTTTAAAATGAATCCATTAATTAGCAAAGTAGAAAAGTATGAGCATAAAAAAAATTCACCTTGTATCCCCCACGTCAAAAAGACTTCTTGTGCTGCGACTGACCAACTATGCGAGTTGGCAAAAAATTCTTGCCAATCAGTAGCAGGAAATATATCCTAGAAAATCCAATTAAGATGTTAAATTGATATCAAATATTTGTTGTGACATCAAAAAGGAATAAAAAATAAAGTCTGTGCTACCTGAACAGTCTCGAAGTTCAATAAAGTTAAAAATTTAATACAGACAGCTGCCAGACCCAAGAAGCAAACTAAACACATTCCAATCATGATCTTTCCAAGTGACTTTATTCCCCGACTCAGCACAACAAACACCAAAATCCACACAATTGAGACGTTGAATGCCAGCTGTAAATGATAGAGCATATAAAAAAATGGGAGTGAAAAAAAAAGTCAGAATTAATTGTTGACAATGATGAAAAATACAATATACAAGTCAGTCAGTAGATTGATGGACACTGGTGTTAATTGTATTACCTGAAGTCTCATTTTTCCATCGGGGGTATTAGCAACGCCAGACAATCTTTGCAGCACCACGCCATTAAAATAATCTGCAATGTTTTCTGATAAACGTAAAGCTGAAATGTTTTGATAGCCTCGATATGAGTCGAATCTCTCCTCCCACAAATAATGCTCGTCTGATGAGATCATTGAGTCTCTGGGAAAAATGATAGAAATTGGAAAATTTAATTATGCTTCCTTTTTTATGCATAATTTCAAGGATATGGAGATGATGTGAGGTAGATTAGGATTTCAGGTGCTAGATTTTGATTCATTATTAAAGATTTAAATTAATTGAGCTAGTTTGAAAATCTCAAATCCGTTAAAAATTCAAATTATTTCAAAACCGTTGCTGAATGTTTCCTTAAACTTTAAGCAATGAATTTAATCAATAACATTTTATTTGATTAAAAATTCCTAAAACAGCTCAAATTTGTTTCTCAATAATCCCCCAGACTACACCTCTAGCTAGCATCATAACAATAATTAAGGTGAGAAGATTTAATTTTCGTGATAATTCAATTATTCAAGGTTTCGAATTTATAGCAAAACAATTGACTTTGTTACCTTAAATAGATTAATACCCAGGCAATGCTGACGCTTGAATAGAGACTGATAATGCAGTGTACTATCATCAATGCAATGCCAATGCCTACACAAATTGGTGTGATTTTAAACAGTGTCACTATGCCTCCTTTAATCTTGTGTCCTAAAACAATTTGTAGCCATAAAAATGGTATGCCAAAAATGAATGACAGCAACAGAAATTGAACGAGAAAATTAGCTGCAAAAGAGAAGACAAAATTAATATTCTCACGATAGTTATACGATTGAGTAAGGCATAACAATGCTTACCTCCAAAATGCACAGAAAATATTGCAAATCGCGAAATATTGAATAATCCCAATGTACAAAATAGACATGTTATTGGACGACTTATTAAGTAAGGCCACGTTGACTTTGATTCACTTGAATTATCATTTTGATCTCTTTCATCATCCTCAGAATTATTCGTCGATGCACCCGTGGTTGTAAATCGTGGATGAATGTCATGTATTGTATTTATAACATCGGGTATTGAGCTCGAGCCAGTACTTGAGACCATCGATACAGGACTAGAATTTCGTGATGATGCCAATGAACTTTGCTCTGATGGAAGACTCTGTCTAGGCCGATGAGCATTTCTTTGTGATGGAGTTCGATTCACAACTGGGGCACTATTTGGTCGTTGTTGCTGATGATGGTGTGCAATTATTCTCTTTAATGGACGAGAAGCAGAAGAAAGAAAAATAACAGAACATTTCGTATGTTAATAAACTTTCGGGCATTAAACAACAGACACAAAAAAAAAATTTAATTAACACATAAAAAAAGTAAAATATTACAGCTGCTGAATGGTTGAGTGAATCAGCCGCTAGAGACGAAATGCGTACTGGATTTGATCTTCTTCCATATTGTCGCGGACGACTATCATTCATTCCTTGTTGTTGCTGTTCCAATAAGACAACGTTGAAGATATCAGTCATGTTTGAGTTCTCGGGAGTAGCTCCATTGACTTGCGGAATATTTTCATTGTTTAAAACCGTCCTACATTCACTTCCATTCTCAAATTGATTTTCTTGGGGAAAATTTTCCTTTTCGCATTCACTGGAGACAGCATTAGTAGGATTTATGTCATGTGACGTTGATGGCGGTATCGTATTATTTAATGGTGATTCAATTTCTTGCGGCATTTGAAATGGATTTAATTTTTTCATTGACTTCCGTAGCCATGATAAATTACTACGCGATCTTTTCACAGCTCTTGTGCTGTCTGCTGCTGTTGAAGGAGGAAAAAGGAATTCATTATCAGAGTTTAAGTGGGAATGGGTGAAATTGGACAGAGAATTTTGTATTTTTGGAGAACAGTAGCTACCAACTTGCTTTGAATTACAAGTGATCAACGCTATTCTATAGTTTTTAAGTCTTTACATCCGTGTGATGGTCTTAAAGGAAACAACGATTTCAATATTCCAGTAAACAAAGCAAATAAATTATGAAGCATTAAAAACTGTCATAAAATCACCCTCTACAAGATTTTAAAGACAGTAATAAGAAAGCCGCACAAGTTCTTTACGAGCTATTTTGATTTAAGTCATTAATTTAAGCCAATAAATATTCAAGAAAGTATTCTTTTGTCTTTAAAGACGGTCAATTAGTTCCTCATTTCTGTCATCCATTAGAATTCCCCATTAAACCTTAATAAAGACACAACTTAGCACATTTATGCTAAAATTAAGCAGAATATCGTTGAGGCACGAAAAAGATAAACTGCTAATAAAAATTCTCGTTAAATCCACAACTTAACTTAATTAAAAATTATAAATTTTTAAGACTTACCCGTGCCAGATGTTGATTCATCACAATTCACGACAGTTGTTTCAATTCCTGAAGCATTACACTCACTCAAACACTTTCTTGGACGTTCTGAATCGATAGAATGCCTTAGGCTGTGTCGAAAATGTGGCGGTTCACTCATTCGTGACCTTGCCTTCGGTAAAGTCGTGCAATGGAATAACGACTCGTTTATTTTATCACTTTTTTGTATTTCATTAATGACATTGTCGTGGTGTGTATTGTTTTCTTGAATATTCAACATTATGCTGCTACTGCTGGTGCTACACTCACAATCATTATTATTATTTACATTTTCTAATTTCACTGGTTTCCTAACTTCCTCAATTTCCCTTTCGTTTAAGACATCCGTTCGTTTTCTTGTGACTTTACATGATCTCCTAACACAATTCTCATTATGAACATTATTTTCGTGCGACTTTATACGCGGTAATGTAGAAAATTTTGTGATAAGAGAACAATTGTCATTGCTGCTACTACTTGGTGCGGTCTCATTGACATTTAATTGTAGCGTGTGCCCATTTGTTGATTTTGTAATAATAGTACAGCTATTTTCATCCGTATTGTCATGTTGTTGACCATCACAATTAATCGACAACATACTTTTGTTGGTGTTTGTTGTTCTCTCATAAGAACCGTTGTTGTCGTCATCATCAATAGAATCATCGTTAATGTCATTTGAGTCTTTAATGGGACACTCATGGCAATCATCATTATTAGAAATATTTAATTTCACATTAGAAAATTCATTATTGTCACTCTCGTCATCTGATGAGCTATCCAAAAGCTTATAATCATCACTGTCATCATTATCTGATACTATGTCTTGATTGACTAGCAAATTTTTTCTATTAAGTGGCTCATACACAAAACTGACACTGTTTACCATCACGTTATCGCAACTTTGAGATCGACTGACCCTACTTCCCATATTAATATCGATTTTTGTTTGCTTTTCAATGTCAGAACAGCTCTTACATCTTCTAAACTGTTTTTCATATTTTTTTGTAGCTGCAAGTGCATCATATGCATGCAGTTGGGACGAATGGGGGTAATTAATAGACATCTGCGATATTCCATGATTATCACTTTTATGACTGCGGTTCACTTCTATTAAACTTTCCATAGCTTTAATTTAATAAGTTTTTAATGCACTTATTGATGTTCATAGTTTATTATGTCCTCAAATAAATATTTTCTTATATAATAATTTACTTCAACACGTTCTTATCTATCCAGGTCGTAACTTACTTTTGTTTAACTTTTACATCGTCATGCAATAATAACAAAACATTTTTTTTTCTACTGAATGAAATTCCCGTGTTCCGTTACATACACACGAAACAAAAAATTAGTTCCAAAATTAAATCTAAATTGATTTTTTTACTCGGTTTTTTTACGGGCTTCATGAACTACACATAAACTTGGTTTTCATTAGCATATAATTCCATCACTGCTACATGCACTTTTTCCTTTTATTTGCTCATCACGAACATTGAGCATTATTGAGTCATGAAAGAATTTTAAAACGTGCATTTCACGGGATTTATACCATTTTTAATTTGGTTGAGATAATTATTGGGTGCAGAATAGTCAGCTGCACTTTATTGCGTAAAACATTTGTGTATCATGAGTCGCTTGCATTTCATAATGTTTAACTTTTGCATAGAATTAATATACGTCAGCCTGTGGGAAATCGGAATTTTAATTGCATTAGAAATTTGCGTTTATTTCAAGGCTCTTTTGTTGCTGATTTCTAAAATTTTAATTTATTTGCGAGGAGTTTTCAAGAATTTTAAAATTTATTGATTTAAGTCTGACCTTTTGAAGCTTTAGCCAGCTATAACATTTAAATCTTTAACTTAAGTTCCTGAGCAGAATAATTCACTAGCCAAAGCTTAGTTGATTTGATAATCTGGCTCAAAAGCTATGTCATGGATCAAGCAATTCCAAAAATCATCAACACCGGCTTCGCACATAACAAATTGAATATTTATCCACAGATTGTCTACAACATTTACTCAGCTAATATTGACACAATAAATGCGTTATAATTCCTCACTGCCACAAAACCACAAACTTCATTCTTACACTTTTCTTAAGATCACAACTTCTTCTTCATCAACATCCACCATTTGAGTGTATTTGTGTTGTGAGACGAAAAAGAATCGCGATTTGATTTCAATGTACTTGAACTTTTTCTCTTTCCTCCATTCTCTTCATTGCCCACTAAATACAAGAAAACCACCTTTTTTTAAACAAATTAAATTTCTATTTTGAAGTCATTCAAGAATTTTATTCTTTTTTCCATGTGAAATATTCCACAAATGCACAGTTTATAAACATTTAGGGCTTGTGTATGAAATTCTTTTCTGCCAAATAAAATTATAAACTTTATTTTTTGTTATTTTGGAAAATAATAATGCAAAAAAATTTAAAAAAAACTTCTTAAGCCTTCGGAAACACGTCTCGATTGAAACTTCTTGCCAACGTTACTGACTAATGCAATGGAAGCTTTCAACTCGTTTAACTGCTTTTCGCTCTATCTTGCTCATACCTTCGTATGTTTTTGGAAAATAAAACGTACATACACAGCACGTTGTTCGGTTCTTTTTGCTTTTGTTTTGAATGTTTCGTGCGTAAACAATAATATAGGAACGAGACGGATGGAGTTGGTCGAGCGTCAACATCATGCAAGAAGTAAAGTAAGAAGTAAAAGCAACAATAAGTGTTGCTACAATTTGTGCATACTCATTAGTGTGAGTGCTTGAACGATCTAATTCAGACTTTCGATTCTCGTCACTTGGAGGCGCTGCCAACATAAGTAATAACTATAATTCTGAACTTTCACATGCGATATTTTTTTTCTCATTCATTTATCGAGAAAAGCTACCGAAATGAATGAAAATGTGACATATTATTTTTATTGCATGACATACATCATGAAGAACTTGCGTTCTCAGCACTTTTTCTCATAAATATTGCTGCTGCTGCTCATATTTTGTCTTATGCGCTCGTGCGTGTTGTAGTCTATTTGGTTATGAAAAATTTATTGAGTATCTTGCATGAGATTTAATAGATTGCTTAATATTAATTTAGTAAACTTATTAATCAGGTCGGATTCATGAACTCTGAAATGATATCCTCACAATAGTCCAGCCATTCGTTAGTAATTGATATGGTAAGAACTAATACACTAGTATGGGCTCTGCTTAACATCCAATAAATATTTATATCTAGTCAGTGCCTTTAAAGAAACATGCCAAAGTCTAAACAACATTTAGCTAAAGTCAAAAAGCTATCATGAAACAATTGAGACCTTTCCACAGACTCAAAGCTGATTAATCTGCTTTTAAAATTAAGAACTTGTTTAAAAGACACCACTCGCATTGTATAATAAGCATTGCCAAAAAATATTATAATTGCTAAATCTCCTATAACAATTTTCAGTAAGAACAATCCAACTCTTCAACATCTGATTCACTCTTGTTATGGTTGAGCAATTTTTTGTCATGATTTTGTTTCAAAGTCCACTCAAGATACTTTCAAATTTTATTGTAAAGAAGTCAGTCTTTGATCTGAACATTTTTGCCAGATTGCCCTTGAGTTTGTCGTTTAAGTTCAAAACATTTTTCGGGTACATCAAATTAAATGTTTTGGAATGTCTTGAGATCTTTCTAAAATGATAAGAATTTTTTTGTCAAATGAAAAAAAGGCGACCGATACCTTTTTGCTGATATGAAATGTGCGCTGAAGCTTTTTACATTTATTTTTATACAATTCTCATAATTCATGAGCAGTGATGATGATGATGCTGTAAAGTGATCTATTTACCTCATAAAATGTCACTCAATGTCTTACCACGTATAGTTTCTTACATGACATGCTATATGCGTAAGAAATATTGACATGAATAAAAAATTTATGATTATTATGGAAAATGAGCTTGGGATTCGTGGATAAAGCGCATAAGCTTGATATTTGCATCTTTAACTAGGGTTAGAATTCAAAGTCATGGCACAAATCAAAATTGAACACTTGTTTTGTGACAATCTAAAAGTCTATACAGCATATTTAGGGGCCGTTCACTTATGACGTCCGACATTTAGGGGGGGAGGGGGGTCTAGGATTTTGTGACAGTTTAAACAATGAAAATTTTTTTCTATAGAATTTTTGTGATAGAGGGGGGGGGGTCTAAAAATCAGGTTTTTTGGTGGACGTCATAAGTGAACGACCCCTTAGATAATTTTTTTTAAAATAAACTCATAAACATGAAAGTAAGAACTGAATATTTCTCAGCGAAACCTGCTAAATATCTGAAACGAACAGCTTGAAAAGAAAAAGAAGAAATAAAGTGAAACAACTTTCTTGATTATTATTTATAAAGACATTTATTTTTCTCGTAATTTGTTTGGTTTTTTTTTTGTTGTTTGCTTGCCATAACAATAATCAGGAAAAATATTCTTTTTTGTTTAAATTTGACACAACAAATTAATCAATTTTTTTTTCTCATAATATTGGTAAATGAAAATAAAAATTACACACTTTTAACGCAAATTAAATTATTATTTCATTAATTTTTTTTATTTTTTTCTCAGTTTCTCTTTTCGATTTTTTCAATTTTTTATTTATTCTTTTAATATTATTTATTTGTTTATTTCATTCTCAATTTAAATTGTTTAATTTATTTATTTATTTTTTTGTTTAAATGTTAACCAAAACAAATTGATATTCTCATCATTCTGTCTGCATGTGTGTATATTAATATATTGCTTGTCTTAATTAATTAATGAGACAATTGTTATCGTATTATCAAATTTTTTAAAAACTCAAAACACGTGCATGTGAAAAATTTTAAATTTTATTTACTTAATCATAATAATTTTCTTTTTTTTTTTGTTCCAATAAAAACACTTTTTATTTCTCAATGAAATCTTTTAATTTTTGGGGATCATTTATAAATGAGGTTACAATCTTCAACCCCATTTTCTTCTTATAAACTTGATGGACCAGTTGCCCGAGTATATTTTAAAACATAACCAAAAAACTAGCCCTGGGATGAGTCGAACCTCATTTATAAACTTCCCTTCTTTTATAATCCAAATTTTTTTGATGAACCATGTTAGTGGCGTGTCTTGTGCTGATATATGTTTTCATAAATTGTTTAGACAGTTTCCTTAAAGACTTTTGAGTCTTTATTGAGAAGGTTTTATCTAGCATAAATCTTTATGCTTACATGTTTGTAAGAATGCTAAGAATGACTTTTCTCCTATCTAGACTCTAGGTCAGTAATGTACAACCCATGTGCTGTGGCACACTAGTGAAATCAATGTGCCACAAAAAATTCAGAAAATTCCACGAAACGTATTCCGTGTGCCGTAAGATAAAAAAAGGTTGGACACCACTGCTCTAGATTCACAAACTATGACATGTAAGTATCGACAATCATAAGAATAAAATTTAATACCATTCAAAAGTAACAAGCTTCCAGATTTTTGTCAAGTTCGATCGAGAAAAAAAAAGTTTAACGACCTAGGAGACAAAACTTTGTCAAATTCCTTCCATGAGTCACACGCTCAAAGGAATATAAAAATGTATGGAAAAAGCATTTCAAGTGTAAATGCGAACCTCCTTTCAACAAAATGTCAATTTATTTGTAAATTACCACCGGGAATCAAAAAGGAAAAGGGTTTTTGATGGAAAAATCTGATTAAAATCATTAACATGCTGAGTATAAACATCGATCTTCTTTGCGTTAATGTCGCCTTTGCATGACAAAGTTTGACATGGAAAATTCTGTGCTTTTTGTGAGAGCGTTGGCTGCGATACGATGGAAATGAATCAATTTTAATTGACATACATTCGAAGTTGTGGATTGAACGTCAATGCGTCATTTTATGGGATATAGATTTGTCATATCTGGATGACTCTTTTGCAACAAACTGATACAACTTTCGGTCATAGCTGACAAACTTGTTCTGCAAAAGTTTTTAAAAAATTCAATTCGTAGCATTTTTTTTCCCACAGATGTAACAAGCAATAAAGCAACCTTGCATTTATGAATTGAATCTATGATTAATGCACAATCAAGTATGGATGATGGATCGATCCAAAAGCTTTTATTGAAACTAGTTCAAGGCTGTTAAAATCGATTTATTTGTGAAATGAGTTCCGTGATTAACGGTACTTAAGAATGTAAATGAGTTGAAAATAATTTTAATCAGGGAAGTTTTGTGCTGATTATTGAGTTAGGTTATGATGGCTATTGTGAAGGTTGATCGACATTTTGATCGAACTATGTAGAATCTAGATGAAGGAAAGGTCAAGGTTCTTAGAATTTTGTGAGTTTGAAAAAAAAAACTTTTTCAGATGTCTTTCATTTCAGACTTGACATATAGGAAGAAGAATTTATTTTTCTGTCATTTTGATCCCTTTTGCTACACTGCTAATGAATGACGAATGTGGTTATTCACAAACTGTCAGCTTTAAAGTAGGTACTGATTGGTTTGCGGTAACAATAATAAACAAACTTTCTAGTTAATTGAATGCGTAAAACCACAGATTTGAACCTCAATTATATAAGATCAAAGGAATGGAAAATGGGTCATTTACAAATGACATATATCAAGAAATTTAATTCTCAAGTGTATTACATTAGATACTTTACATTTTATTTAGAAGTGAATCTTCACATGTAATCTGAACCACTTGTCAGTATTCCATAATTTGAAATAAAATGTTCTTGCACTTATGTGACTTCACTGAAGATTTGTTTAAGACTTTTCTTGAAATTGCCTAAGCTTCTTAAGAACTTTTTCACATTTGTTTCATTTACATGTAATACCTTATAAATTGTGAATTGACTTTGATTCTATATCTCATTAAAGCATCGCATTAGTAATCCAGTAGCTGCTATTTACAGCAACAATGATTCAGATTCGATCGTCAATAATGAGATCAAATTACTTGAGAGTACTTGAAGTTATTTGCATGATTGCATACTAAATCATGACTTTATTTGCACCAAAAAAACCACTAACGTTGTTCATGCTTTGAGCTTCTAGTTGAAATAATAATAAAAAAATTATTTTTCCCTTGAATTTTAATTTTAACTTATTTTATATTTCCTGATCATTTCATTTCTCAAAAATAAATAAATATGCGCACTGATTAAATATCATTTTTCGTCGAATAAAATTCAGCATTTTTTTTATTACACACATTAAGTCAATTTATGATTTACTGATAACAAAAATTACTATTCCTTTTTTTTAAATATATTTCTAGACGTCCTGCGCCACCAAAAAAATTATTATATTCTTTTATAGATGTTTTCACGACTTTAATTTTTTAAATATTTTTCTTTATGAATCTACATCTCATCATCCACATCATCATCATTAATTATTATAGCTGTGACTTAAAGTCATCATAATCCTCAATACATCTCATTTTTTATTATTTTCATTTCATTTAAAATTTTTTCTTAAAATCGTCTAGAAATGATTTTTTTTTTTTATTTTATTTTATGTGCTGCTGTTTATTGATTTGGTGTGTGCCTGGGATGGGTATTTAACTTTTTTAATGTGTGTTCCTAATCATAATTTAAGCATTCGATGGAGGCTTCATGAATTGGAAAA